ACACCACACACACACACCACACACACACACACACCACACACACACACACACACACCACACACACACACACACCACACACACACACACCACACACACACACACACACACACGAGAAATATATATATATATATATATATATATATATATATATATATATATATATATATATATATATATATATATATATATATATATATATATATATATATATATATATATATATATATATATATATATATATATATATATATATATATATATATATATATATATATATATATATATATATATAAAGATTATGTTGAAAAATATCGATTAATCATAATCATGGTCATGAAAATAACTTTGGATTAAGCATTCGATTCCAGTACATATGCAACTTCTTTCGAATTATGTTTTATTGAATATTTGTTTTTACAATTTGTCCCTTCTACCCCTTCAGAATACGTGTTTAAGGCTGTACTAAATGTCGTTTTAAAAGTTTATATGTTATACCTACCGTTTAATGAATTTGTGTTTGATTCAAAAACTACTCCGGTCCTCTAAAATAACCAATTACACACCAATAGAGCGTGTGAAAAGTGTCATTCTACGACGTCAGTTTCATTACATACGGCTATGAGCCACTTCGGACATATTAGTCACACAATTAAAGTCACTCGTGACTAAATTGCCATTTACAAAATTTGTTGGTTGCATTAAGGAAATGGTTTATGACGTTTTTAATTTAATAATGGTTTATTTTATAGAAAGAATTTAAACACAAAAGTTATTGCTAGGTTTACAAACTTATTTTGTCAGAATGTTTAGTATAACGTCAAAAGTGTATTGATTTTTAAATGGTTTCGGAATACTTCCCCTCACATTTTGGACACCTGGCAAGTGATAAATCAATTTTCAATACCAATTTTGAAAGAACGATTCTTGTGTTTGCATTTACCATACCTCGAGTTAAATGCAGTTACAATTTTTCACCAATTTTTCAAGAGAGATCCAAAAGTGAAATGATCCACTGGGAGTTTTGTTTAGTTAAAGAGCCTAGGAGCTGTGAGGAACTTTAATAGATGCTCGGGCTAATGATATATATTCATTACATGCAAGATTTGTCTATAAATCAAACTAATGGAGATATAAGTAGAATTTTTCTATTTGCATTTGGGACTGCTCAATTGACCACTTCTTAATTGACCAGTCAAAAAATGTTGTCAATTGACCGGTCAATTGAAGCAAAACAAAAATTGATCGGTCAATTAACTTTTACATGTGAATCAAAAAAATTGTTTTTATTTCTTTTTCGACAATTCAAAAAACCTTACTAACCAGTATAATTCATTAACTAATTAAATTAATTTGTAAATAGAGAACTTTAAGAAGGATACGGAATCGTTCATCTTAAAGGAGAAATTGTTTCTTGCAATCATTTACAACTAAATTTATCCGAACACCCAGGTGGCAAATAATATGTAAATAAATGATTATTGTGGCGATTTTATAGTTATTGTTTATTCCGAGCGCTTAAAATAACAAACGCCGATCGTGACTGCGCAATCGACAACCAGTGAGGTAAAGAAGTTCATGTTTGTTTAATAGTAACGAATTATAACGTATTACAAACAAATTAGTGCCCGTGGTCAGTAATACTTACTTGCGATATGTAATAGCATAATCTAGACGCGATTAAATTATATTTCATCACGTAGCTGCATGGGTTATTTATTTTTGGAATTTTTGACGTTGACAATTAATAATTTTCTATTAATAATTCGCTGTATCACCGATAAATATGACTGATCTTTTTCCCGTCTGTCTGGCTAAAGGATTGAATCCTAAGTGTTTTAAAGTCTCTTTTCTCTTTTCCATAATGTTTTAAAGTAAGTAGAGTAGTTCTATATTTAAAAAAAAAGGTAATAATGAATCACTGGAAAATTATAGACTAATTTCAATAATACAAAATATTTAAAAATATTTTAACAAATTTTAAAAAAGTAACTGGGGGCAGTACTTTGTGAGTAATGGGTTCCTAAATGTAAGTGTGCTTGCTGATGCGATGACACTTTGCTGTGTTGCAATTCAATTCAAATATTAATTGTTTATAATAAATTACATTTCTACTGCAAGAAACAGTAGACATTCTATATACTTAAAAGACAAAATAGTAAACAAATAAAGAAAAATCTATCCTATAATTATTATAGAATAGATTCGTTTTATTTTTACTCGTTTCTTAGAAAGGGGAGGGTCTTTAATATATTTATAATGAGATAAGCAAGACGCAGGTGAGCGTGAATCCATTTTTTTTTAACGCGGTGATAAAAGCAGTTTGATTGGAGAACTCCACGCTACGGAGCCTTATACATTGGGCAAGTACATACATACGGAGCAAATCTGATCCGATTCAATGCTGTAGGCGCAACCTTTAGAAGAGAAAAGTGTTGTTACGCAATATTAATTGAGAGATGATTCTCAAAATGGACATTGGCAATTGACAATTTAAATAGCTGGGTGGTAGATTGCAGGGTGAAAAGCTTGAATAAAAATTCGTGTAGTGTTAACTGACTACAATGATCTGCTTGAAATCAGTTTTGTTTAGTGGTATATGATAGATTGCTCCACCACTCACGATAACCCTACTCACGAAATGCCTTTCCAATTTGGCGTTAATGTTATTTATCCGAGATAGCTGACATGCAAATACGGGAGACAGTCCTCGACCATTTTTAGCACTTTAATATGAAAGGTGAAGTAAGATTCGAATGTTTAGCAAATTAAGGGTGTGCAACCTGGTGAAGCAAAGCAGTGGAAGTTGATTTGGGAAGTAACAATAAGCTTTTTAAAAAATTGGAGCCTCTTCGCTCAAATATATCCGTATAACACGTCCCAGACTGAAGGAAATCCGGAAAAAATATTTAATATGTTTCATAGATTTTTTGAATTGTATTCCAAGAGGAAAGATTACTACACTTTCTCAGCATAGATGTGCAAGGCAATCGAACTTTTTAATCACATCAAGCCCTGAATAACACACGAAGAGCTTGTGCTGGGTAACCAAATGGCAGTGTCGTTTGCATTTCTGGCTAGACATGTCAACATTTTCTGTAATTGAGTCCCTGATTCCAGCTTATAAAGCGATATTTTGTGCGTAGGCCAGTAGGTTGATGCTATGATGATACTAGATTAAATCAGAGGAAACTCACATATCCATAAGCTAGATAGTGTCTATTCCGTTAAAGTAATAATAAATAATACAATTTTTATTTATCAAAAGAAAACAATTTCGTGCATACCAAAAAAGAAAATTTTGCGATATATAATCATACTCAAAAAGAGACAATTCCGAAGCGGAACGCCATGAATTTTTAAGTTTCTTCTGCGCGACATATTGGAGTTGACGTATAAAACAAAACGCTATCAATTTTCTGACATATTTTTTAATGGAACACCCTGTATATAGAATATCTTATTCCGATTACAATGATATAATACACTTTATATTTTAGGCCACTCGTTTTTGACAAATCGGCAGAATTTCAAAGAGTCCCTTGACTGACAAACATATGTTTATGCTTGACACATTAGTAAACAACGTTGATGGTTGAATTATTGTCCAAGTCATTATTGTTAAAATGATTTTTAATAAAAGTGTATATTAGACTTTATCCAGAGCACCGAGCTCCTGCAAAATATATATTTCCAAGGGTGGCAAAGAAATTTGCAGAAAACGGTAACGTATTAAATGCTAAAAAATTATGCCGGAATAATTGTGTGACTAATACGTCCGAAGTGGCTCATAGCCGTATGTAATGAAACTGACGTCGTAGAATGACACTTTTCACACGCTCTATTGGTGTGTAATTGGTTATTTTAGAGGACGGGAGTATAGTTTTTGAATCAAACACAAATTCATTAAAAGGTGGGTATAACGTATAAACTTTTAAAACGACATCTAGTACAGCCTTAAACACGTATTCTGAAGGGGTAGGAGGGACAAATTGTAAAAATAAATATTCAATAAAACATAATTCGAAAGTTGCATATGTACTGGAATCGAATGCTTAATCCAAAGTTATTTTCATGACGATGATTATGATTTTTTTCATTACTTTTAAACATAATCTTATCCTCACAATGTTGTGCAAGTTAAAAATTTTCTTAACATGTAATATCCCAGGCGTTGGATAGGGAACGGCGGAACTATGGATTGGCCAGCCAACAACTTAACTTTAATGGATTTTCTTGGGACACATAAAAAATCACGTGCACAGAACTCCTTGTAATAATGTCGTCGAACTTCGGAAAATGATTTTAGAGGCAATCAATCAGTTAAGAGACAATCCGGAAACTAAATCATCATACAATTAGAGTGTAGAAATGTGTTCAGGAATGTGATGGTCACATACAGCAGTATTTAGAATAGTTAAAGAATTTTTCAATTTAGTGTGTTCAATGTTTTTATTCTATTTTAATTTGTATATAATTATTGTTGTTGAAGTCAGTCACGGCACCCTTTGAAATTATATAAAAATGTCATATTTTTGCCGATTTGTCAAAAACCAGTGGACTAAAATATGAAGTGCGTTACATCATTGTAATCGGAACAAAATATTCTATTAAACATATATAATATACTGGGTGTTCATTAAAAAAAAAACATAATGTGGGCTTATATGTCAGAAAATTGATGTGTTATAGGTCACTTGGAAAAAAAACTTAGCTACTAACCCTAGTTTTTGTTTTTTTATCTTAATATTTCTAAAAACAAATAAGTTACAACCAATTAAAATGTTATCAAGATAAATGGAACGCACGATACTTCTGGTTTTTGATTTTATTGTACTGTGATTGGTCTTCTATTCGACAAACCTGTTTTTTGTTCTTTATATATAATATGTGTTTTTATGTATGGAGTTCTGGATATGTTATAATCAAAAATATTATCCATAAGTATAGATTTACTTAGGTATTATTACAACGCCTAACGGTGTGTTCATTCTTTGTTGCAGATCCCCGAGTGAAAGGATGGCCGATGATGTCTAGTCCATTTCCAACCTTAATCATCTGTATGTTTTACGCTTATTTTTCCAAAGTGCTCGGCCCGAGATTAATGGAGAATCGGAAACCGTTTCATCTTAGGAATGTTTTAATTATTTACAATTTAGTACAAACTATTTTCAGTAGTTGGATATTTTACGAGGTGAGTAAAGAACTTGTTTAGAATAATAATTATTAACGACTGCGGCCATGATTTGAACGCATAAAAATGTTTGCATCATACCTACGAGTTAGATATGTTTAAACACCGTAAATGTAATTGCCTTCTTTTCTTTCCATTCAGCAATTTCAACCATAGTTCAAGCATCCCAGAGAATTTGTTGTAGGCGGTACAGATTGTTCTACGAATGTGGAGGAAAAATTTAAATGTCTGGTTTTGGACTTAATTTTTTACGAGTTTTTTTTTAAGTTTTTACAAATATATTGTAGTCTCTTTTCTCGATATCAAAAATCAGAAATTGCTTAGTATGTTTGATTTTTGCATATAGCTACGAGATAAATTGAATCTCTGTTGATAAGGCAAGGACTTTCGTAACCAACATTTCCATGATCGATATTGTATCTGCGCATGCGCAACCTTTTTTTTATTGGGCTTTTTGTACTGCGTGGGACAATAAGTGCGAGAAAGTACAATAAACCTCCATTTAGCTCCATTTTCAAGAATTATTTTAACAAATGTTGCATACAATCGTAAGATATATATTTCAAAAATATTTTCAATTAAACAACAATACAAAACTATATACTTTCGAATGCAGCCCCTATATATTTTTGCTTGGGAAATGCGTATGTGAATTTGAATGCCACACTGCCGAGTTATTAGAAAATATTTCAAAAAACAATCTTTATTAGTTCTTATATCTCCGCGTCCTTTATCATATAAAAAATTAACTTCTAGTAAAGCGCCTAATTAATTATTTCATACAGGGTATTTAGGGTATCATAGTCGTTTCTATTAATTATTTACAAAATCACATTAATTTAATTTATTTTTAAATATAAACAATAGATTTAATACCCCGATTACTTAAAAACACGCTATTGTTACTATTAAATTTTTTAATTAAAATAAATTTGAAATTTGATTAACTCTTGTTTTTGTTTTTCAAAATAAAGCCTTTAAGGAACGATATTAATTAATTAATTAATTGAAACCGTTTCAAAAAATCAAATCGATTATTTGAATTTATAAATTATATTATTTATTTGATATTATATTATATTATTTATTGATATTTAATATATAAATGTACCACTTATATTTTATATTCACTGCTACATAGTAATGGGTTAAAGTATTTTTTTTGAGATGATTAATAAAAACGCAAAAATTTAAATTAATAGTAAGTTAAAAGTTTAGGGAAACCTTATCAACAGTGGTAAAGGAGTAAATGTTGAAAAGGAAAAAGTAGTTATACACCGGGTGTTACATTTAAAAAATCAGAGAAGAATTAGTTTAAGGTTCATCAAGGTCAATTTCTGAAGTTGTGAACGGTGCGGATAGACAGATATAGGAGATAATAGGAAAACATGTTTTTAATATATTTTGTTTGCCAATGACTTGGCAACGTCGCATTAAAATTCAAAAAAAAATACGGTGTTTTATAAACATGTGTTGGGTAGACCATATTCAAAAATATACTATTATCACTATTATACTATTATCAATAGTTTTAAAATATCGATTTCAATTTTAGGCAATACCAATCAAACAAATTTGTCGAACTTTTACTTCTGTATGTGGGTTGACATCTCTGCCTTAAAATAGCGAAAAGTGTGTCAAATTGAAATTGGACAAAAATTGATAGTCGCCTAAGTGTATCAATTTTAATCCATATACTTTCCCTATGATCATTTAATCTAATAGCTATACGTGACAGATACTTTTACTGCAATCTTCTAAGTCGAGTTTGATCCTCCAAAGTAAAATACTTTTTATTGGTTTTTCAGTACCTCATGAGTGGCTGGTGGGGTAGCTATAGCTTTAGGTGTCAGCCGGTGGATTATTCTTATAGTCCGCTAGCTCTAAGGGTAAGTAACCGTGTAATACACTCTAAAAATTATTAGTGTGCCAGATGATGTTTCGTAATTGGTGAATCGTCTTCAAATATTGTTTAGAATTTTCATTAGAAGTTAACATCATAGACCTTCTTGACTTAGGAATTCACGTAATAATTTTTTATGTAAACAGAGACATTAATTTTTTAATAAATTCCAGAAATTATTCAGGATATGATAAACGCATATCTAAAAAAATCCTAAACACAAGCAAACATTGTTGAATAGAATAGAAAAAGTACTCTATTTATGTCTGGTTCTCTTCTTCCTTCTACTTTGCCTATATCATCCAAGTACTCTAGTTTTCGTTGTTTTATGATGTGCATAAGAAGAAGAAGAAGAAGATCATCTCAAAACTCACACTGCTCGCAGAACACCTTGCTTCTGTAGAAGAAGAAGATAAGTCGAATTGTCCACTCTCTGGATAGCTTCGTTTTTAATGTACACTACACTGTGGTGATCAGGAGATTTGCTTATAACCATATACTTAATATTTAGTTCCAGAACGTACTGTTCATTTGTAAGTGTAACCCCGTTTAAAAGTTCTTGTAGCCCTTCTAAGCTGTCAGCATATATATTGTTGTTGATATTTCACCTCTGTAATATATTCTAGTGCGCTTCTGAATATTTTTCCTGAGTAGAGGTTAAACCAGATCGACAATATGCACCCCGCCCGACTCGCTGTGTTCCAGCTTTATGGTTGCCTTCTGAATCCACTATAAATTCGCAATGATTCTGATGATTTTTCCAATCCGATCCGCTTCATGTAACTTTTTTACCTTAGTTTCGTGCTGACAGCGATCGAAGGTCTTAGCAGAGTCTATAAAGTACACGCGAACGTCGCAGTTCAAGTCCCTACAGCGTTGTATGGCAAACAGTGCCTCTCATATACCGATGCCATTGTGAAATCCAAACTTCGACTTGCTCATATCTTTTTCACATTTTTCTTCTTTCTTCTTCTTCTTAAGAAAGATTGTAAAAACGTGTAATATAAGGCTGATGGTGCGGTAATCACCACAAGATTTCTGATCATCCGTCCAAAAACTTAAGTATTTATTTTTCCAATGTCGTTCATTTATCTATTCCGTTAAAAAACAGCTCGCCCTGTTTTGGCAATAAAGGTAATTTTTATTTAATAAAATGTTTCAATTGCTGACACTATGTATCACATTCTGATTCGTTTTTAAAGATGAAAACTATAATTACGCGTCACTTGCTCTACGCAGTTGCTTGAAATTGAAAAGAAAGTAATAAAAACATTGATGATTCCGGATAAGGTGGAAGGAATGAGTTGTCTGTGAATGCTTTCATGCCTACACTCCGACACAACTCTCGCCAAATTATTATTGTTTCCTTCACAGATGGCAAGAACTTGTTGGTGGTATTACTTTTCGAAGTTCACCGAATTCTTCGATACCCTGTTCTTTATTTTAAGAAAAAAGAATAGCCACGTATCGACGCTGCATGTGATACATCACGGCTGTATGCCGTTTTCTGTATGGATGGGCATGAAATTCGCTCCAGGTAAGTTCCGAAAAATTCATCAAATGTTTTTTGATTGTAACAGTAATTGCATGGCGGGGAAAGGACGCAGATCCGTTTAATTAGACACTAACGCCAAACATTCTTCAGTCGTTGACTTTTCGTTGCTCTTTAATGGGAATTTACGACTTAATTATCAGGCGCTTTATATTCGATTGTCATTAGACAGGCTATAGACGTTTGTATTTTTAGTCCGGCAAATGGGGCCTGTACTATTATTGGTTAAATAATAAATAAGTGTCAAGTAATCGAAAATACGTAGTTGACAAAAGAAACTAAATTTTTTGGTTGATGTTATCGACGAAAGAGAAATCTAATCGTGTAACCAAATTAGCCGTAAAAACGACAAATAGAAGAAAAAATAATTTCGATATCCAGGTAATGGATTTCCAGCACGAATCCGCTCAAAAAAACCACCCTCGAAGATGACGTCATTGCGCTTTTCAAGCTCGTTAACCGTAACTTCAACTAGAAAATTTTAAAGCACTTTTTTAATTCTCCGTTAAATTCTACATAAATGACCTTGGAAAATAAACGCAGTTTTCAGCGAAAAAAATGAACCACCGTTTCTTGCTACGTTTGCTTCAAGAATTATTAGGGCGACAAAAAAATGAACGCAATCATAATTAAAGAGCAGTTCTGACATAAGACCCACATAAAATAAAATATTTATGAACAAGTGTTAGTGTTCATATGATTTTTTTATACATGTGATTCTGTACTTATTTCCACACCACCCTTGAGGTAAATTCTGTTTCTCGGTCCCTTTTTAAGTGGTTTCGTCTGAAGCACTCTTTATTTCACTTATTATCTTTCTCTCCGTTGGTTTCCTCACACATGAAGATCGTGACCTCTTTGAAATGCTCCCATTCTATTGTCTCCTTCCTATCTCGATTTTCCGATTGATGATACAATACAAAACGATACGTGAAGGACTGGGACTTGCTTGATTTGAACAAACTATCTCGTAGATGTACTATCCCCTGTACATCTTCCTTGACTATAAGCCTTTCTATATTGTCATCTCGTCTTCTAACTATGTGTCCATAATATTGCACCACTAGATGATAGTCTGTTCCTTACACGTAACTCTTCCAGTATCGACTGATTAGTTCTCCTCGCGGTCCAGCGACTTGTAATCAAACTCTTGCAGGACCACACTTCAAATGAATCAAGATATTTGCGTTCTTTAACTCTAACTCTGAACGATTCTGATCCGTATGAAAAGATTGGAAAGAGCACCGTTCTGACCAGATTATTTTTTTTTAAGTTCTGTACGCATGCACCCGTGTTGCTTATTATTGAACCCAGATATGCAAAGCTACTTACCCTTTTGAGATCGTCAAGTAGATTAATCATGTATACGAAGTTAGGCTTATTCACTATGATGTTTAACAGAACCGCCGTTTCCTCCTATGTTGAAGCAAAAAGTAGAAGCTGGCACTTGAGTCATAACCACTGGCACGAGGAACTTATTAGAATCAGCAGTAATTTCAACTCTAGCTGCTAACTGCAACAATTATGAAAAACCCGTTATAGGGCAGAAATCGATTTGCTTACACTCAGTATAGATCTTTCTCCGCCGTACAAGGCATTCGCTTTTTAAAAGATGTTGAAGGAAATATTGTGGACAGTGCGTATATTTCCAACGTCTTAAAAAATGCGGCAGTTTTAAAGGATTGCCTTTTTTGGTAAAGGAAAATCACATAGTATAAAATTAATAAATGGGAGAAATTTGCACCTTCTTATACAAGGCACCCCTAAATGAGACATCTTGGAAGCACTATTGGTTCATTTTATTTACTAACTTAGGAACAAAATTCGAATGCCAACCACTCAAGCGGCGGTTTGTAGTTCAGCTCTTAAGCTGTAAAAACGGATGTTTTAAGCGTTGCAGCTGTGTGAAAGTTGATTTGCGCTGCAAAACAATGTACTCTAATTTCTGAGAACAAAGTTGTTTAAATACCATCTAAATGAACGATTATATAATTATTTTTTATTAGTAGAATAAGCCTCTGCTTTAATACAAAAAAGATCGACAACTCGAATTTACCTCAAGGGTGATGTGGAAACGAGCTCAAAGTACAAAGTCACAGATATAAAACAAATATTACATGACCACAAACACTTGATCGTAAATATTTTATTTTATATGGGCTTCGTAAAGGAAGAAACTGCTCTTTAATTTGATTTAATTTTATTAATTAATATACTGCATGCTCAAAAATACTTTAGCGCTCTGAACAGATTACTTTTTGATATGAAGCAGTTATTGTTCTCATATTTTGAACAACCGGTAGATCTTATAGGGCCGTATTCATAGTCGCTCCTAAGGCCTTAAAAGCGCCTTAAAAATTTTATACTGGGAATCACGCATTTGTCAAATTCTTATCATATCACATTTTAATGTCTTCCTTCACTCAAGAAGCCTCAAGTATTGAATATTAATCCACTCTTAAGCCTTCGTTAAGGAGAGATCAGATTTTTAAAACAACAAACATATCAATAACGTAACAAAGCATCTCGTTACTTAAAAAAAAACAATTAAAATACTATTAATTAAAAAACTAATTGCACAATGTTTGAGGGAAAAATTATGTGACATCTTTAAAATTTTAAATGAGCCACCCCGTATATTGTATTATTTTTAAGTTCTATGGTTTATTACAAGTTAATGTTCGACAGGTGTGCCTATACCTATAGCTAGACTGGCATAGCTTTCAGTACTTCACGTTTACATTAACAATTTCAAATAATTATTCCCTTAACGGAAGGAACACTTTTAAGTACAATAAATTAGTTTAATTATTCGAATGAATCCGAAGAAAATAATTATTTAAATTTGGCTTTGTTAAAAAGAAAGTAAACAATATAGGAAAATTTATTTTTATATACATATATTAATATTATATTAATACATATTTCTGCTCAAGCCGTCCTTACATTGTAACCGTCCAAGTTTTTATTATTAGTTAAGGAGAAACTGTCCTATAACTCGAAAGATATTTATCAGGGAAAAAAATATTGCTGTGTTCGTAAAAAATAAATTTTTCTTGGAAAATTCCTTATATAGGTGGGAGAAAAATCCTGTCCGTTAGTAATGATTACCAAATATTTTTGATTTTAGGGCGAGAGAGCTATTTTTACATTTTTTAATTAAAAGAAAATTTGCTGGTGCTAATTTAAAAAAAATAGGCATGTCAAATTTTGCTGTTAAATATTAAATGTCAAAAAGTATTTCGTTCATTTAATTTTTTTAATTTTGTGGCAGTAGAAATATTCTAGAATAAGAGAAAATATGAAACTATTTATTATTAACCCCAGATTTGTACCCTAGAAAACTTTAGATAACCTTGCTTAACTTTTTAATGTTTGACTTGTTTTTTTATTTTTTATGATATTTTATGATCCTTTATGCAACATAAAAATTTTAGTGTAGTGTCACCTCTAAAGTCTGCATCATGTGGGATCAGTTTGAGTTTGAGTTTTTGCAAATTTTGATGCACCAAAAATAATGAATACATCGATTTACGAAACTTTTTAAAAAAATACCTCCAGTTGCCAAAATTGACCAAGGTAACTTAATTAATTTCTTTGTTATATTGCTTCAGTTAATATTTAACTGCTTTGGTTTAATCATATTTACTTTACATGAAGTTTGAAGATATTCTTTGAAATCGAGTGTTAAATATAAATTTAAATTTTATTAAAAAAAGTTGGGTTGGAAAAAAGTGAAAAAAATCAAGCTTGTCCAATACTTTTTCCAATAAAACGTCTCGATATATATATATATATATATATATATATATATATATATATATATATATATATATATATATATATATATATATATATATATATATATATATATATATATATATATATATATATATATATATATATTTTAAAATGAAAATGTCAATTTTAAGAGGTAATGGCAAACGTTTTTTAAAAAATTTCGTAAATTGATTTATTAATTCTTTTTTGTGAATTAATAAAAAATGTTCCCATATGTTGCGTATTTATGTATGTTATACATACATATATTGCAAATAAATCATTTATTTCTTTCTTTCAATGAGTGGGCTAGGGTTAATAACCATGAATATTTATTTTATTTTTAGGTGGACATAGTACCTTCTTCGCATTGCTCAACACTTTCGTCCACATCATTATGTACTTCTACTACATGGTGTCGGCGATGGGTCCCCAATATCAAAAGTTTATATGGTGGAAAAAGTATTTAACTAGCTTGCAGATGCTGCAGTTTGTTGCGATCTTTTCGCATCAGCTGCAGCTGTTGTTCACGGAATGCGACTACCCGAAGGGGTTCATGGTTTGGATAGCCCTGCACGGATTCCTGTTTCTCTTTTTGTTTTCCGATTTCTACAAAGTTAGCTATTCAAGGGACAAGAAAAAACTCAAGACTTCCAACAACGGTGCTTGTATGGTGAGTTTTTGTTGTGTTTTAGAGTTTTGAGTGATTTTTTTATTTCATTACAATTGAATTGAATGTGATGGTTGTTTGAGTTGAATCGCCTCGAAAACATCAGTGACGTCAGTCAGTCTAAAGCATTAATTTGTTGTGCGTTGGTGTTGTATTGTGCAAAATTTTATTTATTTTAATTTAGGGTTTATTTTTTATGGTCATATTGCGGCTTCGTCCTAAGCATCGAGGGTGAGCTGATAAGTCCCGGGCCTAACGATGAAAACAATTTTTTTTTTTACATAATCCCGAAAAAGACTAAACGTAGAGCTCCTCAAAACATACATTCAAACCAGTAGTAGTAGTATTACTATTTAATAAAATAATGCCCTGAATATTTATTTGATAAAATTAAATTTAGGTGATGCTCATGCTTCCCCCTCATAAAACATCAGTTTTCCTGAGATCCTTTTCATAACCGGTTTATTTAAATTCTAACAGGATTCCTCTTAGTCTTAAAATTTTACTACAGCATTGAAAAAAGCTGCTCGTAAATAAATAACTGGGCGGTTGAACTGTGTCACATGTAGCATATGATTTGCTTTGAGTGCATGTCTTCTATCTGCTGTCTGTCGTCTTCTTCTTTTGTTATATCATTTTTTTTATAAATAAATTAATGCAAATAATAACAGGTACGTACATGTTTGACGTGGGGTTCTTTTTTTCTTTTATATTCTTTTTCCCTTCTTCAGTATTGCTTGCGTCTTAGTTGTTAGTTGGCTTAACTAATAATTAATATACGTAGAGAAGTGTAAGTTTACCTTAGCCTTTTGTATTTTCTAATACAATAAAAACATATTATTATTCTTGAAACTACCTAGTTGCTCCCAAAGACAGAGACAGAGAGAGAGAGAGAGAGAGAGAGAGAGAGAGAGAGAGAGAGAGAGAGAGAGAGAGAGAGAGAGAGAGAGAGAGAGAGAGAGTGTCAAGCTAAAAAAATTAATACTAAAACAATTTGCCACTTGATCCAGACTATTTTGTCTGCACCACAAAAAGACATTATTAGGGTAGCCCTGAAGAAGCTTAGCATCGATAATAAATGAGTCAATTGTTTTATAAAATTTAAAATCTGCAAAGTCAAGAAGTTCAGAATACAAAACCACATCACTCAGATCTGTTATAACAAATTAATGAAAACTGAACTTATGTGTGAACCCTGAGGAACATCCGAGTACACCACTCTGGAAATATAATTGTTACGAACAAGGTGCTCTTGACTGGCTCTGCCAAACACCTTTGAAAAGTTCGTGTAGACACTGTCTACTTGTTTAGACTTCTCAAAAGCTCTCAACAGATCCTGCTGATAGGTGAGCAGGTTAGTCACGTGGACCTAGCCTGAGAAAACCCATGCCGGTTGTAACACATAGTTTACTAAAGATACTGACATTGCTTCTGTGGCCATTCTTATGAATTGGCGTTAAATAACTTACTTTCCAGTAATTAAGAGAAACACCAGACGATAGAGAAGCATTAAAAATCTGCACGCACTCACAAACCTGCACTGTGGGTCATTTTATTTCTAAACAATTATTTCTACACACTTAACGCGTTTTCTTAGAATACTTAACGATATTTGGATATATTTTGAAAAAATGTTTCCGTCAAATTGCCGCATCCAAACTTATTGACAATCTGTCAGCGCCCATGTTGGACCTTCTCAAAAATTGTTCCATAGTTGCTTCATAAGTTCCTGTATTATAGACGTAGCCACTATATATCTAATAGCAATATGATAGTAACGAATGATTTTTTGACTCGAATTAACGAACGCCGTTTTCAGCCCGTCCTGGAAGAAGAGAACGCAAACGGCACGACGACGACGAAACCTTTCACAAACGGCGCCGCCAACGGTGTCGTCAACAAGCTGTCAAACGGCAACGGGGTAACGAACGGCACGTTCAAGAGCTCATACGAAAGCGACATTTCAAAATCGTATGGGTTGAGTTACGCCAACGGCAGCGCGCACGGTTTCGCACAGCACAACGGCAAAAAGATCGACTAAATCGTAATCGTTTATTTTCTATTTTCCATTAATTACTTCGCCGCTAGGTATTTACGCAAATTTATTTTGCGCGGTTCGGTAACGATAGATAATTTATTCGCTTCATCGGCACTCATCGTTTTCACCCGAGTCATTTCGATGGGATTCTTTTTTTTTGTCTTCATTAGACGGAAATTTTGGTGGGTGTAAATTGTCCCGGCGTTATGCTGTATATGATTTATAAACGAAGTTGACGTTTGGAAAACGCCGTTTATAGCCCGGTCAAAATGGAGGTTTCAAACAAAAACACTGACTCATCTCTGTGGGCCCCTTGGATTTATGGGCCACAGAATTAATACTCCTAGTTGGCTGGTATATAAGAATACACAAACCGATTCACTCATGGAGAAAGAGAGACAGAACGTTCATGCGTTAGAAATTAATAATCAATAATTCGCAATAATCTAAAAGGTTGCACTTGTGCATGTATGCTATCAAACTTAACTGTGCATTATAATATCAAGATTTTTCGTATGAAATCGAATCAATAAAAAAAAAACACGAGACAGCGTCTAATGGAAGGCATCTGAAATATACTACCTCTACAAATATCGCTCAAATTTCAAATCGCTAAAGAAAACCTAAGGACGTAAATCTATAGACAAACTTTTTACCTAGAAAATACATACAAATATTTTTTCTGATGTAGACGGTTACTCATATAAGCCTGTGCTGCTTTAATATATTGTTAATATGTATTTCACATTTACATAAAATGGGATTTATTTGGCAACAGTGCGAGTATATAACGCAGGCGCGGTGCATATTATCCAAACTTTCATTGCTTTCTCCCTTTCATTGACAGGAGTTTCTCTCTCTACCAGCCTTCTAAGATTATGATTATCAACTCTATGATCAATACAAATATCATAAAATCATAAAATTATTGACAAAAATGATCGACACTTAACAGTGTTAGGAATCAACATTCCTACGACACCTTAGCTGCGTCACGAGCCTTTCAAATTTTGCTTAATACCTCGTTCAGTAACGATCAAATCGACATAAGCAACCTGTTGATCGTCTAGTTGAGATTTTTCATTTATTGAGTTCACAATAGATAGATTGCTGATTATCTGGTTGAGGTTCGTTCCTCATTTATTATATCGGTAGAAGTCATCATCTGTGTTATATTGCTGTTCTCACTTGCCGTTCTGTATAAAATTGTACCGTCATCAGAATTGCCGTCTTGTAACATCTGTTCTGTATTGTTTCTAGCAACCCGTTAAATGGCGGAATTTATTACGTTGTCCTGCTGTAATTAGGCACGTATCGGTCTGCCTTGTCCAAGTGATAAATTCAAGCTCCTCAAACTTTGATTTTTTAAATGAAGCAATAGCGGTGGGCCATTATTAATATGGGCGATCCAAAGTAATAAATTTATGAATTTGATCGATGCTCCTAGCCATTATTCATAATGAGCGGCCCATATTAGTAATACGACTCAGTAAATCAAGTTGTCCTTAACACATTCAATGCAAAATTTAGTATCGCAATATCTGAGGAATGGTGATTCCTAAGAAAAAAATTATAAGGACCACTTTTGTAGATAATTCTATGATTTACAATTTATGACTGACGTATTTTTTGAGAAAAATCTAAAAATCGGACATTTTGACATTCGACCTTAAATAACTTTTTTAGTACACTTGGGATCGATAAAGACTTTTGACGCTCTATTTCTGGTGTGCACCCAGCTTCTCCACCACAAAATCCAGCTCTGTCGAAATTTTTATTGATCACTAATTTAGTTCTAATTTAACCGGATTATTAAAAACTCGGCAAGGTCAAATGAGTAAAATAAATAACGCGATCAATAGAAATGCTTGTAGTGCGTTGTATTTCGAAACTGAACGTAAATATTTGCGGCACAAATTGTGGTTTGGTCAAATAGACACTGCCGGACACTCGAAACACTGTTTTTTCTATGAGCGTGCGAAAAACATAGGACATAGAACTGAGGAAAAAACTATAAAATTAACGATCGTTAATTTGTATCATAAAAAACAAAAAATAACTACCCCACTTTTTATTATTAATTTTAATTTTCATTATCACCTTTTCAAAGTGGTAAAACGGACTTATTTGTTTTAAGTTGGTGCTACTATGCATAATGCGTAGTAGTTTTCAGTACTAGTGGCGTACAAAAGCTCATTTAATCCGCTTTTAAACTGTATAATTGTTTTTATACAGAGTGGTAAACCGGAGACCGCATTAAAATATAAATTCAGCACAGTGAAGAAAATGCCTTTTTTTCACAAGTAAGTTGCATAGTTCGTTTTTTGGACAAAAAAATATTTTGCTTTGCTTTTGATTTCTTTGTCCCTTTTTAATATTCGACCCCCTCAATTTTCAACAATTTTTCACTGTTTGGGCTTTAACTTGCACAGGAAGGACTTGCTTCAAAAGTGGTAGAAATCATTTTTGAGTTACCAATACAATACCAATTAGGTATGAAGGAACGCAGCAGTTATTCACAATTTGGATACACTAACCCGAAATATACTTTTAAAAAATGGTAATGCACTGTTTTCTTTCATCTATGATAGCAACTTATTGAATACATTCATTAATTTTTTTGTTCTGTCTGCATTTCAAATTTTGAGATAAACAATGAATGTTTTAAAGTTCATACTTAACTTACATCTAGTCATATTGATGCACTTTTTTTACTCTTGTGAGGATAAAAATTATATACAGATTTGATGAAAATTAGTTAATATTTCTAATCGGAATTAGCCAATTAAAATGAATGTTAGTAATAATATAATATTTATACAGAATCGACATCATAAATGGCATCTAATGTTTATCCAACACCCTGGAAATCTAATTTGTTTAAAAAAAATCTTGAAATCGAAAATTGTTTTTTAGTTTAGCCTTTCAGAATATATGTTTAAGTGTCGAAAAAATAGATCTTTGAAAACAGTCTACATTTTTTGTTTTCGTCAAATATTTTCCATGAGTGTTTCCAAACCCACTTCAGTTTAAAATCAAATCTTTCTCAAAACTAACAAATTTTATCAAATACTGGTATACATTTTTTTCATTTATCTTTGTTTCTGCGTGCTCTGAAAACAATATCATCTGATTTTCTTCGACTGCGAATTTTACAGGGAAAATTTCTACCAAAAAGTTGTACACGTTTTTCTAAAAGCCTTTTTTCTACGTAAATCAGATACTGCAATTTATTAATCAATTTCTTTGGTAATAAATTAGCACTTGCTCTAATTTCTTGTGAAATTTGAATAATCATCTGGTTATATATAGCATGTTAAAATTCTCCTGTTAAGAACATACGATTTTTAAGGTCATGGTTAACATGCACAAAAAAGTTTCTTATTGATTGATGAATATGACAAAATATCACCCAGATTTAATGTCAGTCATAGAAAATTACTAAACGTAAAACGATCTTAGTGTACTTTAAATGTTAAAGTTGACGACAAAACAAAGTTTGTCAATTTATTGAACAACAAATTAACTCGAAAGTTAGGTATGTAAAGTACGCTTAAACAAAACAATAATTATTATTTACTATAAATTTAGCCCAATCATGCTGAAACTGAGTGTAATGCCCTTGGAATTTATAGAATTTTTCTGAACTACAGAACACGAAAAATGTCCACTCTTTAAAATTTCGTATTTACCAATACTTACTTGGTAGTGTTACATTATTTGTTAAAATAATAACTAATTTTTGTTTGGTATTACATATATTATCATTTTTAGTTTTCATTAGTCAGCTCGAGCAAGAATAAATACCGGTGGTTCAAAACAAAAAATAAGTAGATAGTAGTAACATCAAAAACTCCATAGTGATGTCGTAAGATAAGGGAGAGGGTACATGCTCAAGCCGGAGAAAATCGTGCATTAAATCAACAGATGTAGTGAATATCACAATATCTGTAACGAGAATATTAGATACTGTTTTGTTAACCTAAAATATTATTGTCGCAACATTCTATCCAGCAAGAAAACTTTCACAATGGAAATAAATTAATAATAAACTGGAATAATATATTTATCAACATTTATACATGTTACTAAATTAAATAATTAAAAAAATAGAATCAAAATCAATAACAGAAAGTATTTTATTAAATATCAAATACAAAAAAGTGTCAAAAATGCGTTATTTTATTTTGTGAGCTTGACGATCAAAACCAGCGCACAAAGTATTAGGATAGGTTTTAACAAATTGACTTTTTTGGCTTTGGAACTGCATTAAATTAGAAAACTTTTCCGAGTGGTGTGGCCTTTTTTGTCAAGGGTATCCGAATTTTATAATTCTGTGTGTTTGTTAGCGTCACATAACAAATAATGCAAATAATGCTTTATTTTATAACATTTTTATGCACGCTACCATCATTTTTGTATCAGAAACTATGTACATAAAATGTACAGTCAGAAAACATGCTTGTCATTAGTGCATGGTGACATAGATTTTTGTCCAGGAAAAATAAATTTTATTTTTAAAAAATGTTAATCTATTTATTAGAAATTTTATAACGGTTTTAGTTGGCATATTTGGATGTCTTGGTGATACCAATGTAAATATTTAAGCGGTTATTTTAGCTTAGTTCTTATTTTGTTGAAATCTGTTGTTGGCATTTATTTTTGTACTTAGTATACACAAGCAGTTTTTATATTCATATTTAAACCACAGATATGTTGTTAGAATCAAGGTGGTTTAATTATCTACTTTGGCGTGTTTTGCACAAGTGACGAACAACGTCGGCAAAATTCATAACTTACGCAAGCATACATAACACAAGCTGCTTTGAAACGGAGTGGAATTTGATACCAACTCCTAAATGGACGTTTTATTTCTTATAAGTTTTCGAATTTCTGTTGCTTTTTTAATTTAAGAAACCAATCAAAAAAATGATTGCAAAGTAGCGCTAAACTATTTTTGACTTTTTAAGCCTTAAATAAAGTGTTATCCCAATGGTTTTGTTACAGACAATATTTTTGATATATAAGTGCTGTAGCAAAACATCTTAAATATGTACATATTTGTTGCGTAAATTTACCTAGGTTATTAAAATGTATAGTATTTTTGTACATAAAATAAATTGCTGATTTCAAAAACGGTGTTTTTATTAGTTATTAAACTAATCATATTGTGTGAACCAATTAAACTAATTAAATCAACGAAGCTTCTTTCTACAAAGGTTTGTCAGAAATGGAAAATCCCCAAAATATTCCAAAAATGAAGATCAACTTCAGAAAAAGAAAATTCGGCATAATTCAGGTCCTTTTAAATAAAGACGACAACAGTGAGCGAAGAAGAAAAATGTCATATACGAGTGTCACAAGAAATATCAATGCATTACTAGCTTGTTTGGTAGGAAGTATAGTAGCTGGTAAAATGTCCATTATGTATAGACAAAAATAACTATCAAAATGTCAAACAAATGAAACTCATCTCTAGCAGATTTGCAGTCTCGTTCACAGAGCTTATTAGTTTCAGAGAGTGACTACTAGATATGCAATAGTTCAATTGTCAAAATATTCAGATAAGGGATGTTTACTACCACTCATAAAATTTTACACATATTTTGAGGGTTACCTTGTATTAGTGTCTGACGCGTTCAAGTCATTCTGATGCAAAAGGAAGGTGGTAAGAAATTATAAAATAGTTTTCAGAATCCTTATCGTTTCCCCTGAAATACCACAGCTTAATTTGCTCAATGTTGCAGTTTGCAAATAAAATTTATTCAAATTCGACATTTTATCGCCATCTCTATATGAGAAGCATAACTAAGTAGCTTAAACCGGGCCGCTTGGACTTGACGCCCATAATACAGCTGTTTTTCCGAGGATTAGCAATCCACATTTTTTATTGTGGTACGTTGTATCGGCAGTAAACTTCAAAGATTAAGTTTTATAAGTTAAGTGGTAAGTTTTTATACACATTGCATGGTGGCAATAAAATCATACCTTGAAAGCAAGGAGTTTAATTGAATTTCGGCGGAAGGGAAATTTTATAAACTAAACGCCCCGCACACCCCAACAGTCAATAATCATCAAATTAACATTTTAGTTAAGGAAATAGTCGCACATGTTCTAAGCGAGTCATAATATAACATAGTTGTAAATTTAAAAAATTTTAAATGCAAAAATTAGTTGTATATATTTGCTGCATACAATGAAATTAGTCGTTAGTATGCAGGGCATCTCATAAATATCTCACCACAACACCTAACTTTCTAATCTTAAGTAGAACACCCTTATTTCTTTCTTTCATTTCTGTGATGTTTCTCTTTATTTATTCTCAAAGATTTTAAACAATGCCTGATAATCGTTTGTAGATAAAAGGAAATACAAAACACGAAATTCCTAGTAAAAATTTATTTATCACTTAGAGAATATTCAATATTGACAAACCAATTATATCATTTTCAAAGATCCAAAACTTTTTTCAAATAACACCAATCTAATTCTACACCGATTTACTATGCCTTTCCTATACTTCTTTCCAATTAACTTTTTTCTTGCTGGAAAGTTCTTTCTAGTGAGCATTGACTTTGACCAAATTTGACATGTCCTGGGTTTTATTTCAAGAAGCTGAAGAACTGTAGAACTGACCATCCCAGATCAACCAATTGGTACCCTGTGGCTGTATCAAAGAACTAACTACTGTACACCATTAAGGCTTGTGCAAAAGAGAGATGAATTGCTGAAATGAAAAAAAAATTTATTGTTTTGAGTTCATGTGCTAATTAAACTGCATAGCCAATATTAATTGCCATTATGGCATAAGCTTATATCTTTCAAAAGTTACGCTCTAGAAATGAAAAATCTAAAGACCTCAGAACAGTAAATAAATAAATAACTTGTCAAAGTTTCAATATCAAATCAATAACTTGTCAAAGTTTGGCAATATCATTGCTTTCAGATACTTACCCTGCATAATGGCAACTATTTTCATCGTATGCAGTACATGTGGTAACAAAACCATGGACAAACCAGTCAAATTTGAAGACCCAAACCATCTCTGATATTAAAACTTTATATGTACAATTGGTAAACGTTAAAGAATGATTAAACTAGAAAACCCCTGATGAGATGGAATCAAGTGAAGTTCAGAAAGCGCGATTGAAAACAATATTAATTTTATTTAGTGTAGTTCCTTTGCAATTTAAACTTGGCATTTAACCTGACAACTTTCACAATGACAAATTAAAATTGACCGTCCACTATTTACAATTTTTGGGCGCAACAGAATGGCAGAAGTTTTTGCTGGACTAATTTCTCCGACGCTTATGAGCACAGAAATTCAAGCTTTTGTATTGGCAGCGCTTTGTTTCATCGGAACATGGGTGATAATAACAAAAATTATACAAATTATTATTTCGCTTCTGTGGCCATTTCTTTTAATGGCAGCAATCTTGATGCTAGCACCAAACTGGACGAATATGATTATCATAGAAACTGTACCCCAATACATGCAAATACTACATGAATATTTGAAACGCCTTGCGAACTACTTTACGACTACCTTAAAATAGGAATTACATGCTGGGACTCCCAGCAGAAAGCAGCAGATCAGTATAAAACAAATTTACTTACATGTACTATATACAAATTAAAAAAAATATTCAAAAATGCATTAGTGTTTCTGTTAGTACTTCGTTAATGTGTTCCGAATTTTCGTTAAGCAGGTGGCCACATCCAATGATACAGTTTTTGATTTTACATCCACTTTCTATCACAGCACCATCGCAGATAATAGAATTCTCAATTGCAACCCTGAAAAAATCGATAAAGAAACTAAACTAAACAAAATCAATAACGTTTCTCCAACTCAAACACGTGAGTGATAACAAAAAATTTTACCCATCAAATGTTTAATAAATAATATACATACTTTTCTTTAATTGTAACGTTGTTCATGATGATGCTGTTAAACACTCTACTGAAACTCTCCACTTCGGTGTTGTTACCTATTATCGCGTTTTTAAAGGATGTCTTTTCTTTCAATTTGGCGCCATCCCAAATTATACACTTGTCATCGACCTGATTGGATTGTACTGATGCGCCTGCGCTTTTTCGTATTAAATCTTTTGTTGGGGTTATTTTCTCCCACAAGTTTGAAATCTGCAAATATAGCATAGAAATAATATAACACGGCTGTATAGTTAAGTTTAAAAAATCGATCCACGTGATATATAATTAATCCAATCTAAATTTAAAAGGTACACGAAATAACAAGAGATCTGCAAAATGTTTTTACATTCCACAAACGGAGTTTCAGGTGAAATTTGCATAAAAAAACCTTTAAAATAAAAGCACTTTGTGAGAGCTTAAAAATTGCACACAATTTGTCAACAATACTATTTTTTTTATTTCAGTACACTGGATATTTACGAAAACCCCAAAGGGACAACAAAAATAAAATAATAGTTTTAATTTAATTAGGCAAATTTTTGATCAATAGGGTTTGTGGAAGACAAGTTAGAATTTCCGACATAAGTCGAATCAGTCCGTCTTAAGGGACAGTGCCAATCGAAACATAAGACATACAGGACGATTCATAAAGAATGAGCAATCTCTAAACTGGAAGGACTAGACACAAACCATCCTTTAAGTAACTATTTAAAAAAAAAAAAAAAATATCTTGAACTTGAACAAGAGTACCTTTTCTATGAAAAATTAAACATTCTATTAGATTTTCATTATCAAAGAATCTAAAACTGCCAATGTTTATTATTATACTATAAAAACTTTCTAACTTAATGGGAAAATTGAGAGTAAAATTTAAACTTTTAAATCTCTTAACCTTCGAATCTCCGAAAACAACGACATTTGTATGAGGATGTTGAGCTCAATCATGTTTTGGTATAGAGAAATTCTGAATTGTCTGAAATTCTAACTTGAATTCTAGAAATTTTGACTTAATTTTAAGAAATTCTGACTTAAGATATTGCCACCAGAGGGCGGAATTACTGTCTTTATTTTTAAAAGCCTGTTTCTGCAAAATTTTCTAATATTAAGTATAGTTAAAAAACTTTTCTTAAGTTAAGACAAATACAAATCATTTTTCAAAAACATTTTAATACACTTAGAGTCGTTAGAAAGGGCTTTGCTTGGACTATCAATGCTGATCGATGAAATTGCGATTTCTTACCTTGCTACCAGATGGCGTTTTTTGACATAATCGCAAAAAAAAATTTATGGCTACAATTAGAAAATTTTGCAGAAATCTGCTTTTAAAAATAAAGATATCAATTGTGCCCCCTAGTGCCTACATCAGAAACTCGAAAATAATTTCCAGCATTTTCTCTTGACTGACTTACTTTTTTTTTTTTCAAATTTCTAGGACAGTCCGATTCGCTAATACCACAGCTCGATTTCCTTATTGAAACACCCAGCATATATTAACAGCGCTTTTTTTTTTGCTATTCCTAGGTATAATTTAGCCAGCCAACTTTGAGCCAGGTGTGCAATACATTAAAAATTGTTAAATCCGAATTTACCTTAAAATCCTTTTCCACGAATCTTAGTCACTTACCTTCCCATTTATACTCCAATATGCTGGTAAGTTATTAACCCTTATACCAAATGAAGCCTTTGGTGCAACATAAGCATAACATCGAATTGAATCACCATTATATGTTGGCTTAAGGTCTCCAAAATGATCATTATAAGAGGAAGTTTCTCTTATCAACAAGTCAAGATCACTTTCTTCGGAAAAATGGAATATACTACCTGTGTCTTTTGTGTTTAAAATGGACTGATTAGTATCTGTTGTCTTCGGTGGCTTTGATAACTGTCTCTTAACAATATACGGAATCAACTCTCCTTTAAGAGATGTAAAGCTGTCTTCCAATTTAAGATGTTGTATTACCCAATTTTTGATTACATAAATGTGGGAGTCAACCAGATTGCTATACATTTTTACATGAGTATGTTTCTTAAGAAGCTTTAATGGTAGGGATACATCTGATTCAAAATCACTAGCTGAAGCCAGAAACACTAACCTGTTTGTCTGCACATCAATACCTACTAAATCCCTTTCTAAAATAAACAAATTAATTATAAATAGAATTAAATAAAGTATCGGGAGGCCATTTAGGGTTACTGGACCCCTATCTCGAAAACCAATTTTAGTCACCCCATACCTTGTTAACTGACAATTAATTTTCAAGATAGGGCAGAATGCCCTTACTGGCCAATGCAGTATAGGAACTTCAACAAAGAGAAATGATCAAGTATGACTAAAATTATAGCCAGACTACTTACCAGCTTTATATTTTGATTTCGGACCAGGTACCATAAGAGTGCCTAGTGGATCTGAATGTAAGAATAATGACGCAATAGATGCATTATGTTTCCTAAATATATTTAATAGTCCACTTAGATTCTCATCACTGATTAAATCACAAGAAAGCACTAGTACATCGGATTTTAATCGATCATGTATCAATCTTAAGCTATCTGCAGTTCCTAAATCATCTCTATCTTCTGGAATTGATACAAATTCTATCTTAAGGTTCAGATCAGTGTTTTCCAAATGATTCTGAATCTCAGCTCGTTGGGTCTCTAATACAATGACAATAGCTTCTAAAAAATTAAATGAAATAATCATTACATAAACATATATTTAAAATATATTAAATGACCTGTAAATCCAGAAACCTGGAGATTGTTTAGTGTGTACCAAATAAGAGGTTTAGGACCAACAGGTAATAAACATTTCGGTTTTCTAGAAGTTATCTCTAACATCCTGGAACCTTTTCCAGCTGCCAAAACAACTGCTTGTAATTCGGGTTGAATCGTCATCTTGGCTATTTTAATGTCTGAATATTACCTAAATATTAAACTAATTATTATTTTCTTTCAAATATTTAATTTTAGTGTCACAAACAGAACATAAGTCAACGTAGATATACTAGATTATGTTATGCCAGATTCAAGTTCAAGTTCAATAATGCGTTTCACAAAAAAATGTTGGGCTCGACTGCTAGGATCATTCGCCCATTGCCGACTTCCGTCGAGGAACTTCGCTTCTGGTCAACGACCACCACGTACAAAGAAGAAAAATAACCAATAATTTGCTCAGCTAGCAAAAAAAGATTCTGACCGATACCAATACCGGCCGCCATACCGGCGTGAACGGGGAAAAACGACGGGACCGACGACGATTATCACTTTAAAACATGCACTGAACACTAAAAACACTAAATCCATACAGTGGAAACCGATATCAAACTTTTGAGGACAAAAACAAGGGATTCTGTCGGGAGCGAACGGAGGTTAAACCGTCGTGTACAATGCTCCACCACAGAATCCGTTATGCCAGATTCTAATATCCTCTATTTATAAATCTTCTTTATTTAATAGGGATAAAACCTGTAATAGGTAGCTGCTGGTATTAATGGCAACTTTTAGAAATTAAGAAATAATTTGCCTATGATCAGCTGGATTCTGTCGGTGGCATTGCACATGGCGTTCGCTTCCGACAGAATCCCATGTATTCGTCCCAAAAATTTAAAATCGGTCTCCACTGTGCGGATTTAGTGTTTTAAGTGTTCAGTGCATATTTTAAAGTTAAATCCTTTTTTTTACTAGCTGAGCAAATATTGGTTATATTTCGTCTTTCTTTTTACGTTTTGTTATTCACCAAAAGCGAAAATCCTGGACGGAAGTCGGCAATGGGCAAATAATCATAGCCCATCTGAAATTGTGAAACACAAAAGTGAAGTTGGACAATGATCAGAACTAACCTCTATTGAAATAAGGAAAGCAATTTGAAAATAATTTCAATCTTGTTATAACTAAACCAGTGTTTTCGTTGAATGACAATTTTTGATCTTATTGTAAAAAAACCCCAATATGTTGGCTAGAAGATTTGTAATGGTTGTAACTCCTTACGCGAAATGTTCAATAAATGTTATAATGAATTCAGGTAAACATAGAATGTATTGTATTAATCGCAAACAGAACGGGCATTATCGAAACTACAGACTATTATCAACAGTTCATAATGTTCCTGAGGAGGTTCTGACTAATGGGGATGAAAGTAGGTTGTCACTTTTTTAGAAAATGGTAATATTAAGTACTAATATTTTATGTTAAATTATTAGGTCAAGCAGATAATGGTAGCGAAGAACATGAAATTGACTATGACACAATCACTGGTGGCAATAAAGATATGGAACATAAACTGAAAATTATTATGTTGGAAACAGAAGTTATGAGACAGGAGGGTCACTTGGTACCTGATAATAATTTTTTTACAACCAGCATGTGGAAAGAACTAATGACTTTGAACTCAAAATCTGCTAGGACAAGACATCTACATTATTTGTTTAAAATTTCAAAGATAAAAGAAAACAGAAAAGTAAGTTAGACCCTATTGACTACTATCAAAGCAACTCCTAGCATAAAATAATAAAAATAAAAACTTAAAAAACACTAAAATGTGGTGCATTAAGCATATAAACATCATATTAATTTAAACATAACTAAAATGTGGTATAAAATGCTTATATCATATTAATTTAAGTTTGTAAACCTGTTAGCATTAAAAATATTACGTTTGCAAATCTGTTATTGGAAATTATAAACAAAATTTTTCTGATCATGATGTAAATTTTATCTAGAGGACTTCATTCGTTGATAATACCACATGTACCCTAGTACCAAAAAATAACTACTAATTTTACTCCTAACCATTCAAACTTTGAAAAAAATGTTAGTCTACTTGGAAAGTTATATGGAAAAAAAGTGATTTCTATTTAAAACTTAAAAAAATGAAAAATGCTTTCTACTTTAACTGAACTGTACTGAACATAAAGCAATTATACTTGTATTTAAATTTAATAATTTTTGGTCCCATTGGACTAATTTAAACAGTTGGTACATTTTTGCAAAACTACAGGAATACATACATTGAAAATGACGTCTTGGGCTGCAATGATATTTTCTGGGAACTTGCCCTCCGCGAAATTTTCTTTCTAAACAATTATCGCCACACACTTAAATCGTTTTCCGAGAAGATTTAACGAGATCTAGGCATATTTGAAGAAAATACTGCGGTAAAAAAATTCATTTGTTCTATATTTTACAGTTATTCTTAGGCATTGCTATAGATAAGCAATCGTTCATAAGATATTCCTAAAATTATCCTAAGAATTGACAAAACAAATAATACACAGAATTATTTGCACAGGCGAAAAAGTTGGAGAAGAAAATGCTGTACGAACAGGAACGTGCCAAAATGGAAGGTGAAGAAAGAAAGAATCTACCAATAGAAGAACATGCCCTTCGTTATGGATTGTGCTATAATAACCTTTTTTTGAGATTTTACGACACTACAATAAATAACCTGTACAACTACAGGCTCATTCAAGCCATGCAGTTTGGACAAAAGCTTGTAATTGATTGTGGGTATGAACAAAATATGACCAAGCTTGAAAATCACAATTGCGCAAAACAGGCAATGCTTAGTTTTGCCCAAAACCGGATCGGTAAAGGTATTGTCTCTGCCTTTGGTTGTAGCATGATTGTAATTGTAATTTTCCAGATCCTTTCGATATTCATTTCTGTAACATGAATAGAGAAGGGGAATTTGGTAAAATGATGAAGAAATATTTTCCTACAATAGATGAGCCTAGTTTTCCATTGAACATCCACGAAAAGAGTTACCTAGATCTTTATCCAAAGGAGGACCTAATTTATTTAACACCTCACTGCCAACAAGAAATGGTAGAGTATGATCCCCATGCAATTTATATAATTGGGGGCATAGTGGATAAGGTAATTTTTTTTTAATAATTTATGTTTGGTAATTTGTGCCCACATCTTCTTTTCCTGGCTCATACTATACAAGGTCTCACAAATTCAAGTAAAATCTTTTCAATCGCAAAAACTGAAGTTATAAAAAGCTTAACCCATATAGTTACTAGATATATAGAGGCCCTGTCTATGCTGACAAGATAGCTATATGGTTTAACCACAATTGATTTTTTCCTGCATTTATTTTTCGATTTATGGAAATAACCAATTTTTAATGACTATATATACAAATTTATTAAACAGTTTAATATGTAGGCATGACCAAGTAAGCATAGATTTATTTTTTATACAACTCTTTAAAAAATATTGTGATCCCTTTGTTTTTCCCGGTTTTCTGGCATAATTTTCACAATAACCTATTCAATAAATCAAAATTCTTTATACTCTACAGGTGACTAACACTAGTCACTAATCAATTTTTTAATTTATCAAAAAATTGCTAAAAATGAAATCATTAGAAGATAAATAGAATGTCCACCTATTCTCAGAAAATCAGCAACAACAAAATTTTTATATCATCTCTATATTATCTGCATTATGTTGATTTTGAAAACAGTTTAAAAAAAGTCAAATAAAGCTTCAATGCGAAGATGATGTGCCGGTGCCAGGGTGACCATCCTGGCGTGTTCAATAGCATTTTTTATTTTTAGAGTAACCACGCTCCTTTATCTTTAGCAAAAGCAAAAAAGGAAGGAATCAAAATGTATAAATTTCCTTTAGATCGCTATCTTCATTGGGGCGCAGGATCTGGAAAATCATTGACCCTCAACCATTGTGTTTCTATAATGATGGACATTAAAAACACGGGTAATTGGGAGTATGCATTAAGACACGTTCCAAAAAGAAAACTGGTAGATACTTACGTAAGTTCGCCAAATAAGAAATTTTCGAGAAAAAATGGAAATATGTGGGCACCTAAGTATAACAATTATCAAAATAGGGACTTTAAATCAGATAGAAATAAGAAATTGAATTTATATTTGAATAATAAATAGTTCCTGAGATATTTACTTGCTCTTTTGTTTAATTTCCCTAATAATTATTCATTGTAGTATAGTTTCTGGAAAACAAATTTGACCTTTAAAAAACCGCCAAGCGCCAATTGAGGCACGTTTTCGATGCCCCATATATAAAGCTAGGTACGATAATTCGAGTGAACTGTGTTTGTTAACCAAAACTTGGACTTCCCTTTGAATGAATTAAGTTTATCAATGTGCAAATCGAAAATGTGCCTTAGATTTTTTGAAATATAGCTCTTACATGTATGTGGACCTCACCTGCGCTGATAATATAGACACTTTTGAAACCAACCAAAAATATTGAGAAGGGATATTGAATATGCGGAATCCAAGAGTTGGCGCAAAGTGCAGATTACTGCGTAAAACATGAAAATGTTATGATTTTAGGGGTATTCAATTTTACGATCTTTAGGAACTCTAAATTATTTTATAACCATATGGTTCGAGAGTATCTATGAATATGTAAATTTAGTTCGAAATAAGGTAAGGTTATGTTCAAATAAGAATTTATACTTTCCTTAAAAACTTTGTTCCGACATTGTTTCATTAACATTAAAAGTTTGTCAAAAAGTTGGAAAGTTACTTTATCAATCATTTAGATTTTTTCCGATGTTAGATGATTTTTATTTTTTTTAATATTAAATAAGGGAAAGTAATTAAATCAAATCAAGGACGTTGCAAATATGTCAGTGGCGGAAATCATGACAACAGTAGAGGATAAGAAAAATAATTAAAATTCAATTGTTGGTCGAATACCTCTTAAGAAACGTCTTATTCGACTTCGGCAACATTCATTTTAAGCACAAAGTAAGTACTTCTTGGTGATTCTTGCATGCAACGGGGTTATGAATTAAACATTTAACGCGAAAGCGAACAAAACAACAGTGGACCACTGTCACTATTTCATATAAGTAAAAGTAAAATTTAAAACAAATCATCAAATCTTGCAATAGGTTGGAATGTTTATAATTCATCATTAGTGTTTATTATTATTTAAAAAATCCGAATTTTAACTGATTTTCCGGTATTTTTATTTATATTTACAATGGGAAATAAATAGCACCTATAATTTAATTTCTTCTTCTTCTGACTCTTGATATTCGCCACGCGTTGGGTTCCTCATATTTATTATATAACGGCTCCAAACGTTGATTCTTTTTGAATTTGCTTAACTTAGTCGGGTCAGAAAATTTGAAGAAAGCTGGTGCGAATTCAACTAACCATTTTGGATCAATTGTAGTCACCTCCCTCATATATTCCTTTGTGGTACAGACCAGTTCGTGGTAGATAACCCTAAAACAAAAAAATGAATATGTTGAATAGGAACTTCCAAAGTATGGAGTGAAACAGGACATAAACAGAAATTTATAACTTTGTTACATCACTTATAAGGTTTAAGAAACAAAATAAATGTATTTTCTCAAAATATTTTTTTAGACAGTTTACTATTTTAAATTGAAATTTAATAAACCAAAATCTGCTGTTCAGTTCATATAAATATAGATAGATAAACGCAAATAAATTTTTCTAGGCCAAAAAATTCACAAAATCAGCATACTTCAATGCAATGCGTCGTCAAATGTCAAAACGCGTAATCAAATCTGTGCTTTTTTTCTTGTGTTTTCTGCAAAATATGATCACTACAACTTTAGCTGCTTGTGATTAGATGGCTGAAATTTAGGTTGCAGTTAAGATTTTTAAATAATATAGGAAAATAGAGTTTTTATCATTTTTGTGTATTGAATCTGAAAATTACTCAAAACGGGCCTGTATAACTTAGATTATATAAGGTATAATCTAAGCTCTATAGACGAAATTTATCTAAATAAGTCTATTATGCTGGGTTTTCGCCAATTTCAACCAACCAAAAGATCAGCCTTTTGTGAGTTCAAATAGCAGCTAAGTTAAGTGTTAGTGTTATCATATTCTATTAGCAATAAAAAGAAAGCAATGAATCAAAAAATGTATAATAAAATTTAAAGTACCGATGTTGTTAGAAATTACAACGCTGCATCGTCAAAATTATTTTAGTTCGATGATAATTAAAAACATAACTATTTTGAGTTCTCGGTAAAAGTCTAACTCACCATCCACCACTGACAGTTTTTACTTTCTTTCATTTTTGTCGTACATATTTACAAACCCTATATTTTCTACTAGGAACAATAATAAAACGTTATCGAGTCCCCTATGTATCGTGTCAATAATATGTTTTGCTGTATACCTACGCATTTTTTGAGAAGAGTTAAGACACAAAAATTTGGCGCCATTCAATTATGGTTTACATGGCTATTGCTGTTTGCTGTTGCTAATTTTATGGATGTGTCTTTTCCACGTATATATCACTAATTTAAAAAAAAAGTATAACAAGTTGGCAATTATAACCTATTACATATAATCTACAAAAATATTACAAAATGACAATCTCTGAAAAACAACAGTAACATAAGAAACAAAAACTGAGCTTCTCTTTCTGTAAGTTGACAGCTTGCCTGCGAAGTCCCCAATACATGGGTGGTCTTAAAATATATAATCATGCTATAAAAGAATATTTTTTTACAGAAAGAGATAGTCCTAAATTGTGCATATTTATTTTATGTTAGTAATGTTTTTTTTATACTTTATATATTTATATCTGTATGTACATATATCGGTGCCCCCGTAGGCGCAACGAGGTTCGGTATTAATAAGGGAAACGAACGGTCCTAGAAATTACGTAAACCAGTCAAGAGAAAATGCTGGAAATTATTTTCAAGCTTCTAAAATTTCCAGCAGAGGGCAAATTGTTATCTTGAATTTTAAAACTCAGTTTCTACCTCATTTTTTATCGTTAACCATAGTTCAAGTGAGTACTATTTTCAAGCAAAAACAAATTCAAATCTTTTTCCTTTGAAACTTTTTGCTTTGGAAGTTCGAAGATTTTCTTAAGTAAATGTCCATATTTCCAGAAAGGATTAACGCATTTTAATAAACTTGGAGTCCCTACCTAGTTAAACAAGGACTAAACAACTCAGTGAAAACGGCATGATATCTTTATCCTATATATCCTATATATATATATATATATATATATATATATATATATATATATATATATATATATATATATATATATATATATATATATATATATATATATATATATATATATATAACAATATTATTTATCTTAACTACTTTTTTCACATCTTCAAAACAGCACTACATTACCCCGTAGCTGTAACCATTTATTCAAGTGGTAAAGTGTGGTAAACCATTTAAAAAATGAATAGAATATCTAACCAAAACTTTATTTTGATTTTAATAATCATTTGGTGACCTAAATAATAAATTAGCGTTTTATTTGTAAATTCTGGATCATTAACAACAACCCTTTTTTAGAAAATTATTTTATTTGCGATTTGACAGAAAATCGGGTTACTTATAGCGCGATAGATAGTTTAAGTAAAGCTTTTTTTTAATTACTTTTATTTCAGGAAATGTTCATACACCCCGCACCAAAAAGGAATTTCAATTTGTCTCAGCTTTTAAATTGTTTAACTATGGTTAACATTAGAAATTTTTGTAGAAACCGAGTTTTTAAATTCATTACTACAATTACGCCCCCGGGTGAACATTTCAGAAACTAATGAATTCTTAAGTCCGTCCGTTTCTCTAATATACCTCATTGCCCTTACTGGGTTACCCAGCATATATTTTATCTATCTATTCTACTTACCATTCTGGTTGCCTATTAAAGAGGGCACTTGATGGATGAATGTAAACCACTTGACTATCCACCAAGGTTCGGTATCCTTCTTGTGGATCCTTTTTGGCCGCGTTCCTAAAAAAACCGGAGCAGATCGCTTTCTGTACTCTCACTGTATTCCTTTCGGCGGAAACAACATCCAGTTTATGGCGATCCATAATCCCTAGCAGTTGTTTTCTCACATCCTGGGCCCTTTTCAGTGTCCTAATTTGTACAAAGTTTTCGTAACACCAGGCATTAGAAAATTTGTTATTTTTCCAACTGTTATACACAGCGAGAAGCGTCAAGTGATCACCTTCTGGTTGATTGAATTTGGCTTTTTTCTGATCGGCCAATGCTTGCTTGTCTTTCGGTCGATAGAACACATTTTGGACCGAGAGCATACTGACGATGGTCAGTATTTCATCGGAACACTGCAGAGCAACCGACATAATCAGCATCTTTGATAGGTTCGGTTCCAGTGGAAATTCCGCCATCTAAATTGTAATTAAAAATTAAGTTGCGCAACATCGTGTGTGTGTCTGTTATTACCTTATTTCTAAAAGCTTTTTTTTTTATTGTTTTTAACATTCCAGGAAGATATTCTATATTTTTGGAACTAAAGATATAAATGCTTCTCTGACCCATAGTCTTATGAATCCAAGGAGACATTAACAGAGTTCTCTTTACAACATAATATCTGTAGATACATATTGATACTGACACGGAGTGATTTGCGGCATGACCGTCAGAACTGACAAAAGCCAAAACACCATAAGTGTTTTAAATCTACTATCGCACCCAAGCCATGCCTAAAGCTTAATGAAGCTGACGTTTTATAACGCATAATTGGGTATTTTAGAGTCGGAAATGGAAAAAACTTTTTAATTTCGTTCGGTTACGTATATTTGTTCATGAACATGGGTGATTAATATGTGCATCAGTATTACCGGAAGGAGCAAAAACGCTATTTCAAGAATTAAGCAGCAACGTTGAATTCATTCAAGTCTTTGAGAATACAAGTTAATACTGATCCGGCACATATTTTATTCCCTACACAAGGTAATGTATTTCCAGGGCAAATATTTAGAAACTGCTCCACATTGCAAATGCTGTCATTGCATGGTTTCACCGTAATAATACTGAATCTTACCGTGGTGCGATTACAATTCCAAAAGACTCGAGAGAATGTTTGGGGCTTAATTGTAAAAGAAATATACAAAACAAATTTTATCGAAACAATTCTAGTGAATTGTGGCAAGTTATTCATGAGCGCTGGGAAGAGCTTAATCTGAATTTTATAGTTATCAAGTTATTAAGTCCTGGTGAGTTTTTTGTTTTTCTTATTGTTATATGGAAAAATCTAGACATGGGGCTGGTTCAAAAAAATTTACAGAAGCACCTCCCGATGCGTCCGGTATAATTTTCCAGTTTGCTTATTCCTTTTTAGTTTTCTGTTGTAGCTACGTTTGAGGATTCAGATTTTTCCATGTGTGTACACATTTGTACTTAGCATAGCACTGACTATTTTAGTTAAAAAGATTTCTATAATACGCGAGTCTTAGATGATCGTTCAGTAAGTTTTGTTTGGATTGAGCAATCAGTTTTAGTTTGACTTTTCATTACAATATGAACAAAGTAAATAAAGTAACTAATATCGGTAGGCCTAGGTTATGCTCCATAGAAACATATACTTTTGTTATTTACTATGTTTGTTCATAGATAGTCCCAAAACCATGTTTAGTAAAGATCCACAAACCTTCCAAACTGATAACATTTGAAGCGGTTAGTTCATAGCCTATTAAGTGTCGTTAAAAGGGCAATTTTAACGTAATTTGGAAGAATATCTGCTGGCTATAAATAGTAGATATTCTTGTTAGATTTTTCAAATATTTTAGTCAATATTTCAATTGCTTTATAACTTCCAACGCAAACGTTCTAGGCATTTGAGGTAAATTCTTCGATTTATAGTGTAATAAATCATATTTTGCTATTGTTCTTCATTTAAGATATTATTTTTTAACAATGACAAGGACTTTGATAGGTATCATACACACGAAAATTATTATAAAAGTTATAAGATGATGTTTCAGCCAATTGTAAATCAAATTTGATTTGATTTTTCAAATATTTTGCCAATCTTCTTTTTTTTTGCCGATGCAGTAAACAAACTCAAAGAGAGACACACCTAACGAAAAAAGACTAAAAAAACACTTACCCGTCTACCGAGCCTTGTCAGCAATCCTTCGTCATCTAGAGCTGATAAAGAATGAAGTTGCTCCAACGCCATTATGAGCGACTCGACCGGCGGCGCGTCCATGAAATCGAAGTGCAACAGGTCGTTAATGCCCATAGTTTTCAATTGCAACACAGTCGTGGCCAAATTGGTGCGCTGAATTTCCGGAACGGGAGTAGGCAACATTTCGTCCCTGTAAGCCCGTTCCGTATACAATCTGTAGCACTTACCTGGTCCTGTGCGACCTGCCCTTCCGGCCCTTTGCTTCGCCTGGGCCTGAAATAACGTACGTCGTTATTCAAATTGCTATTGCTGTGATGCAAACATGGGTCATTCCATTCTAACTGGTGCCTTTTTCCATAAAATTTCTAAGATTTTAAAAATAGACTTTTAATTTTACACATACATCTATTCATTTATTTAACTGTAAAAATAAAAGCCTCAAACGATTTTACTACAACTTCAAAGCATCAAGAATGGGAAACAAATTTTAAATTTCCATTCCGTGGTGCTTACTCATTTTTCACGATACTGTCAAAATAAATTTGAGTTCTACAATCATATAAACTCTGCACTATTTCATTAACTTTAAGATAGATGGCGCTCTAGTCATTCAAATTGAAAAATGTATTAAATTTTAAAGACAAAGGTTATTGATATTCAGTGTTAACTTAAAACATTAACCATTTTAAATCATTTATTGAGACAAAAAAAAATTATGACTGATATTTAGTTGATATATTGTAGATTATCTTTGTATGACAAATTATATTATATAAAAAGTATGATGAAATATGTTCTTGATCATCTAATTAATACAAAAATTTCATCATTAGATTATTAATTAATCACCAATTGAAACAGAATCACCCAGGTAAGAGATGAGTGGGGCGAGGAGTGTTGCCTAAATATAAATGATTGTTACACTAGAATAACCACGTAAGGTGAGCGAAAATAATTCCAAAGAAGGGCAACGACTCATTTGCTTGTGAGATTATAACGTAGCAATATTAACATTTTCGTAATTATATTAGAAACAGTTAAATTAAACTCTTAATTTAACTTAAACTTAAATTAACCCACTTTTGTGATAATACTAGAAACAGTTAAATTAAACTCTTAATTTAACTTAAACTTAAATTAACCCACTTTTGTGATAATACTGCAGCCCCAAGAAAATATGAGCAATACATTATGGCGAATACTGGCAGTGGCGGCATAAAAAGTTAAAATTAATAAATAAGGAGAAGCTGTCCCATTGGTTATAGAAGTATCGGTAGCGACACGACCTAGTTCTCAGAATGAGGCTTTGAGCATGTGATCATTATAACCACCAAGGCTGCGTTCAGGTACATTCAACTGTTTAAAGGCAGTTTCCGTATTTTAAGTGTGCATATGAAAGCGTATTTCGACAGTTGAGCTGAACTGTTAACAGTTGTCATATATACTTAACCCATCGATCTTGTTTATATTTATTAATTATTTTACTATTGCTTCAATAATTTCCAATGTATCTTTAATACTCGCTGCTTTTCAACATGATTAGCATCATTTGCTACTTCCATCTGCTAACGCTGCCCAGAAATATTGACATGTTTGTGTAATCACACTTACAAACCTTAATCTAATAGAAAATCTGAGGATGATCATTAAAAGAAAGGTTCAAGAACTTTCCAAAATATCGACGAAGTATGAAAGAACCTTTAACCAACATTCCATCAGAGACTATCAGACGTCTAATACAGTCCAAGCTCAGGAGGTATTTGAAAGTAATTGAAGGCAATGGATAGCCAACTAAATACTACACAAAACCTTATATGTTGTTAACATACATCCTAACGATAGTAGCAATAATATCACTGTATATTTATGCTTCAAAAAAATAACATACTTGAGAAATCGGCGTAACGACGAGGGAATCCATGCCCGTCTTCGAATTGTAAACTTTTTGCTTTACGAAACCGGGATCGACGACATAAAATATTCCGTCTATGGTCAACGATGTTTCCGCTATATTCGTCGCTATGACAACCTTTCTACTGCCGGGCGGGGCAGGTTCGAATATTCTCGTCTGCATTTCGGACGGCAATGCAGAATAAACGGGCAAAATGATAAGCTCGGGTACGTCGGGTCCTAATAAATTAATAAAATTTGATATTAGTGAGGATGATATGCGTTTTTTCCTAGTGATCACGTGACCACTGCCAATGAGCATTGGTAACTAAAGTTTAACGAAGCCAATAGGGTTTTATGAAATTTACGTTTGGATTTTCTTACACAACCTTGTTTAAAACGAAACTGCTGCAAAAATATTGGTTGTTATTGTTGCAGCCCAAGTTCAAAACAAAATAAGTTGAGATATTTGGCATAGAATGGACATCCTGCAGGATAAGTGAAAAAATAACAAGTTCACCAATAATAAACTAACGGGACAATTGATATAAATAATAAATTAGCATTGTGTATAGTTAGTAGTTAGTGATTTGAATTGTTTATTTTTTTACTAAATAAATTTTCAGTTCTCTTAAGTTTTAAGTTTATGTTTAATTTCACCATCGTTTTTAACAAACTCACGATTCTAAGCAAACATTTTAGATCAACATTTCCACGGTTTACTAACTCCTTCTGTTAATAAAAAGCAGCCTTTTAGTGAAATCAATAAATTCAAGTCAGGCGGTATTGTACTTCAAACTAACCAAAACTAAACAAAAAACGCATAGCCGTAAACCACATATTTCGTGTTTTACCAACTATTAAAAGAAGCAAGATATATTAGATCTCCATAACATTCCATATGTAACACTAAAATAATTTTTTTGAAGCCGTAAACCACATATTTCGTGTTTTGCCAACTATTAAAATAAGCAAGATATATTAGATCTCCATAACAATCCATATGTAACACTAAAATAATATTTTTGAAAGGCTAGAAATTGTTTTCAAAATTGTGTTCTGTACATTTGTTTTTATTTGTATCATCAGTTTCTTTCATGGCTGTATATTTTTAAGACATCAATAAACCTTATACTATTGAAATTAAAATTTCAGTTGATAAGGAAATGTAAGACCTTCCCCTCCAAATGGGGATAAGAATCAATCACCCAAGATAAAAAAATCTTAGAACATAGGAATAACTAATGTAATCAGGAGACAACAAGATGAAAATGCATCCTCAAAAATAGGTCTCCTTTAAGATGACACAGCTTTGTTAAGGGTCAATTTGGCGAAGAAACATATTAGCAGAAAATATGTTATGTATATCATAGCTTACCCAACGATTTCATTCTTTCGTACAAAATCTCACAGGCAGTGTCGATTTCCTCTTGGCCAGTAAGAAACAACAAGATGTCACCCGGTGGTTCTCTTAGATGAATTTGCATGACAGTTATTAAGCTGGCATCTAAATAATCGGTTTCAGACTCTTTAGTGTACAACACTTCCACAGGGAATGTTCTGCCAGGTATGGTGAATATTGGCGCTTCAAAAAAATATTGAGAAAATTTTACGGCGTCCAAAGTGGCTGATGTTACTATCAGCTTAAGTTCTGGACGTTTAGTCACTGCCTGCTTGAGAAGCCCGAAAAGAACGTCGGTATGTATAGTTCTCTCGTGAGCTTCGTCTAACATTATCACCGCGTAGGATTTCAAATCTAGATCCATTAGACATTCGCGCAGTAACATACCGTCTGTCATGTATCTGAAAGTAATAATTTGTGGTTTGTTACATCTGGCCTCTCATTTAGCGGCCGTATTCGTCACCGAAATCACGTGACTTCTCAATAAATGTCAAATTTGACGTTACATGAGATTTATGTGCGCTGTAAAAGGGCAATTCGTTAAAAGTGGTTAAAACATTGTATGGAAGAAGACGCGAGTCAGACTTTAAGTCATATTTTTAGAAAGGTAAAGTTCTTTTTACTAATTAATAAATATACAGTGTGCCATATAAAAATACATTTTTTGCTGATAACTATTAAGCAACACATTCTATGCAAGAAAAATACATACTTGATTATCGTCTCTGGACTCGTGCAATCCTCAAAGCGGATTGTATAGCCCACCTCTTGACCCAGTCTGCACCCAAATTCTTCAGCAACTCGTTTTGCGACCGACATCGCCGCAACACGTCGGGGTTGAGTGCAACCTATTTTGCCTCGCGCAGTAAATCCTTCCTCCGCGAGATATTGCGTGATTTGAGTGGTTTTGCCCGATCCCGTTTCGCCAATCACGATGAGAATTTGATTGTCAGTTACCGCCTGTAAATCAAGTAAAAGTTTAGTGAAAAGTAAAATTTAAAATGTAATCTTCAATAAGAAAATATTGAAACAAAAAAAAAATATCAAAAAATTACATAAAACAAGAAAAAGAACACTAGATAAAAATTATATACAAACTATCTAAAAATATCAAAATCTTGATCTGTTGCAAAAAAATGCGCATTGAAACCGAATAACTCTTAAATGTATATAAACTGTATAGAAACAAATTATAAAAATTAGTAAAGACAACAAAATATGAATGTTATACATCAAAAATAGGGCAAAATTTAAATATATTAAAAATGCGAAAGGTGTAATACTAACTGATAATTTTTTAATAAATAGCAAATGAATTTAACGCTTATTTTTGTACAGTGGGGAAAGCTGAGCAGAAAAAATTAAATCAACTTGTAGTATCACTGAGCAACAGACTTATGTAAATCATGAAGTATTGTATTTAAAGCCAATTACTCACAATGAGCTTATGAATGAAATAAGTAAATTAAATAATGGAGTTCAATGTAGTGAGGATGGTATTACTTCTGAAATATTTGAAAATAATCATTATTACTTACCAATGCCTTTGTACCATTCTTACAATCCTTAAATTTTGCTTATATGTAACCAAGGAGATAAAGAATTTACAACAAATAACAGACCAATTGCCATAATAAGTACATTTAGTTAATTAGTAGAAAAATATATAAAAGGTAAATTTGCCATATTTCTTGAAAAATATTTATTGATATCAAAAAATCAGTCCTCTTCCAAGAAAGACACTAATACTGAGGATACATTGTATAATAAAGAAGGAAATCTACCAAATCCTAATGGAGGAAAGAAAGAGGAAGGACCGTTTTTGAACTTGGCGAAGGAATTTGACATTGCGACATACAAAATCCTACTGAACAGACTTTATAAAATCAATGTTAGAGGACTTATTTAAATCCTATCTTAGTGATAGAACAGTGCCTAAAGATATGCAATGTATTATACACAAGTTAAAATTTGGGGTGCCTATATTAAAAAAGACTGCAATGATGGTAGCCAGGTTGAAAAATCGGCTAAATTGCAGCTTGCTGTCATTGAATGTGGGTAAGACCAAATTTAAAACCTTGAGCCTAACCCAGACTCATGCATTTCAAGTAAAACACTACATAACAAAAAATGTAACCACAAGAACTAGTGCTGTAAATCCGAAAACAAAATAGCGAGAGACAGATATATAAGAAATCTGGGAGCTAATATTGATAAAAACTTGAATTGGAAAAGTCATGTAGAATTTATAATCAAAAAAGATCTATGAATTATGAAATATATTGCTTCTGGAAGTTCTTAAAATGGTATGTCACCCTCTTGTTGAGCCATGGAATACTTGTATGGAGAGAGTCTTCTAAATCCGTAATGTCACCGCTTATTAAAAACAAAATATATTTATCTCAACTCCTTTTCCAAAACAGCAAGCTTTTTGCTCTGGAGAAATTGACCTCCCTTATTCAGTTAAACATTTGGATGTACAAAAACATATCAAATATACTGGTTGAAAGGTTTACAATGCTCTGCCTCAGTGTAATAGATTGAAGCACTATAGGAAAATTGAGAATAAAATAAACCATTTATCATTTTTATTATGTTTGGCTAGGTTATAGGGTGCTATTCATGGATGTTTTCTTATCATATTAAACTTATTTGACAAAAATCAAATTTGGCTTATGATAATATACCATGCAACACAAAACAGTTTTTGTTTTATACTTTATAATTTTGCAAGAATATCATTGAAAACAACTATAAATATAATTGGAAGAAAGTCGTGTGTAAATTTAAGTAACAAAAATTATTAACCTCTTCAGCAATTTATATATAAAAATGCATATTATTTTTTACACTCACAACAAAATTTTAAGCTATGCTTAGACCATGCATGAAACAATATATCAGATAAGGGGTCCACTACAAAACTTTTTCAGCAAACCTTCTTATTATAATAAAAACTCTAAAAATATATAAAACAATTTCAGAGAGGTGTGTCTATCCATACCTTGCGCAACTCCTCCTTCAACTTGTAAATTGGTAATGACTGCCTCTGTTCAATAATGCTAAGGTTTGTTTTCTTTCCAAACGACGACTTTTTGCCACCAATAACATGTTTCTTCCACTCTGGTAAGTCTTGAGATTGTAGACCAATTCCTCTTGATGACATTACTTTGGATTCATCTTAAATAAAAACGCGAGTACAAACAATAGTAATGAAAAATGTAGTGGCAAATACCTTCTGGCAGTGGGTCGATCCAAGTTTTATTTTTGCCTGATGGTTGAGAGTCTACTTCGGCTTCCCTCTGTAGCATTTTTTGTTCACGTCGCTCTTTGGCTAGCGCCGACTGCATCATTGCAGCTTGTGCCAACGAACCATCTGGGTTTTTGACAATTCTGTAAAGATATATCAAAAATGGCAGCGCAATATCCACCAAAATAGAGGCCATAATTGAATCGAATGCAAACTTGCATAGCACTCATTATCAAATACATTTTTGTGTTAAAAGTCAAAGGCAAATGTGAAAAAACGTTTGCCACTTTAATCAGATATTGAAATATTATTACTTTGAAAATTTTGTCATTTTGTGGGTTTTAATTTAACACTTTTTAAACTTTCATTAATTTTTACTTCTTTTTAAATACAAAGTGTTTTTATTTTTATATGAACTTTTATATTATCAGTACCCATCCAGAGTGTTCTGTTCTTTTCCATGGACAACAACCAATCAATCAAAAATAAGGCTGACATTATGTAAGATAACCTAGAGCTGTCTGGTGTTTTAGGATACATTAGCTCCTTTATATGTCTAATAAAAACAGAACAAAACAAAATATCACAATATATCACCATTTCAGCTGTTTAGTGTCTCCTAAAAGTTTTACCTACATTTTTTGAAATGGAGCACCCTCTATATTATCAGACATAAGTTTGTATAAAATAATTAATTAAAATATATTCACTATAAAATATTTTTATGCAATAAAAATTGTTTTCGGTGAGAAATGTCTTTTTAAGTCCACTTACTAGAGCAATGTTGTGAGTATAGACATAAATATTACTAACATATTTAATTGTAGTCAATTACTTTTGGAAAAGTTCAAAATTAAAATGATAATAGACATTTAAAATCTATCTAGTTAACTGTGATATTGGCAAAAAAGTTATCATTTGTTAGTTCGTTCAATTACATTACTAACTTGATATGTTTTATAACCATTTTAAATAAATTTTAGGCTTCAATATTTTCAAAACTAATAAAATAAAATTATATGAGCATATTATTGAAATTATAAACAGGTATGTCCTATAAAATGAATATACAGACCTCCTAAAAAAATTTATATACCATCATTGCTTGCCCCTTTTGCCCATTTAGTTTTTAAAAATCATTATAAAAAAAAGAAACTCTTCTAAGAAACCTTACCATGATTAATTTGTAATGATTAAAAACCAAAACTATAAATATCAACGCCTTACCTGACAGGACTCAAGTCATGAACAGCTCTTCCATGGCCTTGCAAAAAAGGAGGTTCATCTTCAACTAATTCTATTTCAATATCAGCCTCTCCATCTTCTTCATCTTTTGGCAGCAAACCAGTTTCATCATCAAAATCAGGAAGCTCACTTTTGTCTATACAACCTGATGAAATCATCTATAAATATTAAAAATAGTATGAATGGTATGTATATTTAAGCTGAACACAAGTCTAAAACAAAAGCTACAAACATAAATCAAATAAAATTAAAATTTTTCTAACATTTGACGTGAAACACTTGACTATAGAATGATGACGTTTAAACAATTTTTTTTCAATGTTCTTTACTAAGCGTTACTTCTTTAATAAAGTAACTTAATATACCTGTTTGATTTCCCATCTTTCTGGACTAGATATCCTTGTAACTCTCTTCCTGGAATCTTCCTCATTCTCATCCAAACTAACTGGTAGTCGAAGAACAGATGTGCTATTATGAATAGGTCTGTCAGGATTACGATCTTTGTCTTCTCTCTCTGTGGGAGCATGAGATAATGGGTTCAAGTCCTTACCGGTCATCTGACAGACATCTTTCATTGATAAAGATACCTTCTGACCAGTCACAGAAAGAACTTTAACCTACATAATTAAAAAAAAAACGTACACTATTACTGCCATCACTATGACATTGAAAATATGTACCTTGACCTTACTTCCTCTTGACACAACTTCTGATACTTGTGTTACTCTACCTTCTGCCCGTAACTGAGAAATATGTACTAGACCTTCCCATCTTTTTCTTAATCCCTCTATTTGAATGAAACAACCAAATGGCACAATATTTGCAACTTTACCATTGTAAATCTAGAAATAAAAACAATATGGGTCTACAAAAGAACAAGAGCAAACTAAAACACTTATAGGTTAAAATAAAACCATTTTTACCTTCCCTGGAATGGGATCATCATCGATTTCTAAATTGCTTTTGTCATATTTAATTTTCCTTTCAAAACTTCTTTCCCTTCGATTCCTTGAACGACTTCTATCTCTTTTATTTCTTATTTTCTTTTCGCGAGATCTACTTCTATATCTACTTTTAGATTTACTTCTGTGCCTCTCTCTTGACCTATTTTGGTCACTTCTCCTGTCTCTACCATAGTGACGATCTCTAGATCTTTCCCTCCTTTTTTCCCTCGATCTATCTCTTTGCCTCTCTCTAGACTTAGACCTAGACCTACGTTTAGATCTGGATTTCGATCCATGAGTAGAGGTCGACCTTCTCCTCCGTGCCAACTCCTTTTCATTGTTTGTTTTCACAGATGGAGCGTCAGCCTCAAATTGCGCCATAAGATCAGCGACAATATCTTTATCATCATCTTTCTTGGAATCCAAGTTTTCAACAGGAGTTAATGGCTTTTGAGGCTCATTAGGTATAGCTAAGCCTGGAAACTTTTGAGCCAAACTACCTTTTTCTACGGGTTTTTCCTGTTTATATGCACCGTCCTTTTTAGGCTTCATATGTTGAATTATTCGTAATAAATTTGATATAAAGGAGTCGGAAAACTCTGCCCCATTTTCTAGCAATGCCTTTTTAAAGCTGTCGGCCGTATTATTCTTTTCTGACAAATGAATGATAAATTCGGCTAAAAAAAAATATTGACACTACAAATAAAGTTTCTCATACAAACAAAATCAACATTACCTAAATCCTTGTCATTCATACCAAGATGATTCTCTAATTCTGTGCAAATTTTTGAAACAAGGGAAAGATACTCCAATTTCTCGACTTCATCCATTTTGGGTCTAATAATGTTTTTAAAAACTAAAGGAGTACGTTGTTATTGTTGTCTGGAAATTGCTGTAAAAGGATGCGCATTTATAGGTTAATTTGACAGATGTGAAATTTATAGCATTGAAATTTTCAAATGGAAATAATCATACATTCAATTATAAGATGTGAATGTATGTTCACAGGCAGGTGATTTCGCTTCTTTGATCTCCATCTCAAATGGCCAGCTTAACACCGAGTAGCCGTAACAGCAAACATTATCTTAGTCGCATGTATGATTGATGTCCCGCATAAAGTGTTCGGTTACATACTGGAAACAGCAGAAAGCAAGTAAGCATGCGCATAGATATATCAAAATTGTTGATTTTTTATTTAAATTAGTAGCCGCCGAATTAGCTCAATAACTTTTATAAGCTATGTGACATATATTTAAAGCGGAAACAGCAGAAAAATTCATGTCTGCAAACATGCACAGTAAGGAAGAAGCTAAGTTCCAACATCATTTTGATTGTAGACACAGATCTATTATAATTGTTCATGTTTTATTTAAATTAGCAGTCGCCGAGTTAGCTGAGCAACTTTCATAAGTTATATGACATATATTTATAGTGGAATTAGCAGAGAAATAATGTATGTAAGCATGCGCAGTAAGTAAGAAACTAACTTTAACCTTTTAATGTTTTATTTACAAGTTATGTGACATATATTCATTTGCAATGAAAAGAATTATTAAATATGGTGTATACAATATTGCAATTTTTTTACCATTCTTTACTGGCCTATATGTCCTTACTTTTATAGTAGTTCAAATTTTCGATGTGTGTGGAGCGCAAGTCGATTTTAATGGCACCTAGTTTAAAATGTCATGTACATAATAATCCTGAATCTCTACCCTGAATAGACTTAGATATTTGTCACTAATTTGAAAATCAGTGATAAAAACCGGTCGTCAAATGCAATAAAACGTGCGCAAAATTGACAAAAATTGAACTGAGGTGGCTTTTACTTGATGAAAATCCATTTATCAAAATAAATAAGAACTAAAAGTTCAGATTTTCACGAAATTATATATTATGACATGACATTTGATAAAGACACGGTGTTGTCGAAACAATTGTCATGTCATAATATATAATTTAGCGAAAATCTGAACTTTTAGTTCTTATTTATTTTGCAAAATTGACAGATGAAATCAGAAGTGGGCGTTCTTTTTAATATCAATGTTGTTATGACTTTTAAGTAATCCGCCACTACTGTAAAGGCCCCCACAGACGCTAAATTTTTTAGCCCACAGGCCAATTTGTGCAGTTTAACTGTACTATTGCCTGTCCCACACACACGCAGTTTTATAACACAGTTCTTTCTATACAGCCAACTGGGTAAATTCACACTCATTAGTTTTGGCACGGTTTTTCTATACTTAGTAAAAGATAATGACTTTTCAAGACACGCCATTATATTGCATTGTGCTTGCTTGTGCAATAAAGAAAAAGCAAAAAAAACAACGGTTGGTTTAAAGAAGCAAATGGACCAAAGATTGGTTACTCAAAAGAAATTATTACTCCCATGTCAATTTGCTTGCTGATTTGAAACTTGAGAAGCAGGATTGGTTTAACTACCTAAGAATAGACGAGACAACCTACTTGAAATTATTGAAACTCGTTTCTCCTTTGATACAAAAGCAAAACACATGCATGAGGCAATCAGTTTCATGCCATGAGCGGTTAACAGCTATTTTTTTAACCACGGCTTCCATATTTGCTCCTGTATCATATCTTTGAGTTTTTCGACCAACATATCATAGGCTGCGGACTTTTTATTTCTGTCACTGTATTTACTCTTTATTTTCCATAAACATGGTAAGCTTTGGTATACCTCAATAAATTCGCTTAAAAACTGTTTGCTAACATTCGTCTTTTTGTTGCTTACTATTTTTGGATTCTAAATAAACCTTAAAACTGAACAAATTAACTGAACGAGTCCCACACACGCTCAGGTGTCCAAGTTTGCGCAGGCTAAATTCAAGCACGGGCTGATTTTGATCAGGCCAGGCCAACGGGCTGCGTAGTCGGCCGGACGTTCACACAAACGCACCGATATGCCTGCACAAACTAGGTTTGCACAGGCAGCCTGTATTAAAAAATTGAGCATCTGTGGGGGCCTTAACAATGGAAATATTCGTAAAACAAAGCCTGCTAAGGTTTCAGTTTCATTAAACACTTTCGCGAGTCCGTTGGAGTCATTAGCAGGAAATGTGTTAGAGTTGTTTTGCAAAAATATAACTTAAAACTAATGTTCGTAGAAAAAGCATAGCAATAAAACTTATTGCATAACTAGGTATACTATTGTATAATGTCATCCGTCTAAAAGTCGAGTACATTTTTTATTTTTTTATACTCCACACGAATCCATAAGCTGCGAATTGGGAACAAACCAACCCTCTTCTTCAATTATTTATTCAACATAATAATTGGGACGAAAACGCTACTGGCTTATTCTGAAGTGTTTTTAATTAAGGCAAATATAGAGTAGGACGTTTTTATGATCTAAAAAAAAAGTAAGAAGTACGTGTAAATTAACCAAACTAAACAGTAAACTTACTGACATAAAAGTGGGCAAAGTTAGCGGCAGAAATTTTCCGGCAGTAAAATAAAGGGGTTTCTTAGTTCGCATCATTGTAAAAATCAAGTTCTTTTTAAAGCTCGTCGTAGTAGCAAACCATTCGCACTCCCAAATATAATTTGATAATTCCTGACACTAAAAAGCAGAAAAATAGTCAAAATAAATAACATATGCCAAGGCGCAAGGAACTGTAAAATACCTGCCTTAAGAGTGACTTCGTTGCCAAACCAGCAGTAAACAAACAGTTGAAAAAACATGGCAGCCATATATACACATTCCGCTATGAACTGCTTACTTCCTAGAGGCGTCTAAAATATAGAGTTAGAACAAAAATTAAATTAGAACAAAAAATGTTCAGTTTTTAATAAATAATAAAATAATAATAATAATAAAATAAATAATAATATAAAATATAAATAAATAATGAATTAAAATATATTTTTTTTGATTTGATAAAGGCACGGTGTTGCCGAAACAGCTGTCATAAAGAATTAAAAACTGTGAAAATCGGAACATTTTTGTTCTAATTTAATTTGTGTTAAATGGATTTTCATCAAGTAAAAGCCACCTCAGTCCGATTTATACTTGGGTTTTCGAGTTTTTTAAATAAAATATCGTAATCTTAGATTTTCGAATATTCATAAAATTTATTTGTTTTTCTGCAAAATATGACACCACTTGAGCTTTTACCTACCCCTATTTAGAGCATGGTTCAAATATCCTTTTCCGATCAAATCCATTAAATACCGTATGGTGCACAATAAATGGTGACCAAAAATAAAACCTCGTAATCTTTTATTAATATGTTTGACCCTTTTTAAAAATTTACAAGAGTAATAAGTTGTTGAAAATCGAAAGAGGAATCCAAAAATATCATTAGAAAGTCATTCAAACTTAAGAGAAAAGAGAGAAAGTGTTTTCTTTTATACTTAACGCCTGTAATTATCAACATCGATCTTCAAACTTTACAGTATCTAAGGTTTAACAAAAATGTTAAAAATTTCTAATAAAATATTTTTTCCCAAATTTTCTCGTTTAATTGATACCATTCCCTGGACAAGTTTTATTTGCGATGTCTCTTATTGTTAAAAAGGATTACGTTTTACACTGCGACTGAAAGTGTAACATCATCAAAGAAATCTCCAAATTATAGCTAGTCAAAATTGGATAACTTCTTGGGTCTATCGTCTAGTTGTTATAGAACAATTGAAATAACTCTCAATGCTTCCACTTACAATACCACTGAATACCATGTTTCCAAAATAAAAAAATTATAGGAAAAGGAAAGACTCTCCTAAAATTCACCCAGTTCAGAAAATGTTAATATATTTAAAAATCAATTTACCGTTGATACCAGGTACAGACAGGTACACAATATAAATAGAGTTGCTGTTATTTGACAGAGTGTTACATATCTGTAGACAGATTCCAGTTGATTGCTCATGCTAAAATGTTAAATTAAATGTACGTTAAATATCAAATCTCTTTACGTAGTTCTGCATGCAATGGACGAACTTTTAAGACTGTTTCCCATCTTAAATCTACATCCCTTTTAAAGATCTGATTATTGCCTGAAATTACGTCTATACTACTGGATATTGATTAATTAATTGTAAATTGTAAGGCCGCTAAAATTTTTGCTTGATATATAAAATTTTGGTAGAAATAAATAATGTTATTTAATACTAGGCTTTTAGATTAGATCGGACATGACCATGCAGAAAAATTCGACCTGACAACGAGAACAGTAAAATGATTGACGTAGATGAAAAAATTAGCATCTCTTTCAAATAAAACAATTTAATTGCACTCTACAGTCTGTTTCAGTTTTTTGTTGCATAACTTTAACGGTTGGTAAAAGTTTTGAAATTAATATAATGCTCTTATAAGTACATGTTATAAGGAGCTTAATAAGATACCTAATTGGTTTGATACATAGCTAGTAGAGATGTAGAGGCCCTGTCTATGCCTATATTACAAGAACTTATGAAGCAACTATAAAAAAAAAAGAGAAGATACAACATTGCCGCTTGGCGCAGTATTTTGTCAAAGTATATGTCGATCTGGTTAAATGTTCTGAGAAATCGAGTTAAGTATGTTGAAATCGCTGTTTATATGATCTAATAGCTGTATAGTTTGACATAATGAGATTTAGGAGTTTTTGTAGGCAGGAAATTTAAATTAATTTTTAGTTTTCATATTGCTGATAATTTGAGACTTTTATCGATAGAGTGGAGGACCAGCTGAGTGGCCTCCACGATTTCCAGATTTAAACGGAGCACTTTAACACCCTGTAATATTTTGAAAATTTGTGAAAAAAATGAAACACCTTCACTTTTTTGAATATAGCTTTCAGCAACGTTAAAAACTATTTAAAAATATATAACTTTCATGAATAACCATGCACAATGTATTATGTCGCATTCCTGCGACATAATACATTGTACGTAGAAAGATGCGAAACAACCTCAAAAGAATTGCCATTTTAATGGTACGTAAAGTACGATAATTTAATCAATGAACCCACTGTAGTACAGTCTGAAGATGCCTGGAGATTTTTCTAAATTGTTTATAGAGCTCATCAGTGAATTCAGCGTTTTCATGTAATCGAAGGCTAGAGATCGGCTGGCCAACTATCTTTGCAGTTCGTCCACGAAGCGTCTTAAAAGCTCCTTGCATGATGGTCAAATTTGATCCAATGTTATTCATAATGTTCATGAAAAGGGTATCAATTCCAACGATGCTGTAGGCATACGAAAACATTGGACCTAAAAACAATCACGTACAAAATACGAGTTGACTTCATTATTATTATTATTATTATTATTATTATTATTATTATTGTTATTATTATTATTATTATAAAAAGTATAAATGATCCAGTGCTCTATATGAGAAGGCAATCAAGTCCCACGAGGTCGTTTTTCCTGGATCCGGTTTCCAGTCAATTAGTCTATCACACAATTCTACATTTAAGTAATTCTAATTCTTTAGACGTCTATATCTCACCCTATAGCTCATCTAATTAACCAGATGTTTGAAACTGGAATATTTTCAGGAATAAGCAGGATTGTGCCGCTACACAAGAAGGCAGATACCAACGTCCCCTCAAATTATAGACCTATTGCAATCATCCCTATAATGGGTAAGATCGTCGAAATAATCTTAAAAGATCGTTTGCTAAACTATCTTGAAAAACATAAACTTTCGTGTAAAGAACAGTTCGCGTTTAGGGGCGGAAGGTCCACCACGCATGCTTTGCTAAGTTTTGTTGGAGCATTATCGAAGGCTTTGAGCTGGTGAAATAGCAGAGGCCACCTTTTGCGATCTCACGAAGGCTTTTGGTTGTGTGGATCATGGAGTGCTGATGCAGAAGCTCGAGTGGTATGGCATCAGGGGCATGCCTTACAGATTATTACGCTCTTACCTTAGCGGTAGATTTCAGTGTGGAAGAATGGAAGATTTAGTAGTTCTAGCTTGCCGGTATCGTTTGGAGTGCCGCAGGGGTCGGTGCTCGCGCCCCTGCTGTTCATAGTTTACATCAACGATTTGCCTTCGCACATACCATGTAAAACTACGCTCTACGCAGATGATACAATTCTTTTATCCCGAGCTAGGAACCCATATGAACTTATTATTGATAGGGTGGCCGATAGGACTAGAACGCGTGGATCGTTCGGGTCGAACTCCTTACAGTTAAACGAAAATAAAACGAACAATCTTATTTTCTCTTGTAGCAAGGTGCACAATTTAAACAATGCTCCGGTTAAGGTACTTGAAGTCTGGATCGATCGGACTCTTTCTTGGAAAGATCACATTGAACACCTTTGCCACAAACTGTCAAGTCAATTGTTTCTAATTAGACACTTAAACAAGTCACTCATTCCTATCACGTCAAGACTTGCTTATTTCGGATTGTTCCATTCTCACTTAGCGTACGCTATTGTTTTGTGGGGTGGTTCTGCGCATGCCCGCAAGGCTTTTCTTATGCAAAAAAGAGCGATACATGTGACTGCGAATGCAAAACCTCGTGATCACTGCCGCCCGCTCTTCTCAAAGCTTAATATTTTTACCTTACCATCATTATTTATTTACTATACAGTCACTCCCATACATACATGAGCTAAAGAACGATATGCCTAAGCACTGTGATCGCCACAATCACTACACCAGGGGATCTGAATTAATTGTCCAGGGCCACAAGCTGCGCACATCCGAGTTAAATAAATTGTACATTAATTACTACAATGTTCTACTAACCGTTGTCAAGGATCTGCCATTCCCTAAATTTTGTAAGATAATAAAACAATTTCTATTGGAGAACGCATTCTATACTGCAGATGAGTATATCCGTGTTGCGTCACGAGTGTCTCCATAATATTAACTGGGAATTTATTTATATATTTATTTATTTTTTTTTAGCTAATTTTTGTTTCAATGTTTGGTGTTTGTCGATCTGATAATTATGTTGGTCTCTATGAATGTTATTAGAATGTGTTTGGTATTGCTTTAATTCATTTTCATTCACAGATGTGACTTCCCATTTGTTGTTCTTGTAATGTATTTAATGGCCAATAAAGTCTATTATAATAATAATAATAATAATAATAATAATTATCATTATTATTATTATTACATTTAATACTCATGTGTGTAATATGCAATGTGGAAAACAGTGTTCTGGGAAATTAGAATTCCTTTAACATCTTTCCTTGTTCGTCATAGAAGAGTCCTGTTCTCTAAACGGAGGAGCCTTCTTAGATAGCAGTGCCCTATGTGGATTCCTAACATCCTTGACTTTTATTAATTACTGAAAACCCTGGCTCTTGAATATTTTGATCAAATTTCTTAATTTAAATAGGTTTTAGGCAATAAACATCGACGATATATTTCTATCTATACATTTGCCATTTATACATTAATTCATAATATTTTTATTTTGCATTTATACTTTGTTGTGGTATTAATACAATTTATGCAAAATCACAGAAAAAAATTCTAATATCAATATCAACCGAATGAAAAGCTAAACAAATGAAGGGGCATTTTCTCTGTTGGCAATTATGAAAGTGGGCAACAAATTTATTGTTTGTTGCAGCTTCCCGTTTTGAGTGTCCAAAGAAGTTTATGTGTTGGGAACTGCAATTTTCAAGTAGACTCAATGTTTTAACTTTTAATAATATATTATATTAGGTATATTTTATAAACAACCATTTAAGTCATGAGTTTTGGGTGACTGAAGAATATTAAGTTTGTAAAAGTATTACCTAACTACTTTTATACGGATGCATGTGTTTAATCAAGCTGGAGTTTTAAAGTAACACCTTACACACTCCTGATTTGTGCGTATTTAGGTATTTAAAGTAGGAAGTAGAAAAATTTCGAACAAAATTAAGTTTGTATATAATTTCTTAAAAAATAGAATCGAAAATTTTTCTATTTATTGGAGTTAAAATGTGGTATTTTTGGTTGTGAATTATGAATGTCCAGAATTAAAGAGGGAGCACACAGCATCAAATGTACACAACAAGAAATTTATTTGGAGGTGTATGCTACTAAATTTAAATCAACTTTCATTTAAAAAAGAAACTAAAGTACATGTTTCCACATTATTATGGATATACCTGCTTGATATGCGACAGCCAAAAGGTAAAGTTTTTCTGTGTTGTATGCAAATGGCATCCAACTGTAATAGGGTAACTTTTCGGGTAACAAGTGCGTAGAATTTGCGTCGCTACGCATATATCTCGTAACACTGATGATGGGCGGAATGTAAGAAGAAGATAGCGTTGCATGCGCCAAAGCGAGAAACGACAGCGTATATGTCACACCTATTTTCTTATAACGTTTGGAGATCTTGCCAGGATTATATTCCTGTAAATTGAAGGAAATGATTAATCATTATACAAAAATAAATATAATATATAAATAAAAATATATAAATGAGATTTCAGATTTGATTTAATTGAGCACCCGATGATATCATGTGTGCAATATTTAATTTGTCAACTGTATGTAAGATTATTTATAATCATTCATTTATAATTTCAATTGGTTTAGTTTTAAGCTTTTCCCTAACAACACTGCGAAATCTGCGATTTCGTACTTACCGTAAAAGGTTTGTAATGCAGATCGGGATCTTCCAAAGTCTTCATGATTCGAATTAAACAGTCGCCCCTGAAGTACCAGAATATAACCTTGACGGCTCCCATGAAATGGGTAAGGAAAAAGTTAATATTTTTGATGAATGCGTCTTCGCGTTTGTAAGTGTAAAAGAGAGAAACGAATTCGGTAGAGGTAAACCACAGATTCGGGAACAAAAAGACAACAATAGCGTAAGCGTTGTACGCGAATTGAGCGTAAGGGTTTTTATTTTCGGGGCACCACAGCCCAGCTAGACGCAAAATCCAGCGGTTTACGTAAAAAAAATCTTCCGCGTATTCCCGACGAAGACTTTGTATTGAGTTCATTTTGACGCTGCCCAAAACTTGATTAGCAACACGTCTATTTGGTACGTAAATTTTCTTTTATAGAGGTATGTTTCGCCGCATATCCTGCAAGATAATTTATAACCATTGGCGGGGATGTGTTATTCTTATCCGAAGCATAAAAATCATATCATATTATTGTGACACTGCAATGTTTCCCCATGTGGAGCCTACTATGGTTCCTTTCAAATGCTAAAAGTAATGAATAATAATGAATAAATTAATGAACATCTGAATCTTAAGGATTCGCAAAGAATTTGAATTTGAATTTCTAAAATATTTACGTAAACAAAATTTACAGGAAAGTGTAACCTTATTTCATATCCCAATTATAAAAAAAATACTATCTTATTCTAATCTTGTAAGAACTACTTGAATTTCTTAACTTCGAAGAATACTAGAAATTACGAGTTTTGGCGCCATCTGGTGTTTTACGGGGTGTGTTTTAAATAAAAGTGTTATCGCATCTGAGTAGCATTTAGAAACGTCAAATGATTTCTTTAGGCGGTCAGCCATATAGTGATATAGAGGAGAAGGTCTATTCAAGGTGCGCATGCGCAAGATTCAAAATCTCAAAATGTGGAGATCAGTACATGATCCGAGTATTCATATTCAGTTTACGTCTAAATTTTTTGTGTCAAGGGAGTAACTAAAGAAGAAATAAACCGGAACCCTAAAAGTTTGACATATTTGTAATCTAAAAACAACATCTAACCTGTAGGACGCTAATTTACCGCTTAGTTATTTAATCTCTTAAAACCGATGCAGGTATCGTTCACCTTACTAAAACACATTCCATAATACACAAATAAGAATAAACAACTTCTATAGCTTTAGCACTGTCTATACTAGTCGTAAGCATATCAATATAAATTTGGGAGACCCAAAGAAGCCTGATGATATTGACGGTTCTCTTGTGAGGTATAACACACAAAGTTTTATTTAATTCGTTATGTACTAGAAGAAAAAAAATGTTTTTCTACTCCCGTCTGTAAAATACCTAATTACGCACCGATCTAGCGAGCGGGAAGCGTCGCTTCACCACGTCAATTTCATTTCCCACAAATCCGAGTCACTTCGGACATTTCCGGGATTTTACCGCACGGGTTTGGGAGCAATCGGATGTTTTCGGAGATATTTTCCACGCTTTGAATTTTGACGTTTGTCAATTCTGACAGTCATGTCAGTGAATGTAGTCGTGTTTTGTGAAAATGTACCCAAAAACTAACGGTCGTAGAAAAAGTATAGTATGCAACACGTTCGGTAAACTTTTCAACTCACTCGTTTATTAAACACTCGCTTCGCTCGTGTCAAATAAACTCGTGGGTCAAATGCCGTTTACCGCACTTGTTGCATAATATACTATTGCAGAGTAGAATATTTCATGGCTTCTTTGTATGGCACGGCTTGGAAAAAGTTCCAAATGGATTTAATTTAACTCATTTAAATTTTTGAATTTTGTACAGGGTATTCAGAATTGTGGAATAATCACACATTGGAAACCAAATTTTTTCAAACGAAACACAGTGAATATTTTTTTACCGAGTGATGCAAAATTAAATAACAGCGAAGGATATTTACGAAAATACATTTATCTTTATTTCAATATTTATTTATTTGCAATCAAACTTTAATAATCTTAGTGTTGGGTAATGTGTTAAATAATGTTAAAACAAAAGAAAACAACGGCAGCAGCTAAATATCTATCTATTATTATAGTCGCAACCAAGAAACCTCTTAATATATCTACTTCAAATGATTTTCCATATTTTACGTTTCCTGATTAATGATTACTAAATTTTTCTTGTTAATTTTATATTTTTTGTTAAAATCCCTCCAATGCGATCATTTTTGTTGAAAGTACACCAAAAAAAAAAATCAATTTGCATTATTTCAATTTTTTAAGCGTATTAACACATTGGATGTATATATTTTTTGCTCCAATAAACATGAGAAACTCTCAGATGTTACGCCTATGCCAGTCAAAGCATATAAATTTAATATGCTCTCTCTATATTTGACACATTCTTAATATCTATATATCTACCATAAAAGTGTTTGTAAACTGACTTTTTCCACGGATAGAATTTTAACTTTTCTGATCTCATTAAATATTAATTTTACCTTTGAACGGAAACCGATTTTATCGACATATCTCTTTATGGGTATTAGGCGTTATTATCCTAATGGGAGAGATTAATATGATTAGATCCCTGTAATAAATAGCAAACGTTATTTTTCCGACCCATATTACTATTACTAATATTAAAAGATTAATGGGAAATTGGTTACATATGTAGCTCGTAAATGGTGACCAAAAATGAAACTTCATAATATTGAATTTGCAAGGGGGGTAAGGGCTTTTTTCTACAAAACGTTTATATAGGGTGCTTCGTTAAAAAATACCGGGTATTGCACATGAAATAACGTATTTTCATTGTTTCTACATATTTTAAAAACGCGGGTGATAGAAAAAATGGCGGAGCTTATGGAGTGGAGAGTATCGGCGGTTCATTTTTTCCATTTTTTTTTGTGAACTACTCTCTACAATAAAATGATATATATCTTAAATATATACTATGGGCATAAAAATAACGCTGCACACAAAAATGCCAAAACAACATTTCCTTTGACATAACTATGTAGTTACTAGATATATAGGCATTGCAACATTTCAGTACAGTTCTTTCTTATTCATCCTTGTGAAAATTTCCTTGGTTTCATATAATTTTATTCAAGGGTTCGACTTACTTTTCTTTAAAATTTTCCGACCAAGTTTAAAAAAATGAAATTCAAAGCTATCTGTTGTTATGGGATACAGGTTATGAATAATACCACGGTATGATAGCACGGTAGTAGTGTATATTCCAATATGGCTAGCTTTATTTATGTAAAAGTGGGAGGGATGGAATCAATACAATATATCACTATTATGGCATCCCTCGTTTTAATTAGAACACTATTAATAATTTAAAACAAGACAAGACAACAACAACAAGAAACTCAAGTAGGCAGAGGTAAGTCGATTAAATTATTCAAATCAAAATAAGTTTTTGTTGTCTTAATTCCTCCAAGTCATTTTTTTTACATTTTATGTAAAATGTGAACACAGTTTACAGTCTTAGTGTAATTTATGGAAAAGGTAAATTTATGTAAAAATTTTTGCTAATAAAAAACTTTATAGTTTGTCCATTTACTTTTATAAATTGTTTTTTCTATACAAAGTTAATACGTGACATGATCTGAAAATTTTGTGTTTTTCTTGACGGATCTACCAGCCCTGGAAATAAAGTTTTTAAAATCTGTATTTTCCTAGAAAGGAGTAGAGCTAGATCCTGAAGATCTTCTTTGAATTTTTAAAAACGTGATTTCCATTTACCGACTGCGCCATGTTATGGGATACAGGTTATGAATAATATCACGGTTTGATAGCAACTATTCATATTCCAATATGGCTGGCTTTATATATGTAAAAGTGAGGGGGCCGGAATCATAATGCCAACAGTACAATACAATATATCGCTATGATGATAGTTACAATATACAATATATTTTGAATACAACTCAATTTGGAAGTAATTAGTTATTTAAAAGTATGAGAATAATATGAGTATAAGTATAAAACCAAAAATTCATTTGCGTAGAGATTCTTTCTCTAGCTTAGCCCAAAAATCAATTAATCAAATGACCGCTTAGTAAAGAAAGATAGAAAATTCATGTACTAACAAAAAGTGTGATCAATTGAATTAAAATAAACTATTTCTACTGACATTTTACTAAAATCAGAAATAATTATCTATAAAGGGTGTTTCAAAATATGATTAATCAAAAACATGTTTAGCAGGCACATAGCCTGACAAGGATTTTGGCACAAGCTGTTTTTTTTTTTTTAATTTTAAACACGATCGTGGACCTACGTTTTTGAAACACATTTCATTAAATTTCTAATTAATTAATTTTGTCACTTATCTAGCTGAGTAGATCCTGTTTCCCTTTTTATTTTCATTTCGTTTGGTACTTTTTCATTTTCCTTTATTTGCCTTTAAATTGTGCTGCTGTCACTTCTTACGATGTTTCTGCTTTATGTGACATTGCTCAGTAGTTTGAATACAAAATAGTACTAATATAATCAAAAATTTATTATATAATCATTTAATTGTTCAATAATAAGGGTTTTAATCCAATAATAGGGAATCGCATTAATGCAGAAATAGCAGGCAGATATGCATTTTATGTGCAACAAACACACAAAAAAAAGAAAATGCCATGGAAGGTTGTCTTTATACACAAATATTGAGGTGCAACGGGAGACAAGTACCAGGAAAATTGCAGCAGGATTAAATACTGATGCATCAACTGTAGGGAGGATATTACCATACCATGTCTAGAGCGTTCAAGCTTTCAGTGCTTTCCATTTTATTTGAAAATTGTAAGTTTGATGAGAAAGTTGCAGGAAACAAAAAGGTTTCTAATAAACCCGCCTGTAAAAGTGTCAGTATTGCGCTTTTCTTCACATTTTAGTTAAGAATTGTAGGGGTATTGTTTGCACTCATTAAAAAAATATACATAAAAAAAGCGATTTCTTGTAATATTAATTCTTCCTTATTGTTTTATTTTTATTTTAAGATAAAAAATAAAAACAGTATTTTTTCGTCGTATTTGCAGCGTGATATCACCCTAATGGTTGGCTTTTGATCTAACGTTTATATGACAAATTACCTTTTATTTTAAAGAACGAATCACGCCCTTAAGTTTGCATTGGTTTTGAAACACTCTGTTACTTTGTTAATACGAGACATGTTTAAATTAGGAGACCTACACGTCACGGATTGGCGAACGCAGCACTTATGGCAAGTGATTATTCTCTTTTATTTATTGTCCTTGCGAGAGCTCAATCCATTGAATTCCAGCGTTCGCCATTTGATAAAACTTAAACAAATTTGTTTCTATGGCAACGGTCAAAGGAAACTGCGACATTTTTGTAGAAAGTATTCACAAAAAGAAGCAGATCAAAATATAGTGGATTAAAAACAAAATGACTTTATTTGATGTTACCACTTATTTCTTGACGGACTTGAAATCATTCATTATTGAATTTTTGAAATCGGATAATAATTGAGAATACCACAATGGTGAGCGTTTTCAGTGCACCAATACCTATGTAAATCAAACGTTTATCGATGATTTTAAATTAGCTGAATAGAAATATTAACGCCAGCAGAACAATTGCTAACTATAAATAACAATACGTATAAAACGGGTATTGTTTTAATTAACAAAGAAGAAAACAAAATGATACCAGTCTCGGCAACGCTGCGTTTAAGTCAATGGCTCTTTAACAAATTTAATTTGTAAACGTTTACTACCGCTTCCGTAATTTATGGACTCGACTACGTAAACTTCACTGGTATAAGTGCGGTAATTGTTATTTTCGTTTGGTGCATACTATCAGAAATAAGACACAAGAGCAAAATTGATCATCCGATTAACAAAACATTTAGTTCATTTTCAATAGAACATAATAAAAGACCGATTACCTAACTTATCTATCTGGTGAATGGTTCCCATTTCGCAATATAATTCATAAAATGGTTTACAAAACGGGGAGTGGTAATCGAATAACAAATAAAGAATTCGCAAAAAGCGCGTGACGCTTTGACAGAAGCAGGCGGACAGGAAGCGCGTGCGCACCACCGCAATTTCTAATGTCAGTATGTGTCAGCTCTTGTGGTTTTGCAGCTAGTCGTGACAGCTATGTAGTTTTTAAATTATCATTTAAAAGTTTTATTAAAAATGTCCACTTTTAAGTGGTCGTGTCCCTGTTGTTTGCGCTTTAAATTTACACCGGAAGAACTGGAACAAAGGAATAAGAGCCAAGAAATCGACAAGATGATTGAAAAAGACAAACAGGCCATGAAAAGACAAGTGAAGCTGTTGCTGCTCGGAGCAGGCGAGAGCGGAAAGTCTACGTTTTTAAAGCAAATGCGTATCATACACGGAATAAAATTCGAGGGCCAACAAATTAAAGAGTACCAGCAGGTGATATATCAGAATGTGCTTAAAGGTATGAAAGTGCTAGTGGACGCAAGGGAGAAACTCGGCATTCCGTGGGGAGACAACAACAATGGGGACATTGGGAGAGAACTCCTCCAGTTTAAGGTTGACAATAGTATGGTGTTTGATTCAAGAGTGTTTTCCCAGTTTGCGCCTTTGTTATCGATGCTGTGGAAAGATTCAGGAATACGTAGGGCCTTCGAAAGGCGGCGGGAATTTCAATTGGTTAGTATCGTGTAATTGCTTCATTTTGTAGATAAAATTTGAGGCTCAACATATTTGAATAGCTGAGATAACATCAGCAACAATGCAGTGTTTCTATGATTTCATAGGATGTAAAAATACAAAAACTAACAAAGATTTTAAACGCAAATCCATAAAGTACTAGAAAATTTGTTTAGATTTACATATCAGGTCAAGCAGATTTATAGGATGTAAATTCTGCTATCAAGTAATTTTTAATTGAAATTAAGCTAGGTAAATAAACGAAATACAAAACAAATAAATAAAAAAAATTCAAACTGTTACGCCTTATAATTTATCATTCATTTAGCCTATATTGACTAATTTAATACCTGGACATCTTGTAAAATTTAAATACTGAAATATGAACAGGCACAACATGAAATGTGAAAATGGTTATCATAAAATGCAACAAACACAAAAAAGATATGTATTTAAAAAATTCTGAGTAGTTGACTTCCTGGCAGCAAAGATTATTCCTACCTACATACATTATTAATTCATCAAAACCATTACAGGAAATGGAACTAAGGTTATGAAGCTAAATTTAATATCTAGGCGCACTTGTTTATGTTAGGCTTGTTTATGAATCATGAAGCATGAAGTAAAGTTCTCCATAGTGTTGGTATAATGCTAAATTATAATTATATTTTGCTTAAATTCCATTCAAAAGTTAAATTGTTTAAAGCTTTTTTTGCTTGTACATTTTTTTGTATTAAACAGAAAAAAAAATTAAGAAAGTATCTTCATTACATATAAAAATTTTCGCGAGGTATTCCAATGCCAGCCTTCGCCAAAATTTCAATATTGTGCTTGTAAATATTTATCGGGGATTATAAATTTTTACTGGGATTTTCCTCTCTTGCGTAAATATTTACAACTGTTTTTCTTCCAGAAACCTATATCGCCTACCGGCGTCTGCCATCAGGCTTAGCGGAAAATTGCGTAAAATATGAAAAATATTCGCGATTCATTATTCTATTATTCATGGGTTAATATCCTTTTATGTCCCGCAACATTATTATAAAATTTTGTCGATTTTGGAGATAGCGGCATATTAAAAAAGCGAACAAAATATAATGGAAACTTTTATAATGAATTCTAATAAAATCTTTGTTTTGTCGGTTAGGTGCTTCAATTCCACATAGCAGCAGTAAGGAATATTTATTGTTGACTTTATTATGCAACCTTTGTTTTATTTTATTTTTTAGAAAAGCATATTTATACTGATTTCTCTTAACTTTTGTACGCATTTTTGGATCCTTTATCAAAATTTCACAAAATAATTATTTAAAAAGTCTGCAGTCACCATAAATAATGAGGTTTATGTTGCAAAGTCTCAGAGAGCTTTTTGATCGAATTAGAAATAACTGTCGACGTATTAAAAAGTCTATAAGGAAAACTTAATTTATTAAAATATCTAATATTTCAATTTTCACGAATTTTCGTTAGGTTCTAGTTATATGAAGTTGTCTTTAATTAAAAAAAAAATTACTTAAGTTACAAACAAGATTCTAAATTAAATTTTGTTAACTAAGTAGTGTGAGAGTAGTGTTGGAGATTTTTTTAAAATAAAAAATATCTTGCTTCATAATATTTTTTAAAATAATAAATGAATGATGAAATTAGCGGTGAGCTTTGCTTGCGTGCTTATCTATTTTTAATAAATTCTTTCATAATTGAAAAATAATTGGATTTGGGCATATTGACAATGGAGTTCCATGGTGAAATTTTGCACTTTTTTTTCCAAAAAAGTGAACTGTTCTTATAAATTTCCTTTAAATGGGTGCTTAATTCTAGAAAATCAGATTTTGACATGTGCCCACATATTTATTATATTTTAAGTTGTAGACATTAGTGGGAAGAAATAATTTATTTAAACTACTATTTATACAGTATTTTCCTCTATATTTTTTCTTGATTTCATAAAATTTCCCAGTGAATCTTCATAATTTCCTGTATTTTTTAATAATAATAATAACTTAAAAACTGTTCCCTATATTTTCTCTGTCTTTAAAAACATGACCTTAATACTTTTATTATTTTTCGAATCATCGGAGGGACAACCTATATAAAAGCTATCCAAAAATACAACTTTTTCAAGCACTGACTGTTACATTCTATGCCATATAGCATGAATATCTTTGTATAAACATTTGAGACATTTTTAAAACGCAGTTTTTTACATTACTATCTTGTCTTTGTTTCCATTATCGGGAAACAAAACGAAATACTTGTGGCATTAGTCAAATTTGCGCAATTTCTCTTATCTCTCAAAAATAGTCATCTATTGATTCGAGGTTTTCATTATAGGTTTGAATCGATGCTTGGATATAAAAATTATTAACTGTAAATCAATATGAAACTAACATTTAAACATTAATCATGATGTAGGGACATAGTTCCAGCTGAATCGAATTGAAACACAAAGATTTAAATAGACACGTGTCCTAAAATGTCTGGTTTTGAAGTGTTAAAGAAAACAAATATGTTTTTTATTATTGTCTGCAGAGTTTGTTGAATTTGGCAATTGTTATTAACTATAACAAGACAATGACCACTACTGACTTTTTTTATTGTTTTTTGTTTTTGCCCTTTTGTCAAAACGAGACTGTCAAATTTCAACAAATTCTTGAGAAACATTATTACAAACATTAATTTTAAAAAAATTCTATGTCATTCATTATCTTGAAAATTGCCATATTGGAGCACCAAAACCATTCTTGATTAATTTTTCAAAAACATGCATAAAAAATCATTCATATCGACGATTTGTTCTTTTCTAAATATCCGTTTTATATTGGCACATGGTGCCGGTGATTTAATTGAAACGGTTTTAGTGTCATCTATAAATAAAACAGTCTAAATGTTACATTTGTTGCAGAGTGATTCGGTGGAATATTTTCTAAACAATTTGGAAAGGATAGCGCAGCCCAACTACATGCCCACAAATAAGGACATATTGCACTGCAGAAAAGCTACCAAAGGCATAACCGAATTTGTAATATCAATTAATAACATACCGTTTCTCTTCGTGGACGTTGGCGGTCAAAGGTCACAACGACAGAAGTGGTTTCAGTGTTTTGATTCCGTCACTTCGATTCTATTCCTGGTTTCTTCATCAGAGTTTGATCAGGTCTTGTTGGAAGACCGGAAAACAAACAGACTGGAAGAGGCTAGAGATATTTTTGATACAATAGTCAATAATATTATTTTTAGCAACGTTTCAATTATATTATTTTTAAACAAATTTGATCTCCTGGAAAAGAAGACTAAGAATCCTGAAACCGACATCCGTTGGTACTTTCCTCAGTTTACTGGGGACAGCCATTCACTGGAGGACGTCCGTAAATATATTTTATATTTATTTACAAGCGTCAGACGAGATCAGAAAAAGTCACTGTACCACCATTTTACAACGGCAGTAGACACAGAAAATATTAAAGTCGTATTCTATTCCGTGAAAGACACGATATTACATAGGAATTTGCAAAATTTGATGCTGCAGTAAAAGCTAAGTGTTCTTTTATTTGGGCTGTGTTAAACGGAAAATAATACATGTTTAAAACTAAGACTGACTAAGTTTAATTAGTCGTAATTTTATATAACATGGATTATATTATTTAGATGTAAAGTTTTTTCGAACCTCAAAGAGATAGTAGAGTACAATGCCATAGTTATAACGCGCGCACATATATTCTTAAACCGTGTTTTGGTATACTGATCTACGATGTCTTTCCGATACAAATTTAAGCCAAAAATATTTTATTAAAGACTTTACACTCATATAAGCATTTAAATGTTGTGTGAACTTGCGATTGAGTTCTGCCAAAGATTTTGTAGGTGGTTTCTTTCTACTTTAATGTATTGGTCATTAAAAAATGCCTGAAATAACTCATTCAATTAGAGGACAATGCAGCAATGCGCAAGTCTTACAAGTGTTCGTGATATTGAATCTTAAATTTTGACATAATATTAGTCCTACACAGGATTAAGTTAAAAAAAATTGAGTTGAATTAGTTTTGAGAAAGTGTAGGTTGTTTTTGTGACCTTTTTTTGAGTACATAATTACATAATAATTGGAGTTTTTATAATTATCAAAACAGCAATGCAGCGACTGTCTAACAAATGCACTGTTTACTAATTTTTTTTCTGATATTTGTTTTAACAATGGCACTCCAATTTGACATTTTGTGTACAGCATCCAAAGTGTTTCAAATTGGACTTTTGTAATCAGAAGTGGTACTTATTTACTTATTTCGGGTTGTCTATTGGTCATCCTGATAGCAGTCGGTAATTGGTTTTTTATATAATTTTGGGTAAAAAAGTAATTTAAATGAGCAATTGCATAAGACAAAAAATTGAGACCATTAAGAAAAACTGTAATGTCTCCAAAGCGATTTTGGGCAACAGATGAAGCTTAAAGTATTCCACTGATATCTAAATTTTGAAATAAACTCAAAAAATGAAATAAAATCAAAAACCGGAAGTTTCAGTTCAGAAATATCAAGTTGAATTTGAAACACCTTGTACATGACACTAATCTTAAAGTACAAAAAATGGCCTACATAAAACTTAAGCTTGTTTCAGAGTTAACCTGGCAAAAGCCTAGGAGATTCCCGTCAGCTAAATATGTTGTTTCAAAGATACATAGTGTTTTAATTAGTGACGCTTTTGAAAAAAATCTGTTGTTAATGGTTTAAGAACAGTTGCATATTTGAGTCATTTATTATTCATTATTAAACTAATTAAGACTAAATAAAATTTCCGTTAGACGAGCAAGCAATCAAATTATTTGTTTTTTTTTGCATACAACATTTTTTATTAGAAAATTCTTGTGATAGTTTAACAAGAAATACAACAATAGGGTTTCTTAAGCATTTTTAATTCTCCGGGTTGAATTTGTTGAACTGAATAATTAATAAAAACGGTAACAAACATTACAGACTAGATACTAGATAAATTTCAATTCATCCAGCAAACTAACATTTTTGTAAAAAATACCTTATGGTATAAATTAAAACTCTTTAAAAAAATATTTTCCATATTTCGCTGGAAGGTGTTTCCTAGATTTGTTAAACTTATAGGGCTCTGAAGCACCGGATATTTTCAATTTTATACTCCAATTTTTATTGCTGCCAAACTAGTGCCTAACACGATTTTATTTTCTTATGTAAGCAGTGAAACGCACATAAGCAGTATTATTAACATTCAATTCAATATTGAAAATTCATTAAAGTCAGAAACGGTCTAATGAAAATCATATGTATAATATTATAGTTTAAGCTCAATATTATCATAATCACTTGTACAAGAGCTCAGCTATTTTCTTGTGGTGAAATCGGAAGACGGCGTCCTTATATTTTCTCTAATTTGCTTTAGCACATATATTACTAGTTTATATGGTAATGTTTGTTTTTGAAGTACGATATTATATCCCAAATGTTTAAAATTAAAAAAAAGATTTAATTTAATTTTTAAATTCTTGTAAATCCTCGTTAATTTAATCATGTGATAACCTTTTCATTAAAAGTTTAGAACGCAAATCTATTAAGGACAATGTCGAGTTGACCTCTCCTATGTTGTAAATAAATGTAAAATATAATTTTATTAAGTTAAATATTTTATCATTGTAGATTCAGGTACTCGTATTTAAAATGGTGTAAAATACTGATTTAAGTTTACAGATGTTAAGCAGTCTATTATTGAAAATAAGTTCTATATTAATAATGATTCGGAAATTTTCTGGTATTATGCTCATGGATTTCCGAATGCATATATATATGGATTTCCTTTACTCTCATTGTTTACATATTTTTGTAATTGTTAATAAAATGATTAAATGTCTACCATTTATTTAAAGTCCACTATTTATTGAGCTCCGTGGATTTTAGATTTTTATATGTAAAGCGTTCTATTATAATATTCAACAGAATTCATTGCTGAAATTTTCTTTGTTACTTTTTGGGAGGTAAGATTATGGAAGTTAAAAAAAACTACTAATATTCGTCGCTAAGCTTGTTTCTTTTTAATAACCCAAATGATTCACAGGCAACAATTACGTAACCTAGTTGACTTGCTCGACTGTCCTCTCCTCGCGTTTTCATTCCGAGTGGGCCAATAAATTAAGAGTATTCGCCCATTGCCGACTATCGTCGATTGAATAAACAATTTTTAGTTAGAAGATTTTTTACCAAGACAAATGATTTTTGAAAGTCATATGCCATAAACTTGTCACAACGTATTGAAATATTCTTGGAAATTCTAGTAAATTTACAGTAATCCAAATGTTTTCCAAAATTGCAAATATTGCCCAAGATGTCTATATTAATTTGAAGAATATCGAAGTGTTTGATGTCAAAACTGCAGAAGATTTGTACAAACTATTTTTCTTTTGTCACATTTTCTCGTGGCTGGTTGTTATGTGGAAATTGAAAGATTAAAGTTGATTTAGTCAAACGCAAGATTTTGTGTTTTAGTGTCGCCATTTTCCGTTTAGCAATATTCCGTGAGTGTTTTTTATTTCAACGCATCAGAAACTCCCTTTTAAAAACTAGAAACAATTTCAATTAATTGTTTTAGAATCTTTGTATTAAAAAGAAACCCAAACCGCCGTTGTATTTTAATTCGATATTTAATTAATAAAACAATTAAAAGAAATGAAAGGTATTGCAAATAAAAAGATATTTCCAAATTGTAATGTTCTTAATGTTCGTTTTGTTTATTATCTTATTAACATGTGCACGTTTATTTTCTGTCCTTGATCTCTAACTCTCGACCACAGAATACTAATGTTAGTTTTGGTGAGTAAGTGGCTGTTGACACTACTAAACGGATAACCCTTAATTCACATTTACATTAGATTAAATATGTTTTCTTATAATCACTACGGATATCAAGGTTGGCTAGTGACTATTTTTTTGTTCTACAATAGAAACGTATCATTTAAGGTAAATTTATTGGAATAAAAAACAAAATAATAGCACCAAAATGCTAAACTATATTGTGTCCTTTCTTCCAAATAACGTATGAAACATTTCTAGGTAATGTGATGCCCCTGTTCATTATGAATCTATTTTTTAGTAAGTCTGGTACCAGCACGGTTCTAGGTTAAGCACGTTTTGGAACGTAGTCAAATAGTATAATGAGGACGGTTATGGGCGGTTTGCCCTGATCAAAATGAAGAGTTACTTATTTGAATTTAATTTTTCGGTTGTCACCAACAAACTATGAGAAATAAGTACAACCTATAATGAGTGAGAAATGTATTTCTTCGTTCCATATACAAAAATTGGGTAACTTTCATTAATTTACGTTTTCAGGATTAATTTCAGACTATTGTTATAGGGCATGAACTATTAGAAATTAGACAAAGGGCACTTTTTACTATAATATCCAAGTTGGAAAATGGATTTATATTTGATAGTGAAATTCCAAGGACCAGAGAGCTTCTTAGCCGGTTGTTTAAGTGGTTTCTTTTCGAACCATGTACCAATGAGGACCAAGTTTTAAATTTATTGAAAAATGTCCTTAAAGTATGTTCCTGTTCAATGAAATTTGCTTAATCGTTTTGTTATTCCCTGTGTTTTTAGTCTAAATCTGGTATGTTATTGATAAACCATTGTGGAAAAAACATCATCCAATCAGAGTTAGAGAAAATTCGAACATATATTAAACCAAAATATTTTGAAGAATTAAAAGAGATTATAGAAATGATCAATAGTAGTGGTTCTCCAAAAATTGAAATTCCTCCTTTAGAAAGTAATATACCACTAAGTTTCCGTTCTAATGTGATGGGAAGTGGACAGCACTTACCTAACACTACAGCTACAACAATGAAGGGGGTGGTGCAGCAAGAATCATCTGTTGATGATCAACTGGGGTAATATTTTTTATTGACTCAAACTTTTTATTTAGAAATAGGAAGAATGGTGGACTGATTTGAATTTGATTAATTATTAATTTAATTTTTTGTGTAAAGCTATCATTTTTAGACATATTAAGGATACTGGAAGTTCCGATGAACAAACAAGTGATGTTTATGAAATGAAGTATACATTGCCTTGGCAGCCCCTTATAGAAACTGATGCTCATGTGCTACATTCAGTTGAAAAATCACTAATTGAAGAGTCACAATTAAGTACTTTATTTCATTCCTGTGAATTTTTTATGAATGTGCTTCTCAATGATTTTCCTGCAGAAATATTTATCCAAAGACCTAAAATAATTTTGGTAAGTTTTTATATATATAAAAATATACAAAATTATGTAATTCCCATTAAGGATACTGGAAGTTCTGATGAACAAACAAGTGATGTTTATGAAATGAAGTATACATTGCCTTGGCAGCCCCTTATAGAAACTGATGCTCATGTGCTACACTCAGTTGAAAAATCACTAATTGAAGAGTCACAATTAAGTACTTTATTTCATTCCTGTGAATTTTTTATGAATGTGCTTCTCAATGATTTTCCTGCAGAAATATTTATCCAAAGACCTAAAATAATTTTGGTACATACTTTTAAAACTATTAAAATTGGTTAATTTTTTTTATAATAATATTAGCTCCAAGGTAATATTGAACTGAGGTGGCTTTTACTTGATGAAAATCCATTTATCAAAATAAATAAGAACTAAAAGTTCAGATTTTCACGAAATTATATATTATGACATGACAATTGTTTCGACAAGACCGTGTTTGATAAAGACACGGTGTTGTCGAAACAATTGTCAATTGTCAACTTTTAGTTCTTATTTATTTCCAAGGTAATAGTGTTTCTACACTCTGATTAAATGGATTATTTATTTCTATATTTAGTGTCAGTGAATATATGTTTAGAAAATTCATGCATGAGGTGCTAATAAAACATATGGGAACACTTCTTTAAACATATGTTGTATGTTCCATTTAGTCTCTAGCAACCATATTTTTCTGAGGTTTCAATACCATTTGCTGCAGATTTTTTTTGTATTTAGGACTTTTTGAAACTCTATACCCTACTACTATACTACTATACTATATTAAAAAAACAAAATTGCATAGGAAAATTTAAGATAATGATGCTTTAAAACACGAAACTAAGGAATTTGCTATTCCTCACTCTCTATTATCAAAAATTTATAGGTTTAGCTAAAATCTTTGGGAAAGGGGTGATTTACTCTTACATGGTAAATTCCTCAGCCCCATTATGGGTAATGAGAAAGATGTAGGTAAACGTAAAAAATAAAAATATAATTGAAAAAAAAAATAGATTTGTTGGAAATTGGATGACACTAAATTTTTTTCAGCTTCTGTGCCCACGTTTTGGACATTTATTGAAAAACAACTCTTTTTAAAAACAAATTGGGTTGAAAAAATTACTCTAAATGAAAATTTTACTTTTCCCATCGATTGCAATTTTTTAAAGGATGATCGTACTCACCGATACTGCATTTTCATCTAACTGTAATCAGTAACTGGCAGGATCAATAGGATTGCGAAACGTAGAAAATAATAACTGCTAATGACGCGATACACGCTCTGCGCATTAAAATCTGCGCAAACGGTTCTCTCGAGACTCGTCTTATTGTATCAGAAATTTAGAGATCAACTGAAGATTATGATTAATTATTATTTGCAGAATTTCCACGAGTTGCTGTTCAAGATAAACTCGATGAAATTGATTAACCTTATATTAGAGTGCTTACATAATTTGACTCAGGCACTTCAGGTTAGAATAAATCAATCCCGGGACCCTTCTTTGAAGAATGTAAAAGCAGAGGTAAGAGATTTTAGCCGCTGTACTTTGACTATTTGTGAATTTTTTGTACGTTTGTTGTGACGCAAAAAAGAGGATCACTTAAGCAAATTGTGACAGTGATTTCAAATAAGGTAGTGTTAATAAGGATAAAAGTGTTATTGACACTTCCAGACTTGAGAGGAAACGACTGTAACTTTATAATTTAAAACTATGAAGTTGAGCCTTTCTTCACACTACTAAAATATACAGGCTTACACATTTGCAATTCTAATGTTACTGTTCTTTCCATTCCAACCATTAAATCTATAGCATATTAATAATCCAAAAAATATGTAATGTTTAAAACTTGCCATTCAGTTGTATTATCCGGTAAATTGATTATACCATGTTTATTAAAAAATGATTTGGACTAGGTGATTAGTAGTAAAAGAGGAGAGTTTTTGCATTTTTTAATTTTTTAGTCACTTTCGATTTTACTGGAAATGATTCGGGTTTCAGTTTATTAAATGTTTATATATGTTTGTTTTGGATTATGTAAGTCAATTCTAGATCTGAATGTGACATTTTTTAAAAGTTTTTCCTCTTACTTAAAACGTCAGCGACATTGAACACGATCGCGAGTCAATTCGAAAATTTCCGGTCACAGGTAAAAATATACTGAGCGCCCGAAAATTTACTGTAAATTCTAAAAAAAATTACATTTATTGAAAACTTAAGAGTTTGACTGAATACGTCCACTAGGTACCTGAGAGAAAAGTTCTCAATCCTTTTAAATATTCGGAAAAAATCTAGAAAATGAGTTTTTCGGTTATATTTTTTATGTATTCCACAATTTTAATTCAACTGTTTTTGTTATATGTCCATCTTTATGTTGTAAAGGAGACCTATGTAAAAACATTTTTGTAGTTCCTGTTATACTCGAATTCAGTGTCAAATATGTCTGAAAAAGACAGTGCTAGGAGTGAAACAAGTGAAAAGTCAAATGTTCAAGAAGATGTTTTTGTTCTAAAAAACAATCAACTAACACTGCCAGACTTCGCGTTCCGTACCATTAAATTGATATTGAAATGTTTGGTTTTTAAACAGGAAACTCTTAGTGATTCTACATCAAAATTTGACAAAGTAAGTACTTTTTTAATCAGAATATATGTCGATATCATCTAATGATTTCTATTTTAGAAAGGTATAGGTCTGGCTCTCGTGTTATTGGATGAACTTTTTAAATTGTTATTTTTATGCATTAAGAAAAAAATTTGGAAATATTCGTACCATTTCGAAAGCAAGAACATTTTAGAGAATTTCTTAGATGTGTTGACATTTTATGGTGAAGTTCTGGAGTATTACAGGTATGTAGATGTGACCAACGTATTACTCAAAATCGCATTCAGATTTCGATTATTCATTTCATTTTAGGGTTGAATCCATAAGTCTTGAAAATGATTTCCTAAAACGTGAGATTTATTTGCACCTGTTAATTGGCTGCACAAAATTTTTGGAAAAGTTGATCCCGCGTGAAAAAACCAAAGTGATTTTTCCAAAGAACTTTAGAGTTACTATTACAAATAGCTTGCTCGATATCAGTCTAGCAAGATTATATCCTAAAGTTCATAAGTCTTTGTTGGAGTATGTAGAGGTAAGGTATTTTAGATTTGGTTAAATTATAGAGGGCTAAACAGAAATCACAATCTTGACGTAGTGGGATATCTTATATGAGTTTCTATATAATAGTACATCTCTGCTTTAATTTACATAAAATACCTGTGTTATTTAAAAAATGGCATTATTAGTTAAATGATGCTACTGGCATTTTTGTCAGATGAATAAGTTTTGTACAAGGTTGTCAATTAAGCTAACAAAGCTGTATTTTGTAATATATCCGTTAGTGGGCGTATGGGTTATAAGCGGCTATATTCAGTTTAATAGGACCATTGATATAAATTATAGCAGGGATCCCATCTTTATAGGGTGGCAAAAATGTTATTTTAATCTAATAATATCAAGCGGCTAAAACATGATTTATTTAAATGGAATGCCAATGTTGTGGTTTCGAATGTCCGTCGATAGCCACGGACGTTGGTTTGAATGTGAATGTGATTCAGTGCTTGGCCATATCCAATTTCAGTTCAATTGTCATGTATTTGGTACTTTTAGAGTTTTAGTGGCCAAAACGAATTCAATTATCTGAAAATGTACCGAGACGTATCAAAAATTTGCGACGGTTTGAAAGCAACGGTCAAATTTTTGAAACACCAGGAAACTATGACTCTCACGGAATGTTTATATTCAGCGAGGAGTGCGCTACCAAGTTTTGAGTTGCATCGAAATTTATTGGTTTTGTCGAGCTTTGTTGATGTTTGTTCTGATAAATTGTTTTCCGCCCGTGAGGAGCGAATAAGGGAAGTTGCTGAAGGTAAGGTACTTTTGCCTCAACATAGTTCCTCTAAAACGATTTACTTTGGAAGGTGGTTTTGCAAAAAGTGCCTCTGTAAATTTTCTTGTAGGTATGTTATTTTAAATATTTTAGTTATTGTAAAAACTATCATAAAATTTAGCACTTGGCACTCAATATTTAGCACAATCCCTTGGCTGTAGCTTCACAGCTTTATTAAATTAATGTACTTCAAGAAAATGTAGAGTAGAAGGTATAACTAGCGCCCTCTGGAAAGGGTGTCTCATTGTTATGGGAACATTATACATTTTGAAAAAACCGGAGGTTTTTGATGCCCCTCTCTATAAAATATTTTCAGTGCCCCCGCTTGGCCCGAAATTGTCTAGAATTTATAAGATCAGACGAACGTACCGTGATGTTCAGTCTTGAGTATATGAAGGCCTGGACGAAATAGATAAAGTCTCCTATTTTACTTCTCCCTGATTTGGTTGCTGGGACTAATTTAAAATGGGCTGACTAATAGATTTTATGAGCATTATAAATAAATAACGACTGAACGTATGAAAACTATTATTGTTACCATAGAATAGATTTCCAATAACATTGATACAAACATCCAATAAGAAAACTTTTCTACGGCATAGGAATAGGATATTCATAACTATTTCTAATAGGAGCATAAACTGGATATCTCTCGCCGAAGGTGTTGATTACCAGGGTTTAGTCTCAATAAAGTGTTTATTTTGTCTTCTTCAGCTTTGAAGTTGTGAGTCTATTGACTAGAGGTAGAGGTGTTACATATTAGCCCGAACATTATTTGATTTTTTAAATGGAGCAGCTTCTGGAATCTTTTTGTAAAATATTTTCTAGATTTATCCCTAGTGGTTTTCGAGATGTTAATTATTGTCTATATTTTTCAGTCGAAATAGACGCCAATATAATTTCTTATTCCTGGGAAAGTTGAATACAATGAACTGGGGTTAAGAAGTACCTTCTCTAGGGACCAGAAAATGAGTACTCTGTTAGCGGAAGTCCTGTTGAACATCGTCGTCGCTTTTGTTACCAAAGATTTGAGGATCATTTGGCTCTAAAACTTCAGTAATAATACATTATCGGTTAATAACTCCGTTGTTAATAAATTATCATCAACAGTTGGGAAGCTATCCAGCTCAGCAATATAGATTTCAATGTTAGTCAAATCTTGGCCGCTATTACGCAACCAATTACTTACGGGAATTGCCCGGTCATCGTCGTCATTATTTTTGTACTTCACGAACTACTGAACAACCAGAGGTAAGTCATCGTCTGAATCAAACTCATCTTCTGATTTTGTCAGACCTGCATGTCGAAAGCAGTTTTAAATAGTGGTTGAAGTACCATTATTCCAACATTTTGCAAGTAATTTTATGGAGTGTAGGATAGTGATATTGAGAGGTTCCTTATTTTCAAATGACTGGATCAAACGATATAAAAAATATCTGCGGTAATATGTCTTAAGGCATTTTATTATGCCTTGGTCCATTGGTTGGATGACTGAGGTACTATTTGGAGGCAAAAACTTTAATGTGATATTTGAAAGGATTAGATTTTTTGGATGAGCTGCACAATTGTCAAACAGTTAGTTTTTCATCTCAATCATTTAAATAATTATAAAAAATTGCTGAAGTTATCCATCCACGCTCGCTGGTTTGACTTATAAATGACAGGTAGATTTTTCACCTTTTTCATGCATCTTGGTCGTTCATATTTACCAATAACAAGAAGTTTGCATTTTTCGCTTCCTGTCATATTTGCACAAACCAAATGGTGTACCTTAACTTCGACTGCTTCCCACCTAAACACTTTTCTCCTATAAATTTAAGAGTACAATATGGAGTCATCTTGTAAATTAGCCCAGTCGCGTCACCAACGAAAATATCCTCAGAGCTGTAATTTTGTGCAATACTGGGCCACTTATCATCTAACCAGTTCAGTATACCTTGTTTGTTAACATCTGCTTTATCAGAAAATTTTCCGACGTTTTTGTTGTGACGAACTTTAAAACGTTCGAACCAACCTGTAGAACAACTAAAATCCCCACCCTGTAATCCCCTGGCTAATTCTTCGGCTTTCGATTTTAGAACTGGACCACATACTGCAATATTTTCAGATCTTAGAACTTGAAACCATGGTAAAGGAGCTTTATCTGCATCTGAACATACAGTACTTCTATTTTTTTTAATCCTGTGCGATTTACAGTCACCTACTTTCATGATCTTTACCCGATTACTCCAAATTGTAGATTTGTTGTTTTTGCTAATTTCTTTTGTCTAGTAAATTCCGCCTTACCGATGCTACTCTCAATACTTCTGATAATCTCTATCTTTTCTTTTACAGTTAAAGACTTGCACCGTTTTAGTGTACACTCGTATTTTATAACCAGAACAATAGTGAAAATATTGTACTTTATAACCGTAGTAGAAGTTACATGTGGTGCGTAATATCCGACGAAAAATCAAGAGTATTTTGACCAGACCAGAAAAATGTAAACGGAGTTTACTGTATTACCAAGCTGAAATTTTCACTGCAATTTAGTATCCTACTAGTTCCTTGTGGAGTAATAAATTCTGAGATGCTCGGGGTTTACATAATCCTGATTTAACTCTTACTCAAAATTGTCGAAAAGTTTTTTTTTAATGGAATACCCTGTTTTAGCAAATTTGTACATGGTGTATAATTGTGCCTGCTTCATGTAAAAACCTCCGATTCAAAGCGAAGAAGTTCTTCTCGACCAAACTAGTGTGAGATATACGTATAGAAATAAGAATTTCGAGAACATTTTACTAAGCTATATTGGCTATATATTTTTATTTTAATTAGTTATTGAAATATTGTAGATGTTTTATCGTGCACTACGTAAATATTGTTCTGAAATAATTAAGAAACTATTTTTTATTTTATTGCTTTTTAACTCTTTAAGTTGGTTTCTGGCCAGGCTGAGTCTATTCAGCTCGTTCGTCAATATCCGTCTGAGCTGCGTTCTCAAAAGACTCTTTTTTTAGTTGTTATGTAGATAAGAAGAATTTATATTCTTTTGGAAATATTTTTGTTGCGCACCCAACTTCTCTTGTCAATAATATCATTTACCGTACTAAATTTAATGCAAGATTTGTTTAATATTCGTGATTTTGACGTTTTAGAAATAATTCTTCAGCTATTGGCGCATCCGGTGGAATCTATTAGGAAAGAAATGTACACACTGTGTCGCAATAAAGTTGTACGCAATATAGGCACCGAGATAAATCTAAACAATATAAGGTGCCCGGGCGTCGAAATATATTTCTTGCTTTCTTCAAAAATTCTTACTGAGATAGCACAATTTGGGTTACGAAACGAAAACGTATAACACGACAATATTGGTTTTTGTCATTCTATTGTTGCAATATTTTCAGACGAAACATCTCGCAGAAGACGTTCTTATTTATCTCATGAAGTGTAAGCATATTGTTAACGAAAGCATTTGGAACTATTGCGTGGAAGCTTTAATTCCAACTATGCCTTATTTGTTGTGCTACGCCGATAATAAATCACTTTTGGGTCGGAACATAGTTAACCTTGCAGATCCCGATACCGCAAATGCTCTTGATTTGCCGCACATTGTCATGTTCAAAGCTAATGTGCAGTTATTATTTTCAAAAGAATCATTTCTGAGGTAAGTTGAAGAAGTTAAAAAGTGAAATTTGAAATACGGTCGTAAAAGATACGTAGTCTAAAACAAAATCTTTTGCAAGCTATAAGACATCAAGTCCAAGTGCGGTGCTGCCATCTATTAGGCCGCAGGAAGTGTCCGAATACATTTTAGTCTGATTATTTGGTTGGCTAAAAACGTATTTACATGGACAAATAATTAAGCCTCTCATATATTTTGAGTGGTATGTGTGCAAATACTTATAATGAGTATCAAACGAAAAAATGCGCATTTTATTACAATTCTCAACAATTTAATTTATTATTATTATTATTTATTTCAATTTAATAATTATTGGAAAAGCGTGAAAGTCGATGGCCAGATGTATGTCGGTCTACGGATTAACTTTTCATTCGACAATTGTTTTTTTACTGATATAATATCCATTATGCTTTATTGATAAACAAAAGGGAGTTTCAAATTCCTGTCACGGCCTGGAAACAGAGTTAAATATCTCGTTGAATTACGATTTTGTTTTAGATGGAGTATCAATTTTAGAAATAATTTGTCGGTTTCAGCATTGTCAAATATACCAATTTCATTGCTAACATATTTTAAAGGAGATTAGGATCCTATAGTGTTTAAAAAAAACTATTTATGTTATATATCGCAAATAAGGAGAGCTTAATTTTTTCTAGAATTAAAATATGGGCTACAATTGAAATTAATTTGTCTAAGTAGTTGAGGGTTGTCAGATTTAAAGTTCAATTAATTGTATTGAAATACTACCATTGTATATTTCCTTCTTACTTCTGAGGATATAAAAATAAATTCATTTAGGTAAGTCTAGTAACCGAGATTGAATATGTATTCATCGTGCTTTTTATAATAAAAATTTTAAATTTTATTTTGCATGCTTTCAGCTAGGCGTTTATGATCTACGTTACCAAATTATTCCTGCGTTTTCTAGTACGCTATGAACAAACGCATTGTAGAGCATTTGTAGTGTTTTTAATCCCAGTATTCTATAAGCTCTCTTCACTATATTGTTTATATGTCGTATGAAACCAAGTCTGCTGTCTAGTTTTAGGCCTGTCTTTACACTCATATTTTTTATCAGTTTTATCTTGTTAATTGAATAATTATTGTTATTACCATGATAGATGATTTGCCAGGGGCCAGTCATTTACTCTATCCAAGTCATTTTGAAGTAACAACACATTTTGACCCTTCTCTATTTTCCTATAAACTTTCAAAATCATGGGCGCTCAGAATTCCGAACTATCCCCGGAAAATAATTTATCATTTAAAAAAAAAGTGGTTCAAGATTTGAATCTTTGTCAACAATGTGTCGTGATCTACTCTGGCAAAAACTTTTATTTTTGTTGCAAATCTTTTAGGTAAAAAGCCATGTTCTTTTCGCTTAGACAGGAGTTGTCGTGATTAAACATTTTATTATACTACAGAGATTCAAAGACCTAGAAGCATAAACAAGAGCTACCGCCCTATGGTTTTTCACATCAATCTTTCATTACTGTTTTCTAATTTGACCATGATTTTCAAAATTTTACCCTTTAATTTTTTTTTCATGCATGGGTGGTAAATGGGGATATAATTCACAAAGTCTTCTACAGGTTCGGTTGATAACTTTGTGGTACTCACCATGAAAGTAAAGTAAGTTTGAAATGTGAAAAAAGCGAATTAATAATAGGGAAATGTTAATAAAAGTTACTCATAAAACCATAAAACGTACATTTTCAACGCAGCAGGTGAAAACAAATTGAAAAGAAAAAACTGTTTAGCTCTCCAGAATTTCTAGATTTTCTTACATTCAAGATTGGTCTATTTGTAACATAATTTCTTTATTTATATTCGGAAAAAATGCATATTTTTGGAACACCCTTTTATAGTATTTTTTTTTTTAATTTCAATGTTATTGATGGATTGCTGTTTGTAGATTTGACAACGATGTATTTGTGCCTTCGTAGCACTTCAGAGACAAATTAAAGTTTATTTTTAGGGAAGAAGCATTTTCCAGAATATGTTGGTTAATGGCACGTCAAGAAAATTCTAGGGAACTCCTGCCAAAGTTTAATACGGTTTTTGATAAGGCTCTGGCTGGAGCCTGTAGAATGAGGACAATTGTTGATATCAATAAGATTAGAAATTCTGACCATTTTTATCAGGCATGTTGTTTTTTTTTTTAATAATATTAGAGACATTCTTTATATTTGTCTAAAATGTTTCTCGTAAGGACATCAAAATTTTTAGTTTGTTGAAAATAGTGGCGAAATACATTCCCAAAATATAATTGATGAAAATTTAATGAACGTTGGTAATCTTTTCAATTTTTGTTCTCTAAAATTTCATTGAATTTCGTATTCAGTGGTTGATTGTACTACTTATCTAAATTCATATATATTTTCCAATTTTAATCCTTTTTTTAATTTTTCAAAATCAGAAGTGGGAAAAACTACATCCAACATAATAAAAAATATTTTTTAAAATCGATTTTGTTTAATAAACTTTAAGTTAATAATATTTTAACATATTAGTTAATCAAGTGGCCGTTTTTTAGCCAAGTAGCTTAAACCAAGTTATGGATCTCCTAAGAGCACCGGACGTTGAACCTGTAATCAGAAGGTCTGCACTAAATCAAGTAAGCGTTATTATTGAAGATCCATTGCTGCACGAAACATTTTTGAAAAATCGTGGAATAGACTTGATAATTGATGTCATGAAAACTTCGTTGACCGAAAAAGATTACAGAGATTATCCAGATTCAGTTGTACCCATAATATCGATATTGAAGTCTCTGTGCCTTTACCATTCTAGCGTAAGGGAAGAACTTTGCACAAATGAAAACGTGATGTATTTTGTACTAAGAGGTTCGTATCCATTTAACAGATGTGTCAGGTGACGTTGCGGCTTTAAGAAAATTGTCAGAGGAACATTACGTTATGAGTTTTTCTTTTTATCGCGAGTACGAAATTCCTCGGAAAATACAGTTTTTTTAAAGAACTTGACAATATAGTGACGTTGACAGGATTTCAAACTTTCATTTTCTTCTATTACTGAAAATTTACTCAATGGGACGGTCAACTGACTGCTGCTGTCCACATAGATTTTAAAAACGGAAAATTATTTTTTTCAATATGTAATATGTTGGAAATTTACTTCAAATAAATAATTTAAATTAAAAATTATATACCGGTTGTCCAAGTCAGGTATTTTAAATTCTCTTATTTGACTATTTAATGACATAAAAAACATATCTTTGTATTTTCTTCAGCAAATAAATTTTTTGCGTTTTCCAGAAAAAGCCCTCTGGTGGCATAAATCGCAATCGCACGATTGGTCGCTTAGAAAAAGCTCTTTTTACTACTTCAAATGCGTTAAGCCTTTTGGGAGTTATCAACATTTATGTAATAGCATGTTCTAACACCCCATCTTCCTTTCAGATATAGAGCAAATAGCATTAAATTAAAGAGGTCACTTTCTTAAGCGAAATAAAGAGAGTGAATATATGTCCATAGTTACCAATAGGTTGAAAAGAACAAAATGAGGTTCTAATTTGTTAAAATTCTTTACATTTCACTATCAAGGTTAAAATTACCTGATTGTCCATCCTACTACCCTTAGTTCAAACCTACCTTTGTTTTTAATTACCTGCTAAATTTTAATTTACGGTAATTCCTAATTTGGCCTTTTTAAGTGCATTGTTGAATTCTGTTTCTTTTCTGGTGACATGATAAGAATAAGACTAAAGGCGCAACCATTTTCTTATTTTCGTCTGATTCTTTTAAATTTATGAAAATATTATTTTACTTTAGTGTAATATGTTTTACACCCACTATAAAAAAATGTAATACACAACCAGCTGATAATAATAATTAAACCTCAAATTTTAATAGTTTATTGTTCTGTTGCGTCCTGACATTTTGTTTAATATAAAATAAAAATAAAATATACAGACAAGAACGACCAAATAGCTTACTGAAATTTAAAAATATTTGCAAATACTGAGCCTTACTTGTGTTAGATGTGTTACAATGTTCTAGTCTATATTAGGTATCTTTGTTTCATTCTTGATTTGACGCGTTAGTTATTATCAATAAAATAAACTAAATCGCAAGTAACCTCTGGCGTCTTTTTCATTTCAGGTTTATTTCTGTTTTTTACTGATGAGAGAATGCGGCATGATGCAACAGCATTGTTATTTTTGCTTATTTTTAAGGATTGTATTGTTGGGACACCCGCAAGAAGTGATCTTTCTTTGCCTGTCTTGATAACGGAAAGCACAGTTGTGCCGTTTCAAGCCCACATACACGGGCACGTTAGTGATTTTATTCCAGAGAGTTTCTATGGTAATCGCAAGTAAATCGTTAAGAAAAAGCTTATTTCAATTACAATTTCAGATTCTATAACTAAAAATAGGTGGGCGCTCAGTTCGTTGCAGATACAGTGGAATGCGGAAATGAGAGGGGGCTTCGAAAAGCTCCTGGAAATAAATGATCTGGACTCGAATGGAGATATTGAAACTGAGGCAATTTTACAATTAAATAAGTGTGACCTGCAAATAATAAAAACTTCCTGCATAGACCATTGCATAGAAAAATTGCTATTTGCTATCCAAAATGCTACTTCCCACATGGGGGTAATAGACTCAATAACTGAATTAACTATGTAAGATGCAAAAATATTTCTTATATCTAATACTTAAGAAGCTTCAAGAGACATGGTTCGCTTACAGTATCCCCAAGTGTTATATTTTAAAAGCATACTTTTAGATGGGATACATAATTTTGATGCTACTGCGCATAGCCATGTATTTATTATTGTGTTTAGACTGACGTTGTTGTTTTCATGCTTGTAGTCTTTAACATCTAGAAATCAGTACTTATTTCTCGTTTTAACAGAACAAGTATGACCGCAACCGAGCATCTCACTGTCAGACTAACAATCGCGATGCCTCTTAACCCAACGTTGCCAAATGATTGCAACATATTTCTCGCAACAGTTAGTTTTGGTTAGTTTAAATGTGTCCAGCAAATAAAATTAAACACTCTATTGGTTACTATTTAAAAATATACAATTCAGATAAATTTTAGTTACCGCAGAGAATAAATAAGGTTTTAAACGACTGTTAAGGTGTCAGTGAAGAGGTACAGTTTGATTTAAATATTTTTCGGAGCGATATTTGTAGCGCCATCTATGTTCTAATATGCGAATCATCAATAAGGAAAGTTAAAATAGAGGCTAGCGCTAAAACGCCTCCATTTAGCATTGCAGCGAGCTTATTCACATGTACAGTTCCCTACCCATCAAGCAATACTTGTTTATTTATTTGTTATATATATATATATATATATATATATATATATATATATATATATATATATATATATATATATATATATATATATATATATATATATATATATTTATAGTTATACTTATTTATTTTTTGGCTGCAAATAATTGTTTCAATTCAATTTAATTCAACAGAGTTCGTTTGAGATTGTCAACGACCTGTAACAACTATTTTGATCCAAATTTCTTACAATGTGGTATAACGAATACTGTTCAATATAGAAGAAGTAGTTGCACTGGTAGGTGGAGTGATTAAACTAATAACGAAGTAATGGCGTGTAAGTTTGTTGTTTAGTAGCGGATTAGACTATTTTTTGCGGTTTAAATTGATGATATAGATATCTTGATTTGTACCAAAAATGAATCGGTAATCAATAATACTGAAACAAATATTTTTTGGGGTTTGAATTTATCAGGTTAGCAATATTCGTATTAAAAATTGACCAGAAATCCTTTGTAGTGTTAGAAGGCAAAATAATAAGTCCGTCGAAATTGTTTTTTTTTTCTTCATATTTAAGCTTATTAAACAAGAGGTTGTACGATTTGGCAGCATGGCAAACCTTATTAATAATTATAAAAGTCTCTGTTTGTTTAGAAAAAATACATTAAGTAGGATATTAATAGTATTAATAGTTAGTTCTAAAGTTAGCCAGCGCGAGTCACGCTCACGGAGATATGGTCAGTTACGAATATACGTATACTGTATTACAATATGAAATATTTAGCAGGATGGAATTATTCTGTTACCCAAGAACGATGATCATAAGGTTATGGGGAATTATCGTCCCACTTCGCTTTTCTGCTCTGCCTCTAAAATCTTACAAAAAATAATATTTTTAGACTTTCAACATGGGTTTAGAAAACGCAGAAACGGCGTTACAATTTCTAGATAAAGTCGTAGCCCTGTACACAAAAATGAAAATTATTTGCGTTTATTTATGCATGTGCTAAACCTTTGTAGATCATATTTTGGGTAAAGTTTCAGGTTAAATCTTACCTATTGTTAAGGGTTGAATAACATTTTTCGGTAACTTCATAATTTTTTTGTTTTGGGTTAACTTTTTATTTTCGCGCTGTGTATACAACACCCCCACCATACCCAACCTTGGTTAAGCCGCGCGAAAAGACAGACTTGCGTGAGCGTCCGTAGTGCGAACCACGAAAAAACAAGCTCCCTTTTGTGACCGGTTCGCGAGAACCCCGCGCTGTGTTGTGGTCCTTACCACCCCCAACCCTGCAGAAAATACCCCTAAGAAGACCCGGCCGGGCAGACGACGGCGCGGGAAACCATCGAGGTGGGTGATTAACCGTTTCGGGTGTTGTATGTCCTACCGTTTTCTTGCCGCTCTTTCTCGTTTAAATTTTGAGGGTGATTTACAACCACCTTCCCCCAACCCCTTACATGTTGGTTCTTCGAGCCGGATCAGAATCAGTCTTTTGGATTTTTATAGTCATTCACAAACTTTAGTAATTTTAAATACGTTCGCTATCGTGAACAGGTTAGCAAAAAACGTGTAAAGTTTGGAGCGCAAAAAAGCGGTTTCATAAAAAGTGTTTACTGTCGTTTCGAATTGCGGCCGTCTTTTTATTTGATTCGTTCTAAGCATATTTTCTGCGTGCTCAAATTCTTCTTCCTTTTAATTTACGTGGGTACTTAAATTTATTGCTAAGCGGGATTTAACACTTAGACGCTTTAACGATATATTGTCAGCGGGTCAGAAAGCTCGCGTTGAATCCGATGATGATGAAATTTTATGCAAATTCCAGTGCATGGTGGAGGATTTGCCGAGTTTAGTTAGCACTTTTGAGTCCTTGCAATTGGAAGTAATCTCCTTAGCGAATGATTCGGAAAGAGATCGACAGTTTGCGGTTCAAGATCACTTTGATCAGTTGCATTATTCAATTCGATCTATTGCCAAGCGATTATTTGAGAAAGTGGAACCTAAGGCAGGCTCTCCGGTACCATCTGTAGTTGGTCGAGAGTCGCAAAGAAATAGTAATCTCCGACTCCCCCGTATTATCATTCCGAAATTTGATGGCGATTTGAAAAATTGGCCTACATTTTTTGATATGTTTAACACGTTGATCCATTATAATTCTTCATTTTCAAACATTGAAAAATTTCAATTTTTAGTGTCTTATTTGGAAAAGGATGCTCTCAGTGTCGTGAAGAATTTGCCAATTAAGGATGCCAATTATAGTATAGCTTACAATGCCCTCGTGAAGCGTTATCAAAACGATCGATTGTTGGCTGTCGATCTTTCGGGCTCCGACTATGAAGAGTGACTCGGTTGTTGAACTGAGGAGATTGCTTTCAACATTTTCAGAGAATCTTGCAGCTATCGATAAATTCGATATCGACTTGTGGGATTTTACAAAATTCAATTTGCTTTTAGAGAAACTCGACTCGACTCTCAAGACGAGGTTCGAACTCAAATTTTGTGATAAAGATATCCCAACTTTTCAAGATTTATGTGATTTTTTGGAACAGAATTGTAAAGCTTTAGAAAACTCTTTAGTTACCTCAAAAGGTATTACCCCTACCAAGAGGCTTGAGGTTTCGAAGCGAGTTTCAACCGATACACGTAGACCCACATCTATGATAGCGACGTCTACCCCTCCGAGTGCTGATGTGAGTTGCACCAGTAAGTGTTTATACTGCCCTATGGACATCCTCTGACAGAGTGTGATTCCTTCCTATCTCTTGAGCCCCCTCAAAGGCATGTGTTCATCAAGCAACATCGTTTGTGCTTTAATTGCTTCGCGCGATCCCATGGTGTTGGAAGATGCTCCTCCAAGATTAATTGTCGTCTATGTGGCAAGTGCCACCATACTTTAGTGCATTTTGGAAATGCTACTACCCCCTCCCCGGCGAATGAAGCTCCCCCTGCTTCCATCAACCAGGAAGGTACTATCCCTAGTCCTGTGACCATGATGACCAATCTCTCCTCTCAAAAGGTCGTGCTCTTTGCCACTTGCTTGGTGTCCGTTTTGAATAAATCTGGCAGACTTGTTACTTGTCGTGCACTGTTGGATTCAGCTAGTCAAGCCAGTTTTGTGACAGATTCCTTTGCGAAGAAATTGGAGCTTCCAAGGTCTCTCTCTCCGACACTAATTCAACCCCTCAACCAAATGTCGACGTCTGCGTTAGGGAAGGTTGCCCTGAGCGTGACTCCCTCCCAAAGAAAATCCGCTGCTCTCCATATAGAGGCTTTAGTTATTCCATCTATTTGTGATAAGGTACCCTACCAGGTGATTGATAAGCAGAATCTAAAACATCTCAGGTCCCTACCCTTGGCTGATCCTCACTTCTGTGAACCCAACGAAATAGACGTGCTTTTAGGGGCAGAAGTTTACGGAGATATTTGTTTGCCTGGATTTAGAAAAGGACAGAACGGTGGCCCATGCGCTTTTCGGACCATCTTCGGATGGGTTGTCCGAGGAAAAGTGAATTCTTTAGAACCATCTTCTCCCTTTAGTTTTTATACCACTGTGAGTACTGCTGTTGATGTTTCTTTGAAGAGATTTTGGGAACTCGAGTCCGTCCCTTCAAAGACCTTCATATCTCCTGAAGACAAATTGTGTGAGAAGATCTTTCTCTCTACCCATTCCCGTGCCCCTTCAGGTAGATACGTCGTATCCTTACCCTTTAAGGATAAACACCCTTCACTTGGTGAATCTTACCCTCAAGCCCTTAGGCGATTCCAGTTGTTAGAGGCGCGTTTGGCCAAGAACCCAACTTTGCGATTAGCCTACAACGAGTTCTTGAGAGATTATTGGGAACAAGGTCACATGGCACTCGTTAGCGACCTGCCCCCCTCTCCCCAAGGTTACTACATTCCTCATCACGCCGTCTGGAAGCCACATAGCGAACCCCTTAAATTGCGTGTTGTGTTTGATGCTACCTACATCGACGACATTATCGGAGAAACAGACTCGTTGGAGGAAGCCCGTGAGTTGAGGGATCAATTAGTATCGCTGCTAAAGTTGGGTGGTTTCGAGTTGCGCAAATGGGCGAGCAACTCCCCCGAGTTATTGAGTTCACTCCCCGCTTCACATCATCAACCCGTTTTCCTATGCGGAGACGACAATCCCAGTTTAAAGGTGTTGGGATTGCAGTGGTGTCCCTTACGGGATGTGTTCTCCTACCGCATCCAAGTAGCGGATAGGACGTGCACAAAAAGGAATATTTTGTCACAAGTAGCCCAAATATACGATCCCCTAGGTTTTTTATTCCCGGTCGTGTTGACTGCCAAAATGCTCCTACAGAGGCTTTGGTCCCAGGGCGTCGATTGGGATGCACCTCCCCCCCGCGACATATTCGAAGATTGGAGTTCGTTTTCATCTCAGCTGGACAGTCTTTCTGGGCTGACAATCCCTCGTCGGGTACTGCCTAGCAATGGCGTCCAGGTGGAGACGCACGGATTTTGTGACGCTTCGGAGCGCGGATACGGTGCAGTCGTGTATCTGCGAAGCATCAGAGAGGGCTATATCTCTGTCACCCTTCTGTGTGCAAAGAATCGGGTAGCGCCTTTGAAGCGAGTGTCGATCCCCCGTCTGGAGTTGTGCCCAGCGTTGCTGCTCGCCCAACTCGTAGATTTCGTCCGATCCACTATAGCCTCTGAGTTGACTATCACGAGAGTATTCGCCTGGAGTGACTCCAAAATTGCGTTGTCTTGGATAAAGTCCTCCCCCCACAGATGGAAAACTTTTGTGGCCAATCGCGTGTCCCTCATTCAGGACATCATTTCCCCCAGTTCCTGGCATCACGTCGCCGGTTCATCCAACCCTGCTGACTGCGCATCCCGAGGGCTTTTCCCCGAGCAAATATTAATTCACCCCTCTTGGTTCTGTGGTCCCCCCTGGTTGCGTCTTCCGGTGGAAGAGTGGCCCACCTCCGACTTCACCCCCGGAGACGATCTGGAACTGGAACGTAAACCAGTGTTGACTTGTGTGTCCACCCCTTTAGTTGACTCGCTCGGAGAACTGTTAACCCGTTTCTCGTCGTTACGAAAAATTGAGAGGATTCTGGCTTATTGTTGTAGGTTTCTAAATAATTGTCGTATCCCCATTCCCAAGCGAGCGCTTGATAATTTGTCTTTTGCGGACACGTACCACGCCCGCACATTGCTCACAGGATACATCCAACGTGAGGTGTTCGCCGGTTTGCTGAAGTGTCTTCGAAACGGTAAACTGTGCCCCAAACCTTTACGCTCCCTAGCGCCCTTTATCGACGAGCACGGTCTCATTCGAGTCGGTGGCAGACTCCGAGGTTCTGCGTTGTCTTTCGACGCAAAACATCCTCTTCTACTACCTCGAGACCATCGCTTTACCGAACTCGTGATCGAAAAGTTCCATAAGGAAAATTGCCACCCGGGCCCCCAATCGTTGTTGTACCAGATTTCACAACAATTCTGGATTTTGTCCGCCCGCAGAGCAATTCGTCACACCCTATCGCAGTGTTACCGATGCTTCCGTGTCCAACCTTCTTGTGTACAGCCATTCATGGCTGATTTACCCCCCGTTCGTGTATCGCAAGTCAAGCCATTCGCGCATACCGGTGTCGATTTCGCCGGTCCAATTTCCATTACCCTTGCGCGAAGACGTGGCGCTAAGACTCAGAAGGCTTACATTTGCCTATTCGTTTGCATGGCTACCAAAGCCATCCATTTGGAATTGGCTTCTGAACTCAGCTCCGACGCATTCTTGGCCGCTTTTCGGCGCTTTGTCGCTCGCCGCGGGCGTTGCACTGACATGTATAGTGATCAGGGTAGAAATTTTGTCGGTGCTAACCGGTTGTTGGTACAGTATTGCCAGCAGTCCGCCGACCAGTGTGAGGTGCGCTGGCACTTCAACCCACCCTCCAGTCCTCACTTTGGAGGTCTTTGGGAGGCCGGCGTCAAGTCGGTAAAGACCCATTTGTTTCGTGTGATAGGCTCTCAAATCCTGACTTTCGAGGAAATGTCGACAGTGTTAACTCAGGTGGAATCCATACTGAATTCCCGCCCATTATGTAGTTTGAGTTCCAACCCAAACGATGTGCATAGCCTTACTCCTGGGCATTTTCTGACCCTGGAGCCCCTATCTGCCCCTCCCGACGACCCTTTAGCTAATCTGAACACTAACAGACTCACTCGTTGGCAGCTCGAGCAGCAGTTGCATCAGCACTTCTGGGACAGATGGCATCGGGAATACCTCCACCAGCTGCAGCAACGGCATAAGTGGAACACCACGACTAACCCCCCAAAAGTTGGTCAGTTGGTTTTAATTAAAGACGAGAACCTCCCTCCGTTAAAGTGGCTTCTGGGCCGCATCACGCGCTTTACCCCAGTTCCGACAAGGAAATTCGCGTTGTGCAAGTGCACACGGCCAAAGGCACTTTCGATCGACCTTTGGTCAAATTATCTTTTGTCCCTAACTGTTAACCTGTTCAAGGGGCAACCGTGTATATAGTATAGGATAAGTGTATGGGAAAAATTGGGTATTTTTGGGAAGCCGGAATGTTAAGGGTTGAATAACATTTTTCGGTAACTTCATAATTTTTTTGTTTTGGGTTAACTTTTTATTTTCGCGCTGTGTATACAACACCCCCACCATACCCAACCTTGGTTAAGCCGCGCGAAAAGACAGACTTGCGTGAGCGTCCGTAGTGCGAACCACGAAAAAACAAGCTCTCTTTTGTGACCGGTTCGCGAGATCCCCGCGCTGTGTTCTGGTCCTTACCACCCCCAACCCTCCAGAAAATACCCCTAAGAAGACCCGGCCGGGCAGACGACGGCGCGGGAAACCATCAAGGTGGGTGATTAACCGTTTCGGGTGTTGTATGTCCTACCGTTTTCTTGCCGCTCTTTCTCGTTTAAATTTTGAGGGTGATTTACAACCACCTTCCCCCAACCCTTTACACCTATTATTCCTGTTATTTATTAATACTCTATATGACACGCCAGTCCTGCAAAATGAATATTTGGCAGGATGACTATTTCCACCTATGTTGTGAGCGTTCGATCGAGAAAGCTTCCAATAAACTTCAATTAATTAATGATACTTTTAACGATTGCCTTGTTAAGACAGTTAAGACTTTGTCAAAACGGTTTTGGAAATTTTTAATCTGGCAACATATTTTGGGGCATTTTCCCTCAACGAGATTGAATATTTAAATTGCAAAAAATATTATCGGTGCCACTGTAAAGCATTTTTTTAAAGTCTATCCCTATCTAACTTACATTCACTTAACAGTGACTTTCGCGATTTTGGTACCAAATATGGCAATAAGTTCACTTATAAACTAGAATTGTGTGGGAAGTCATAAACTCAAAAAAAAATTTTTCGAGTAGTAGAACATTCAGAAATTGGAACATACCTTTTTAATAGAAAATTGTTTCTATAATATTGATGAATAATTTAATATGTAATATTAAATTTAATTCATTAGTAGATCTGTCCGTCAACTTATATTATTTGGTTTTGATGTTTGAGTTGATTCGATTTGGGAGGGTAGAGAATCCGAATTTCGGATTAATGCCTCCTTCAAAGCAAAGATTACTATTAAAAAATACTTCTAAGCTTTCTTTGACGAAAATCAAAGGTTTATCGCTGTCATTATTTCATCCAGTGACACAAGCATTTTGTACAAAATTGTTGGAACAATTTGTCCGGAATTCCAGGCAGCAACCGTTGTAACGAGTATTTTTGCTATTCCTCCATCAATCATTACATTCATTCGCTAAATTATATGATGTCCTTTTAATAACACCCTGCGGCTACTCATAATTTAATTCTTACTTTCATCCAATTGCTGTTAGCAAATATATCGCGGTACACTTTGGGGCTGCAGTAGGCGAAGCTATCTCTATTTTTTAAGAGTGTTTTAAACGTGACACAAAATTATGTATTTTAGGTATTTAAATCTGTATAAAATTGCAATGAAATTCGGTTCAACCCATCATGGTATTTTGCATCATCGATGGGAATCGAGCTTTAGGCGGTTTTTACAAACCTTGCCTTCCAGTAAAGAGGACGTGTATCTACTGAAAACCGTAATACGACTTTTATTGGTTTTAATTCCATTTTACAAACAAACTGGTAAATCATATGAAACCGCATTTTGCGGCTACGATAACGCTTGAAATTTTTTTGTAGGCTCGAATTGGATTAGCTGTTTTCTCAAAGACCCAACGCAATGTCTGTTGGACTTGTTGTACACCGAAAACTTGTCTGACGATGAACTTAAAGACTTAAGTCGAGATATTTTGAAGCTGGTAGCTCTATGCGTGTCTCAGGAGCATCATTACCTCGATTATGTCAACTCCTGTCCGGTTGCAAATTCTCAACCAAATTGGAATCATGTTATTCAGGCAATTGCTGAAAATTTGAAATTGAATGACTCCCAACACTTCTATAATTTAGGTAATCTTTAAGATTTCTAAATTGATTCTGTTCATGGATTATTCATATAGCTATTAGATAAACGCAGTGGTCGTTTTTTCACTAAGGTTCTATGAGTATTTTTTAAGAAAATGAAGATCAGTGTCAGTTAAATCGAATAAAAGTTGTATATTTAGATGTCGCGAAGCTACCACAATGAAATTAGCAAAGCTGGACTAAGAAATACTTTAGGTAAACTAAATTCCTTAATTTTTGTATTTCTTGCCTTGTCTACAGAGTGTTCCAATTTTGAACTATTACTACCCTGTATTTTTGTGCATTTTTAGTTTCTTTATAATAGATCTCAGCTACCTTTAGTATTAGTTTTCATTACTATATCTTTAGAATTTGTTGTATGTATATTTTCATTTGTATGTTCATTCGAGACTAATAATAATAATTTAATTTAATAATAAATATATAAATTGAAAAAAGATTAAATGATATTCATTTATTTTGGTAGTTTCAGGACACTAAGCATCTAAAAATACATATCTTTTATCTCATTAAACCGACACTGTATTTTTACTTGTTTAAAAGTTACCGATAAAATTCTGCTGAAAAAGTGTTCACCGGCCTTGCTCATCCGCACTAATAAGAGTTTCCGGCGTTTAGTAATCAACATGGCCACTGACAGTTCGCTAATTCGATAGTTTTAATTAGGGATATGGCATTTTGTAATCAGTATTTTCCCAAAATATGGTCAGATTTCGTTATATTTTGGATCTTTTTTTTTTGTTAAACCGCAAGATTTTACATACGATGTTTTTTCTCTGAAATTTTTATCTGGGCATATTTTGAAAAAATGTCAACGTCAAAGTGAAAACTCAAACTCAAGAATCGATTCCCAGGGCTGTGCAACGCCAAGACCTTATTAATTAGAAAGGAAGCGATGTCTTTGTTAAAACTTTGATTTTAGCTTATTTAGACGCACTCCTTGGTTGTTTGGTAAATGTAACAATTGTTCTGGGATGGAGCACTGCGAAACATGACCAAAAGCCTAACAAGTTATTACTCGGATTGATATCTAGCCTTTGCGAACTTACTAGCTCTTTTCATTGCGGTAAAGGTCAAACGGCAGCTAATTCAGTGCTTGGTATAAATATATCAAAGAATGTACTTCTGACCCTGAATAATCTACTTGCCGAATTACAATATGTGAAAACGAAGGTAACAGCTATTTATTTTTACCATTTATATATGCAAATGAGACTCAGCAAAGTACTATAATTATGTTGACAACTTAAAGTCACATTTTCAATGCACATTGCGTAGTATAATCTAAAAAAAATCTATTTTTGAAATCCTTATTACTTAGTTTTAGCATAAAGCGTCAAAATTTCAAATCGTTATAATTATGTTGAAGGTTTTGCAATTTTTACAATTTGATGATTGTGTGCTAAACTTACCAAACAAACCATTTTCGAGAGCACAACAGAATAACGGTTTTTAGCTCCAAAAGAGTAGGGGTGGTTCTCAATTTTTTACGGGGCGGGGTTAAGGCTTCGTTTATGTTAGTTTCCAGTTTTAATACATTAACTTATGCGATTTTCTTGGGTTAATATTACTACCTGTCCATTCCATTTTTTTTTCATTTAATATGTAAACATTTTGTAGAAGTGGGAGTATTGCTTTTTTGATGACATCGAAAGCCCGGCAAATTTAACTAGTTTCTTAACCCTTTGGACTAGTCGAGATGTCATTCTAAGGGCTGCAGCTTTACAACTGTTTGCTGGGCTGGCGAACTCGGAAAAAATAGCTCTGAAAATAATCAATGGTAAGATTTCTTATTATAACTAACTTAAAATAAAGTTACCGTTATGATGCAGCTTTGTCGCTTTTTGTTCGAAAATTGGACCTAAACAATATTAATATTTAATGTCATCCTTCTAATCTGCTATTGAATTTTTCGAAAGTATTAAATAATAAAAGATTAACCATTCTTAACAATCCTTTTTACGGCTCTTAACTTTTTGGAATTTAACCTACAATTATTAATGGTTCTTATATATCCTATATTGCAGAAGGTCACCTATTGAAATGTCTGTCTTAACTGTATCTAAAATAAATTGATATTTGAAAGAAAAAGAAGAATGTCGTATATACAGTTACAGTTATGATGATTTTTTTTTCTGTAATCAATATTGTTTGATATTTATTAAATTTACAGATTTAAAACATGTCAATGGTAGCTTTTGGGAATTGGTCTTTGCCGTTATTATTGACCACACCGAGGCTGGAATAGTAAGAGAAAATGCCGCTCTGTTGTTAGTGAATTTAACAAATCACATTTACGTACCATTTAACGACGGAAGTATAACATCAGTTGTTACATCATTGGGAGTAAATTCAAAAAAGGTATGTTACAGTGCGTAAAGGACGACTCCTTTATATAATATATATAATCTAGCAGCTACCGACAGCTGCTAGATTATATTGCATGGCTAGACAGTCATATAGAAGCATTATTTGAATGTGTAGTTAATTTTATAAGGTTAAATTATATCATATCAATCAAAAATACACAAGTCTGGTTAATACGTCTGACGAAAACCGACTACGACTCTGGATCTTATGTAAAAATACACTTGTATCATATTTGTTTTTTCCTTGTTTGGGATATTTTAGCACTAATTTTGAAATTGTTTAAAAGTTTACCTACTATAATAATTAAAATGTCACAATTATGGGCAATTTATGGTTTGTCTTTTCCTTTATAAATATTGGCAAACCTCACCATTGTGTAAAGTTTAATTTATCCAGAAATTTAATGTTCGAATCCTCCGGGGTAATGAATGTTATTACTAAAAAATCATCCATGCAAATATTATGAATTATAATAAAAACATGTTACTTCATAAGATTTCTGGATGAATTTATTATAAGGCTTTGGTTAGTTCGTTTCTTAATGTTTGCTTGTCTCGGGCCCCCGTATCCCTAAAACCCTTGACTTCCGTTCGCAAACGTGAACTATCCAATTTGGCGTCCCCTTACTTTGACTCCCGACTGATTCTTTGTTCTTTCGTAAATGTCATTGCCATTCTGTATGGTTCATATAGTCACTAAATTTTTTTTTAAATTATTTCCAAGTATGCCCTGATGTCATCGTGCGGCTAACTTTACTATAATGTTAATTTTTAAAAAATACAAAACTAGTATTTAAAATATCAACAAATTGCTTACTATTGCACTTTGTGAAAAGATTGTTTGCAATATATTTACTTGGGCAAACTAGAAAAACTCGTAAAAATAATAAAAATTATTGACAATAAATAATAAATAAAATCAAACCCTCTTATTAACCTATACGGCAAAGAAAAGGATACCCATTACTATCCGTCTCCCTCTATATAAAATTTCCATTCTAGTTTGGATGCCCATTGGAGCTGTGCTTTTATTAATTAGAAACACGGAACACTCTATATAATGTAGTGTACTTTCTTTCAGGGCTTCATAAAAGAATTAATGGACGTATTTACAAAGCACGATTTCTATAGTCACCTTCAAATTATCCTGACGTCCTTGTTCACTTTGACGATCGGCAACGACTCTGGAACTGAAACTGAAAAAAATTATTATTTTACTGATAACTGCGGTTCTTCCAGCGCAACATCCGAACATGTTAATATTACCACTCCCGGTTTCGTGAAAGCTGTATGTATGTTTCTGAATAATGTTGCCTGTTTTTCTACAAATGACGTCATTGGAGAATTGTACAGGAAAGGCCTAGTAAAACTGATTTTCAGGTAAGTTTTTGTGCCCCAGTATATGCAACGGATGTACGACCCTAGAAATTGGAAAAAAAATTATTAAGCAAAAGAGAAATAGCTAAAAATTATTTGCGAGTGTCTGAAAGGGCCACCAAAGGGTTTAATTCCTATTAATTTATTATTCAGAATGCCAAATGATATTTAAAATCAAAATAAAATTTTGTTATTTTTCTTTATTACCCATTTTTCAATACTTCGAAGTGCACGAGCCTACCCAGTAGCTGCCGTTACCACTTTTTGATGTACTTGCCAGTATTCAACTTATTAATTATTATTACTTATTTTTTTATTAAAAATTAAGTTTAGTCAACTGATCAAAACTAATCAATTGTTGACGACTAACTGATTTTTTTTAACTTTGGAGTTATGTAAGTAGTAAATTATGTATTGAAATATATATTTTTAATGCTATAAATAGTTAAAATTTAAACTAATTAAAATTGTAGGAAATCAAGAGACTTTGACAAGCATCAAGTAATGACATGAAAAATGCGTACTATTTAGATTGAAAAAAAAAAGTTTTCTGGGCAAACTTGATAATTAGGAATGACTTTCCACATTTTACTACATAAATACATCAATACTTAATAAAATGAAGTTATGCTCCAATTAATGATTTATAAGTGATAATTCTAAATCTTTGGAAACGGGTAAGAATATCAGAACATAGTAATGTTAGCTACGGGCTCACTTAGAAGATATTTAGAAAGAAAGTAATAAACATAAATTTGATGATAAGTATCACTTGGCATGCCAAATAATAAATTATCGCTTTATTTGGTAGATTAGCAATAATTAGGCAATAATGACAACCCGCAAAGTGACGCAGGTTTTCCAAAAATGAACTATTTTTGAGTGTTGTTGTATTCATATTTTAGGTTAGGGTAAAGATATGGAGATGCGGTTTTCACTGAGTTGCTGGGCGCTTATTAGATAAATTGCCGTAAAAATGTCTTCGTTGTATTAATTCTTTTTTGTGATTATTTATATTTATAACTTATCCTTAGGATCTTATGCTACCCGTCAGTGACTGTAGACACGACCAAGGAATTAATGTTCTACTGTGATCTGTTGGAGATGAATGCAAGTGTATGTTTGCTTCTGAAAACTTTGTGTCATAACAACACATTGTGTCTTGGTACCGTTCTTCACACAAAGGATTGCCTCAATGTTATGTTATCATTATTAAACCGCAACATGTACCGTAAGTATATTTTATTAAAATAAAAAAAAAAACTTTGCAAAAACCATCATTGACCCATAGTTAAAGTAGTTCCAAGAAACCATATATTACCACTTTGCGAGCAACCCTCGTGGCTTTATTGAATTCATTCATTCAATTCTTCAAACAATTCTTTAATTAAATGAGGTTCAGTCTCCTAACACACATAATATTAACTTTCTTGATGAAGTGGACGTGTTACTGTTAACAGCTTATGTTGTTGAACTTCTTAACCTCTGAAGCTGTGGTTATCATAGTATAAAAAACTACTATGCTCAGGCATTCAAAGCAGTGTTACATTATTACAGCACTCTAGCCTCTTTGTGTACTATTGCACAAGTTGCTTCCTTACCAGCATTAGACAGATTTCAATCGCCTGCACTTCCGCTGCCATATGCTAGATATGCGGCAACAGATGTGGATATGTGCCTTTTGGTTTTCCGGCCCCTATGAGGTCAAGTCAGGTTCACTTTATAGAAAAGATCTATGTCTCAGGTATCATGTCCGATGACATCCCCAGAATGCCCTGGTTAGATACCCTATCCGGCAAATAGGGGTTTTATCTACTAATATATTCATTAACATTTATTAGTCTAGAAATTTCTTTGAGAATTATTTTATTTTTAATTTTAGTATTAATATTCCTAATTAAAATACCCATATATATTTTTTATTTATGACTATTAAAAGCTCATGTTGAAGAGCCAGTTTCAGGATCAATAGTATTAGCCGGAATTTTATTAAAGTTGGGAGGATATGGACTTTTACGAGTAATAATTATATTTTTAGATTTTAAGTTTATAAATTTATTAATTATAAATTTTTCTTTGTTGGAAGCTGTAATTATTTGTATGGTTTGTTTACGTGAAAGGGAATTAAAATTATTAATTGCCTATTACCATCCCGGATGATATAATTGTAATATTTTAAACTATCTATTTTGAATTTAGATACGAACCTATCCCAACTGATATATCTGAGAAACAAACTCTGGAGCGAAATTTTCAATTTATGCGCTGTATTACTTGGAGCGAGTAACCATGATCCCAAGTTGAAGCTAGCCGCTGAATCTTTAACTATTATTAGGGATACCATAGTAGACGTAGGAGTTAGTCAGTTTTTGGAAATTCTGTTTGAATCCCTTATTTGTATTGGAGAGAGTGGTAAGTATTATTTAAAACTAATTTACTTGCGTTATTATATAGAGTATAAGACCTCTTAACCGATTATTTCGTAGTTACACCCCGACCTGTTGTGCCAGCATGTTTGATAAACGCTGCTTTAGTCAAGAGCAACTGAAAAAGTTGTATGCTATATTTATTCTACGTTTTGGGTACCTTTTTGCAAAACAACCCGGATGCATTCACTGAGTGTGACCATCAGAACTGACAAACGTTAAAATACCATTCTTACTCTAAAATACCCGTTTATGCGTAGTTTATATAGCTGCGCTAGAGAAATTTTGTTGAAAGTTTACTTTCCAGTCTAAACAAATGAGTTTTTGTTAACTTTTTATTTATTATTTTCGCAAGAATGGCGGTACGCCGTGTTTAAAATAGGAAGACACCCTTGTGTTAATTGAAAATCTTTGTACTGTACAAAGAAATATGAAATCTATTGAAATGGACTGCAAAAAATTTAAAAATAGAGTGAAATAATAAAACACATTTAAAAAATTAATTAATTAAGAACTATTTAAGACGTCTGAACATCAACTTAAGCGCAAGCTACATTACTTGAGAACACAACTGAATCAGAAGTGGTGAAAGATGGAAAAAAAAGACAAGAGACACGAATTGTATAAAAACATGTGCAATTTTTTTGATTTTTTAAAATTTATATTAGTTCCAGCCGGTTATCTGGCAAGTTTAAAGTTTTTATTACAAAAAATTTTCTTACAAATAAAACTTAATATGTAATATAACATTTTAAAGGTAATTTAATTTTATGTAGACTTTTAAATATAAACTATATTGCCATTCCACAAAAAAAAATAGTCCTTACATTGTAGGAAGTTTTTTAATGACTGAGGATCTTCCATTCCCATTTCAGACAATCGTCTTATGTATTCCTAAAGTAGATCTGCGTTTTTTCTCACATTCCTCTTTTTTATTTGTTTTTTTTTTCTAAAGTGCGTGTACCTGTTTCAAAGCAAAAATACATAGTTCCACAAAATATATGGAAATACAGCAAGAAGTATACGTTTCCCAACTGAACTGTCACTATAACTTGTCATCAGTTCATCATAACATATTTGGAATAATGTTTGAATTTTCTTTAGAGAATGCATGCACCCACTTTTAAATTGCGCTTTTTACCCCCGCTAGATTAAAACAAAAAATAAAATAAAACATAAGTGTCAATAGCCTAAATAAACCTAACCTAAAATAAAGTGGCATATTATGATATGAGCAAGCCGTTTAGTGGAGTTCTTCCGTAGACCTCGAGAAATGTTATCTTCCGAAGCGGTACGCCATCCCTTGAATTGAATGCGTTTTTAAAAATGGGAATTAATTCAATAACATTTTCGTGGCTGTTCTTTATTTGAACTTATCAATACAAAAATACTCAAAAACAAAACTGAATACACTCAAGTTTTTGTTTTTATGAGTTGTATATTGGTTCGACCACCATCTTTAAATGTAACGACCGCAAAGCCTAACGTTTTATTACAATTGACAAGAAACCAATTTTGTTTTTTTTTTAATGGGCAACCTGGCGCTTGCTTGCTGCTTAGGTTAATGATGATCAACCGCGTTAGAACACTCTGCCACAAAAATAAAGACGAAAAAAAATTGACATTAAACGAGACAGCAAGTCAGAATTAGGTGAAACTGTGATGAGTACCAGGACACGAAAGCTCCTCAAGGCGCATGGTTGGACCAGAACACACTTTTTGTGGGGTGGCTCAACTAATTGCGACATCAGCCAACAAAAAATAGACCTATGGAAAGTGCTGGAGGAGCCACTATGGAAGCTAATCAGAGTCAATCAAAGGGACAGAGGTAGAACACTTGCTATGGAATCACAATAGATCTTTTGAGTTGCAGTAATGGACAGGCCAATTGCTAATAATTTTAATTTGGATCTTAAATATTAGTGTCCGAAAAATACTTGAAAACGATTATTTTACAAAAATCGTCAAAAATGTTTAACCAACCTTTTAATAATTAAGCTTGTGTCATAATATGCCACATTTCTTGGTGACCTTCAGTGCATCGCGGTAACTGGAAGTGCTGGAAGAGTGTTTGACACAAGTACGCACGGTTGCTGCCGACCTTGTAACTTTAGGGTTCTATATTACAGCTCTGGATTGGGTAAAATAGTATAATTATTATTAATTGAATACAAACCCTTTGCAGAGCGAGCATCGCTATATTTCAACAAAAAGTGTTTATTTTAACGATTTTATTCCCGCCTTTCCATTTTTGAGTAAATTATGTTTGTTTTAGACTTACAAAATGCTTCGTTGTGTGTTCTGATTTCGTTTTTGAAGATCGAATGTCAGTTTTCCACCGTTGACTCGATGAATCTTTCATTAAATTCTCCGTCTTTTGGAACACTTCTTGATACAGTGCAGACTCCAAGAACTGTTATTATGTCATCGTCTGACGAAAATCTTGAGAACGAGAACCCCAATCTCACTAAACCCAATAAAATACGTCAGAAATCAGAAGACAGGGCCAATTTACTTCAGGAACTTTACTTCAATAGCGTTATTCCGCAACGAAAATCAAGTTCACTGGATGAGATTGAAGTTAGTTTTGTAGAAAACGGATCAAACGTCATGATGGCCGGCGGCGAACTATGCAAAATTCTGTTATATTTGTACGACATTACCAACATAAAAGTTTTTCGTGGTAATAAACTTTCTGACAAAAAAACGTTAATATTAGCCGCCCTTGCTGGACTGCTGTACGCGTCCCAAGAGGCAAAAAAGTTTGCAATTCAGAATAACCTAATGCAGATTGTAGTAAAGCAACTTCGAGATTATCATGTAAAACTCAGCTTGGAATCGGTCGAGGCATTAAAGAGAGTTCAGGATAAGAAACGCATATGCCCTGTCCTGAAAGAAATTGATGATCTTATTGGCCTTCTGACCAACTTTATGATCAATAGTAATAGTGCTAAAAGTTTAGCTAGCCAGTTGCACGTTGCCGACGTTATTCATAAACTGTGGATATGGTTCTCGTTACAAAATATTTACGTGGTAGATGTGCTGAGAATGTTGGAAGTTTATACCACTGAGTGCAGCGAAGGTGAGTTAGTTTGTTGGTTTTCTCCATGGAAAAGTTTTTGCCATATAATATGAGAAATATTTTTTTGAATGTATTTTTTGCGGTTTTACATAATAATAATACGTTTATTATATCAATTTATTACAAGAACAAAAAACAGGCTTAAACAAGCCAATAATATACTAACTTGTCTTATGAGGCGAACGCTCACAAAATACTGTTGAAGTTTGGTTAGACTTGTTACATCAAATAAGATCAACTCTCTACTACTCTCTTCTTTATTATTCTAAATTATATATTTTTTTAAGTGCCAAAGGGGTAAGGGAAGGGAAAGAAGAAACGGGGTGAGACGCAAATTTGCTTAAAATTAATGCAGACATTTGTTAATATACACATAACATAAAAATCAAGATATAAAAAAAGTCATTTAGGTAAAACTAAAAATTAATATTCTAAATATTGTGTGTTGTGAATTTGAGTTCGATGTTGCACGTAGTCTACGGGACAAGGTGCACAGATAAGAGGTTTCATTTTAAAGTTTTTATGTGTATGTTAGTTTTAAAACTTTTTTTTATTAAGCCACTTTAACACACTACACAAATAATTGATGGCATTCCTAACAGTATACGCGACCTTCCCCTCTATTTTATACTCTTTGGTTTAAGAATAGAATATGAAAAAAAATATTTTTCAGCTTGCCGTTCCTTACCTTTGACCAGTGCTGTAAGCGGATCCGGACCTAGAAAGATACCAGGAAATCCATCTCTTTTGCATGTGATTATTAGTTTAATTTTAAAGGAAATGGATCAAATCAGCAAGACTCACGATTTAATCTGTTTAGAAAAGGCATTTAACATTTTGCATAATTGTTCTGATATTTTGGAGTGTCGTATTTTGATGTCTAAGGTTAATTTACTCAGGTTTTTTATTTACCGCGTGGGAAGAATCGATTTTTTTGTTGTAGAGCAACCTCTTTCATTGTTTAAATCGATTAAATCCCACAACAACCAAATGCCAAACGATTTGGGAAAACGTCGAATTTATTTGGCTGGAGTTCCTGCAGGCGTTTTCTAGACACGCAGAAGGTCAGTCCGTTATTGCAAAGTCTAAGGACGCGCTAGAAGTAATCATGTTATTATGCTGTAACGGCACAGGCAACCGCCGCAATACCAATCGAGAGATGGCTCTAAAAGTGATTAGAAATATATCGTTTTATCAGCCCAACAAACAAAGACTGCTTTCGTCAGGTGAGTAAATGATTTTACCACAGCACCATCCTAGTAGTGAACGAAAATAAGACAGGCTACTGTAATACATTTACCAAACTTCTGGTCCTCCTGTGTCGGTTTTTGTTGAGTCGAAGTTGCCAATGTTTCGCTAATCGTCCTGTTGGCTTCTTCAGGTCAGAAGTTTTGTAAATAGTAAAATAAGACTTTTTAGACGGGAAAATTTATAAAGTTTTGGTTAGTTTTGGTATTGAACTCGCAGTAGAAACCCAAATATCTTGCTCATAGTTTTGAAGATATAGCAAACATCTTCTGTTATTTTTAAACACGGTAGTTTTTGAAACTGCCCTGTATGTCCAACATACAAATATTCTTGTGCAAATTTATTTTCTCACCAAGCAGGACTTTCGAGGAAGAGGCACTTTTTTTCGTAAAATTAATAATTAAAAATTTTCCCATTTGGAGCAACTTCCGAAGGCACATATAAATTTATTTTATTGTAATTGTCTCGAATTACTTTTAGGTACTTTTTTAAACGTCCTACAATCAAGACTAATGACGGGAAGCACAGAAGAAAAAAAGGTAACAATAACTATACTATGGTCTCTCGCTGCGAACAGTCAAAAGGCAAAGATAATTTTTAAGTCAGCCCAGTTAGACCTTAAGCTCGAAAATGCCATAAAACAGTGGCGGCTTTTACATGAGAATGGCGACCTAGATCAAGCCGATCTGCAAAGGGCTTTTTCAGTGTTATCCATCTTAAGAAGTGGTAGTTAATAAGAACACTTAAATTGTAACTAATTTATAATTTAATATTTATAGCATCTTCTACTGTTTTGTGTATATTTTTAACAATAAAGTTATATTATGTGTATTTTTGGTGATAAAAATACTCTAAAATCTTATATACAGTTTTTAGTCCAAAATTCTAGTCAAATCTAAAATAATTAACAATTAACAGATTACTTTTGATTGCGGCGGTGCAAAAGTGACAACCTTGCTCTATTTCTTTTTACATTGCTCCGTTGCTCATTTATAGCATGAGACTGGCAAAGCTATGTATTTATTTTATTATAGTGTTTTTAAGGAAATATTTTGTTGCAATCATTTTAAATGCGTATTTGTTTTGTATAGGATAAAAGCGGAGCGCAATTCATTACTAACATAACACAAATATCATAAATAGCTAAGACTCTTTCAAGGTTTTTAGCGAGTATTGCTGATCTGGTCTGATCCACCTTGACAGTAACAACAGATAATTGCGTTTCCTGAATTGGTGTTCTGGGAATGACATTGTCACTGCATTCTTCTCTTTTGACATTGATATTACAACATAAAATAGTTGTGGTTTTTAAATAAAGGAAACGGGTTACAACAGTAAACAACTTTTATTTTCAATCCTTTGCTGGAATAGCGTAACTGGTGTCCCTCTCATTTGCCGAAGTTGTAATACAGCTCTACAACATAACATAACACATGTAATTTGGGAAATTGTGGTATTGTGCATGTGCAACGAAAATTATTTTTTATATGTATTTTATTGAATGGACACCTCTATAACATGTTTTTCCCATGACATGAATTTTAGTTCAGATACCTATACAAAAATTTCATTTATGTCTAAATTGTTTGCCAAAAACCACTCCGAGTTCCTGCCATGTTTTTAAGGCCAAAAGTACTACAGAAGACCCCAAGCCTGACATCTACCCCTACACATACCCGATTTTTTTCTTGTTGCCAGTTCGGAGTCGTATTTATAGCCCTTTTTTGAGACGTCTTTGTACATAAGACCAGTTTCAAGACAGACGTTTTTAGTACGGAAAAAAAAAACAAGTTAAGTAAGGCTCAGCGGTTTAAGGAAAAAGGCTATAAATTGACCCTTTAGTACTCATCCATTTAGACTACTTACTTACGTGCCGTGTGTTCCATGTTTGAGATTATACGGCGTAATCCCCTTATTAATAAAGTTAACGTTTTTCGGATTTAGGACCCAAGGCTAGTTTTTCATGAAATGAAAGATGAATAGATATATATTGCATACGCGAATGACTAACTTTTTGCAATCAATGATATGGTTTATGTAAAAATCTGTATTTTCTATGTCTTACTCATAAAAAAATAAAGTTAAAGATATACTGTATTCGAAATGTGTCTTATGTATTACATATTATTAAAATTATTAAAAAATATACGGGATTTTTGTCAGTTTTAGAATAAAATAGAACCTACTTGAAAAGCCGTATCCAGATAGGTTTTTGCCTTTTCATATGTTTAGGAATAACCGAAGTGTATCTACAAATTCAAAATTACCTTGTATCTCTCATTTGTGAAAAAGTTAGCTTTAGGTTACGAAAGTTGCAACACGCCAGCTTGATTAAAAAGAGATATACGCTGTAACACTATAAAAGATGGGATAATGTACACACTATTGACATCTATACGTTTTCAGTTCAAACTTGTCTGTTTATTATAGTATCCGGCCCAGTAGTAGCTTTTGAATCAACAAATGCAAATCATATATACAGAGCATGTCATAAAAAATTTATCAATTTTAAGAACCGACAACAATAGCACCAAAGAAATCATATTTAAATTTGCAAATTACTGTTTTCTGCCTGTACTCGCATCATATTCTTTATAAATTCAATCATTCATTCATAACTTACCTTTCCAGTTAGACGGGCGTGTTTTATATCCCAGATTAATCCAATACAAATCGTTATTTGGATTATTTGTGTTACTCCTAAGCCTGTGTATTTCATAATACTCGTCAGATTCGTCTTCATCTTCCTCACCATATTCATCGTCGTCATCGTATTCATCTTCATCATCGTATTCATCTTCATCATCGTATTCATCTTCGTCATCATATTCATCTTCGTCATCATATTCATCTTCGTCATAATATTCATCTTCGTCATAATATTCATCTTCGTCATCATATTCATCGTCTTCATCATACTCACCTTCACGAAAATAAGAAAAATTGTGCAAAAGCAAATATTAAATTTTTGAAAATGAGAAACTACTTACGTGACTCAAGATTATTTATTTTTAACGAAAAATTGAATCACAAGCTTTCATAATATGATTAGCAATCGATTGGCAGTGTTCAGAGCATGGCTTTTTCGTAACTATTCCACCAATGAAAAAGTATTGAAAGAGACTATTCAAAACGGTAAAAATTAAAACCTTCATCAAGGTTTTAAGAAAATAAAAAGATGAAGCTCAAAAACTTCCGACGAGAATGTATAGAAAGTAAAAGCAAAAATGCCGAGTACGGTTTTCACTTTGTATAATAAAAAATATGTAATTAAAAAAAAAGAGAAAATATGGTGTTAGTGGGCAAAATGAACCCCAAGTCCTTGGCCAAATATCTTTTTCATCCCCCGACACAAGTGAAAATACCATAACCTCATCTTAATTCGTGGTGTAATTCTTGAGCTACGAGGAGTGTTTCGAAAGGCATAATTTTTTTTTTTAAACTCAATGATTCTCGTTACCGAAGATAAAGAATATAAACAAAATCTAGTTTTTAATCCTAAAATATTTAAAATGATTGAACAGATACCAAAACCATCAATTTTCTGTTATAAATAAGATAATGATGTAAAATATACACATGTAATCTTGTTAAAACAAATATTTTCTTTCTATAAGCCAGCATAACTTGTTTATTCGTATGCTCACCATCTTCTTCATATTCACTTGCATTCTGGCTTCCTTTGTTGTGGAGAACATAAAATATATGCGTAAAAATTAATTAGTAAATATTTCTTCTGTGTTGCAACTCACCGTAGTAATGCATGCGCTGAAGCAAATCTAAAACAAAATTGATCACAACTTAAATGGTAAAGTGTACATTCAAGACTTCTTCTGAAAATTTTTCAATGCAATAATAAGATTAAAAAAAATATATCTGATTTTATGCTAATACAGTTTTCAAATATAATTTAACTTCACCAACTTACATTTCCAATTAATCGGACGGCTCTGATATCCTCTACTTTTCCAGAATAAAACATCACAAGGATTTAGTTGTCTGCTTCTTAGGTCTCTTTGTTTCTGATAAACTAATATCAAAAAGGCATAAAAAAATTATTAAATGGTAAAAATAATTAAAAAAAAAAGTATTTGTACGCAATTATTATATAACACCATAAAGTATGAGCTCAATAATAACGTATTACGTAAATGCACAACATATACTGTTGATAAAGGATTATAAACACTAGACGTTATATTAATTATTAATAGCGTGTACAGTGAAGAGTAGCGTGTAAATGATTATTAGTGACTTTAATTGCTATTATGTTAGGTTCATTTTCTTAAAATATATTTGGCAACATATTACGAAATTTAAGGATGGAGAAAAGGTAATAAATAAATAATTCAATAAAATAGTATTTAACATTAAATAATAACAGAAAAAATAGCAAAATTTTTCACGGGATAAACACGAATAGCAACAGTATACTATGCAACAAGTGTGGTAAACGACAGCGGAGGATTTATTAAGCACTCGCTCCGCTGCGCTCCGTTCTTGCCAAATAAACTCGTGACTAAATGTGCTGCATTCTATACTTTTTCTACAACAGTCAGTTCTTGGGGACATTTTGCAAAACAACACGAATACATTCACTGCCATAACCGTCAGAATTAACAAACGTCAAAATTCAAGCCGTGCGGTAAAATCTCCGAAAACATTATTGCTCCCAAACCCGTGCGGTAATATCCCGGAAATGTCCGAAGTGACTCGGGTTAGTGGGAAACAAAACTGACATGATAAAATGACACTTCCTGCAGGGTAGATCGGTGCGTGCAGAAAGTGTTATTTCTGGGTGGAATCAATCGGATGTTTTCAGAAATATTTCCCACGGCTTGAATTTTGAAACTATTCTTATTTCATACTTATCACTTACATTTTGAAGTAGACAGTTCACTTTATGTTGCTCATCTGATTGCATTTTTTCTATCATTGCTCATCAGAATCGGGCTTAAAATTTGTTGACAAAAATTAAAACAATAGTATATTATGCAACAAGTGCGGTAAACGGCATTTCACTCACGAGTTTATTTGTGTTTAATAGATAAGTGAGTTAAAAAGTTTACCGAACGTGTTGCATACTATTTCTACGACCCTTAGTTTTTTGGTACATTTTCGCTGACACGATCGTCAGAATTGACAAACGTCCAAATTCAAGGCGTGGGAAATATTTCAATTTATTTTAGAAAAATTTAATCTATAAAGATATCTTACTAAAATATCTAATAGCAGATGAACATAGTAGACCACCTACATAAAAAAAACTACCTATATCACCTTGCGCCTCAAAAATACTATTGTCACTATCACTTTATTTGTGGTTCCTCGCGAAGAGCTAAAACTTCTGTTGGATACTGCCAGAATTTTGTAGCAGAATTCTTTTTGATATTTGAAATTAGAAAATCTGATGACACAAGAATTAATTATTAAATATGCATCTATATTGCCCAGAAGTTGGTATATTGTACCAAGCATATCTACTTGCTAATTGATTCAAGACAGGATTTTGAATTTGAATTTGAAAAGCTCTGTGTTGACCTTGGAATCACTGGGTATGGTTTGCAGGTCTTCAATAAAACCTATAATTCTTGCAGAAATATCTGAATTTTCAAAAAAAAAAAAACGCCTAGTCGTATTGCCACCGTTTGTACTACCAAATCCAGGCTTTCGTCTATCGACTAACAAACCCAAATCTTTTAAAAATAAACCCTGAGAATTTTTTTTATTTGGCACTATCTTTTCACAGTTTTCTTTAATTCTAAGTTTATTTTCACAAAATCAAGCCAAAGCATAAAAACGCCATATCAGTCTTCCAGATTTTTTCAAAAACATTTTTTTATTATCCGAAAATTTTTGTGGTTTTGTTTTAAAAAAATATTTCAAGTAGAACAGCACATTACTTCAGGATTTTTTGATATTTTAATTTTAATATTTCATATATGTTTTGAAAGCGTAATTGCGCGGAAGAAAAAGTTTTCACTTTTTCTTTTTGAAAAACTAACCAAAACTATATTATTAAAAAAAAATGCCTGTTTCTACAATACTGCCTAGAGGGTTATCCATATTAATATTAAGGTATTTATTTAAATAAGTCACAAAAATTTGTAAAAATGTTCAGTCTTCGATTTTTGGCCGGGATTTCCCCGAAATTCGCCTACGTGTAACGCTAAAATCTCGAGTTATACACGAAATGTGTGTATTTATTTTTATGGTGTGTCTTTTTCAAGTGTTTTATGTTTTTTTCAAAAAAGAAAATGTTGAAAAACAAATGAGCTAGATGGTGTCAATTTTGTACCCGTTACACATTAATGTGATTTTTGATAAAAAGTTTAATTTTCTGGACACGATCCGTGACATATTCATCTTTATCAATCAACTTTAAAATTACATGTTTGAACTCACCGTAATCCATGTCCTCTGCTGAGGCTAAAATTAAAAATAACTGAAATGAATAATAAGAAATGTACAGATTGTAACCAAATTTCAGAGGTATATAGAAATAAAGGCCTCTTCTCGCGCCCTAGTAGAGAGCGTTGAGAGATTTTAAATGCGTTTGTTTCGGCGAAATCAATATTAACATTATTTTTTCATATGGTCCGTGAAAAAACTACACCATGGATTAAATAACATTTTTTTATTACGAATAACACAATATGGTTCTTGTTTAAATCACAAAAAAGGGTTTCTAATAAATTTTCAATGTTTTGGTGAATATGCGAATACACTAGACCAATTACTCAAAAAGAACTAATTAAAAAATATATAAAGAATAATCAAATAAGTGACTATTGTTTTTCCAAGATGATACCTTGTAACTGCCGAGTTTAAAACATTATTTAATATATCAGTTGTAATGTAATGTTTTGAAAGGCTGCAAGAACTAGTCCTCTTAACTTTTTTTTTTCAAACTAGGACATTTAATTGTCAATTTTCTTGATTTTCGTTGAACCAAAAACCAACAGCGATACACAATTTAATTAAATAATGTCGATAATCCATAGAAAATAAAATTTGCTGAATTCCGACAAAACTCAAAATTTTGCTTATTGCATCTTCAAGAGCTACTACTATCCCTCAAAATGGGCAAAGTGTTCAGGCATTTGCCATCATATTTACATACAATTGTTTCTTTCAAAAGAAAACAATCTGAATCCGTCCTACATAAAAAGGAAAGTTCTCACCAAATTTTTTTTTAAAACTGTTTTAATAATTAACTGCCTTATGAACACCACTTATGCTTGCATAAAATTTCTTAGGCCGTTTATAGAAAAATCCAGTACTATAGGGTAAGGACAAATATTAGGGCTTCGATCCAATATGACGACCGGACAGAAATAGAGCCAATCGTTTGCCTAGTCCCTTACAACATCGTAGAGTAACAAAACAGTAAAAATTTTAAGTGGCAAAATATTCCTCATGATTAACATAAATCTACTGTTTTTACAAATACTGCTAAGAACTGCATCCCATTTTTTTTTCTCTTCTTTCTAGAGCCCATAAATCCACAATTGCAGTTCATCCATCGAATAGTAGCGCACTAATCGCGGTCATTATAGTCACTTTCACTGTCCAAATGTTACCGAAAAGTTTTGATCCCACTTCTGATGTCGGAGAAAAATAAAATAATAAATAATAAATAAAAATAGTAAAACAGAAATAGAAACCGGGAGTGGCGGGTTCAGATGACGAGCGAGGCGCTATAGGGTTAAACTTCTCTGATATATTAAAAGACTGCACATAACACAGTGCGTAAAACAAACAAATAAGATAATCACTTGATTGATTATTAAAACGGAATCCAACGATCCGCGACCCGCTAGATCAACTATAAAATAGCCAATCAAAAATAAACTATCGGAGCTACTCAAAATCCGACTTAACCAGTGCTTTTATAAAGCCAGACAAGCTTAGCCGGTCCACAATATTACGAATGAATAACCATTTATAAACATTAGAGAGCTGGATTTGAACCGGGATAGCATCTTCGTGCGAACTATACATTTTTAAATCATCTGTAAATAATAGAGAGTCACATTTAATTTTATCAGACAGGTCGTTGATAAAGATCAAAAACAATAATAGTCCAAGATTAGATCCATGAGGCATGGCGCATGTTGCGACAAACTGCGCCGACTGGAATTCGTTATAGTTTGAGCAGACAAGACATAAAAAGATACAAAAGTGGCTCGCTAAAAACCAGCACTGAATGTTTTTTAATCAAGCCTTAGCCTTAACAACATCCAAATATACTAAATCAACCTGAAGTCCCTTTTTGACACATTCTGAAATATACGGCGTCAGTTCAGTTGGATCGTCCTGGTATTAAGCCGTGTTGATTAGGCGAAATATGAAATTTAATATGGCGAGCAAGATGAGTATATTAGTTATTAAAAGAATTTAGCAAAGGTTGATAGAATCGCAATTGGCCGATAATTTTTAATATAATCAGGAGTGGAGTCGGTCTTCAGACCGGGACGCACCTTAGCCAACTTCCGGCATTGTGGAACAGTGCAGTATTTTATAATTCGGTTAAAAATGGCTAGTAGAGGGAAACCCTATTACATCTAGCTGTAAGTTTTCGCCATAGCTGGCAAGACTCTTAATAACTTTCCTCCATCAAGCTGTCAATATGAATAGACAGGTGGAGGTACAAGTTCATGGTAAGGTGATCAGTTTTAGGACCATAAACATTACTAAAATACTCTGCAAAACAATCAATGATCACCTAAGGGGTGTCATCAGTTTCATTGTTAAATTCAAGCAAGATATGTATCCTAGAAGATCAGTAGCAAAAGAAAGTTTCACCTGTTTCAAATAATTATCATAAGCCAATTTATATATATCATAAGATTTTATATGTATTCTCGTCCTACAGAATTCCTGATAATAGCATATTAGTTCGTCTAAATTTTCTGTAATAAAAAGACTTTAATGTTAAAGAGCAATCTATATCCGATGGGTACCACTTAGAATAAGAATATTAAACCCAAAACAATGTTGATGTTTAGGTCTTTTGTGTAATCAAGGATTATCTTTTGCTTAATAATGAACATTTCGCAGGTTAAAACATCTATTATTTGTTATCATACTTTCGTCCGACCAGTTAATCTTTAGGGGAAAATTTTCATCTCTTTGACACTTCCTAGTATACCATTCGCGAAATGTTCTTCGTCTCTATTTACCGCCACGTCTGAGCGATTGACAAATTCTATATAAAATGAGCAGTAGATTTCGATATTTCATGTTCTATTGTTGCGGATTTTCAGTGACAGCTAACAACACATTATTTACTTTTTCTTGATTGCATTTTTATCTCTGGATAAAACTGGTTTAATAAACGCACCAAATGAAAAAGCACTTTGAATAGTAAATAAAATTAATATGACATTTTCTCAACGTCATCATGTGAGCAACTACGCCAAAACATTGAAAATAAAAAAAAAACATTTTGTGATTTAAACAATGTAGAATCATATTGTGTCGTGCATTGTTGTATTTGGAATAAAAAATTCTTTTTAAAACATGGTGTAGTTTTTTCACCGCAAATATGAAAAAAATTTTTGCCGAAATCAAACTTCCTCAAAATCTTGTAGAGCTTGAAAAGTGGCAAGGAGAAAGTGTTTTTTTATATCTCTTTAAATAATACCAGACAAAAAAACGAAAACGAAATAGGAAAATTTCTTTTTTTTATTTTATCTTAGGAAGTGATTCGAATTTTGCAACTTTTTTCTAATTTAACCATTTTCTTATATCTCTTATGGTTTTCAATATCCTCATTCTTATCTTGGCGACTATTTCGAGTTCGGTAAAAACTGTCAAAACCTCTATCTAAAGGAGCCTTTTCTTATAATTATTGACTTAACTTACTCTACCAATTAGACATTGATATCCTTTCCAAGAAGTAGTGGTCACAATCTAAAAAATAAAAAATTAATTAAAAACTTAAAAGTACAAGATTTGTCCACTGCACGCCATCGAAAGGTATGTAAATTTTGTTTACTAATATGTTCATTATTCTAAAATAAATAGAAAGGTAGATAATCAATACTTTGAGATTTTATATAAATCATTTTTCCTTGCTATCACGTAGGTACCATTTGCTTTCAAACCCTGAGTGGCATGAAGTTCAATAAACGGAGCCTGCCGGGTAGTTGGGAACGTTCCTAATTCCCCTAGTGCTGATGATTGATAGCCTATTGTTTGTGTTTCCATGCATATTCTTATGTTTTCTTATTACAGTACCAAGTTTATATCTCAAAAAATAAGATACATTTCTGTGAATTAAAGAATTCTAAAATACGAATTAAACTTCATAAAATTCATTTTAAATATGTTATTACTGTTATAAATTGTTCTAGATGCCTTGAAAATATATACGTAAGGCTGAATCAAAATTCCAAGTTCAAGACCTTCGTCACGCAGTCAAAGATGTCAAAAGTAAAAGGCCGACATTGGGCCCAAGCTAATACTACGTACCGAAAATAACATTATTCAATCAAATCAGGCAAAATGAAGTGAACACACCAAGAAAAAACGTCGGTACACCGTATTTAACACGATTACTTTCGAAAAATCGACACTGGGCGGGGCAAGTTCGTAGCGCATAGCGCGAAGCAGCTTTTTATTATAAAAGCAAAGAACTTGCTTTTGTTTTTCTATCGTGCTCCTGCGCACCACTATGAAACTTTCGCAAAATCGATGTAATTTAATTGTGCATACACCGTGTATAAAATGTCCTTCACATCTCCTCGAACTTCAAAGTTGCAGCAAACATCGATAAGTATCAAAATTTGCACAAATAATAGCGTACCCGAATGATTTTTTCATAAATCTCGCGCCCTCTATAATTGATGAGACCTGAAACTCTCACGACACGATTTACGATACTGTTCAAATAAAATTATCCCATCTTTAACGGTTTTTCACACGACACACCGTGTATATGATACAATCATTGTTCGAACTAGAGGTTATAGCCCTGGATTTTCCACGCGTCCTGGTTCAAGAATGGTTTTCGAGAAAATAAGTTTTTTCTGAAACCATGCAGTGCGCCGTAATAATCAATGACGTCATGGCGTCTTAACAGCCCCCGAAATAGCGATTTCAATATGGATTTTTTCAAATATTCCGAGCAGCGTATGTGATAGACAAATACAAAAATTGTAGCTCTTGATGCGGCCTATGACACCGTTTCAACCAATTAACCAAATTTTTTACGATTTTTGATTTGCAGTTAATAATTTACTCTGTAAAAAAACAATTTCTTTTACATTTTTGTCTATAATTTGAAAACCCTGTATATAATCGAAAAAATGGATGAATGGCTTTGGAGGAAAAGATGTTTTTCTGGATGCCAACTAACCACAAAATAAAATCAAAAATTAGAAAAAAATACTTTGCGTTATTTTATTGCGCCCAATTTAATATCGCGAACACCCTGTACCGTAAATACAAAAGTTTAAGCTGTCTATATGAGCTATATCGGCATGTGAAAGAAACTGACATCTAAAACACATATTTGAAATTCTTGCCAATTTTCAATAATAGGGGGACCAAAAAAATGGGTTTTTTTGAATTTGCGGCGCACCCTATATATTTTTGAAAAATTATCAAGAATGATAGTTTATGGAGTCTTCCGGTTCAAGAATGTTTTCGGTCTTGTAAACAGTTTTTGAAAAATAGTCTTTTTTGTAGACCCTGCACACGCGATTTTTATTTTTTTTTTTAAATACTTCCAGACCCCCCACCCCTATTTTCAATAGGTTCCGTCACGGGGCGAAGCTGCATATATGTGCCAAATATGAAGTCGAATGCTTCAAATTTCGGACACTTATCGTGTTTCATAGCAAGATCCAAGAAACAGTCGAAAATCGCGAAAAAAAGATGGATACCGGCGTCGGATCAGGGCCATTTCTTACAAAGCTTATGTGGCAAAAGGCTTAAGGCTTAAAAGGCAAATTTCAATTTTGTAATTTCAACGGTTCAAAAGTTATTCAGGAAAAACCAAAAGACGAGAACGGAGAACGGACAGAGAAAAGAAATTTTTTTTTTCGACGGTGATTTCTGTACCAACGGCGATCCCGTAGGACTTACTGTTTATACGAGCGTAGATACTTTCGAAAATTCGATTTCATCGATTTTCGAAAGCAACAAGAAACAGGAATGCCACTTAGGAAAATACATACTTAACACCAAATTTATCACGTAAAATTGATTTCCGATTTGCTGAATCCAACGAACTGAAACAATTTTAAGAGGGACCCAGCTGGCAGGCTAGTACAAAATGATAAAAACGAAACCCAATATATCGGGTCATTGTATTTTTAATATTGATGAAACCGAAATTAGTGCAGTTCAAGAAAATGATTAGATTGCAATTGTTTATATGAGGTAACGAACGCTGTGTCACAACAATAGTTTGTGATGTCAGCGCTAATGGTATATATATCTCCCTTGTTTACGTCCAAAAGACAGGACGATCACACTGTTACTTAAAGGCCGTAATATCGTCTTGATTGCCACGGTTTCTGATTCTGGTTGGATAAATGAGTCCATCTTTCAAGACCGCTTATGACACTTCATTTCTTTTGTGATATCTACCAAGGAAGAACCAATTCCAAGTTTTTTCCTTGTCACCCCATGTTCCTCTTCTTCTTGCAATTTTCAGTTCACTAAAAGTGGCATACAATCCTGGTAACGCGCAAGTCAATATGAGGTTGGAAAACTTTTCAAAAAGGCGTACACCAAAATTGCTAACATAAGTAAGGCTGTCAGTGGATTTAAAGTCCATTTATCCTGACAAATTTAAAAATAGCTTCGAAAATACGATATCTGATCATTCAACAAATTTTGAATGACTCCGTTAACACCGCCACTGAAAGTGAAACAGGAACATAGGTTGCCACTTCTATTCTTACAAATTACAATGGTCTGCTGCATCCACTGCTGTACCACTTGACAAAATAATGTACGAAACGACAGAATAAAATATATTCTCAGATTTTACCCAGAACACCGATAAAAATTCAACAGAAAAGACAAAAATGAGAGAAAAGCTATGGAAACGAAAAAAAAAAAATTGAAAAGAACATTACACCCATACAAAAGAAGCCACAAGTTAAGAGCAAAGCAGTCAGAAATTTGACCAGCAGACCATTGTAATTTGCATGGGAATGGAAACGAAAAGGAGTTTTTACTGCATAATGTGTAATAAAAAGTATGAATCCCTAGCGCGTTAGACAAGGGCTTAACTTTTCGCATTTAGTAATATTTTTGAAAAAAAAATGACAAAGTGTGGTTTCTCTTACTTTTTAAGCATGCATCCCTCTTTACTATTAGTTAAAATGAACATACCGTTAACTTAATTTTTTTAAAAAAACGTGCAATGTTAAGTTGTATGACGGCGCCTTCTAGGTAAAATGTTTGAAACAAAGAATTGTAAAATTTACTGAAGATTACGATGTTTTCGTTCATAATACGCCTTACCTAGGCAAAATTTTGTAAAAATTACATTTTGTTATTCGCGATAGAAGTTGCGCCCTCCAGGAGTCATTCTAGGAACTTTATAATAATTTCCACAAATTTCTCAAGGCTTTTTGTTAGTGGGACACCCATATGCCCATACCATACCCATAATGCATATTTTTTATTTATGTTATGTTATGTTATTTATGTTATGTTTTTTATTCTGTTACGAGTATCCTATCGGGACGCCTTAGGCAAACCATTTTCAGTATTTTTTTCAGAAGTTTTAGGAAATTTTATTCTTAATAAAATGACATAAATTGTATATTATGCAACGAGTCCGAGACCGTTAATTGGTGGGTACATTGACATGACCGTCAGAATTGACAAACGTCAAAATTCAAGCCCTGAAAACATCAGAATAACTCGGAAATGTCCGAATTGGCTCCGATCCGTGGAAAACGAAACTGATGTGGTAAAATCACACTTTCCACACGCTAGATCGGTGTATAATTAGGTATTTTACAGAAGCGAGTAGAAAATAGTATATTATGCAACAACTGTGGTAAACGAATGACTTAAAAAATTTACCAAAGGTGTATTATAAATGCATCTGAGACTGAGAATTAGTTGTCTTAGCTTCTTAAGGACAGACCACCAATGTCATTAAATTCTCATTTGCAACAGCTTGAAGTTCAGCCCTTGCAAATCTTGTATCTTCGTAAACTTTGCATTTGACAGCTCCCCACAAAAAATCTCTGAAATATTGGAGATCTTGGTGGCCATAAAACAGAAACGTTTCTATTTATCGAACAAATCGGGAATATTTCATTTAGGTAATTTCTAACCAGCGCCATGCTTCCTGTATTTTTATTGCACCCTATATATTACTTTATAATATCGCGTTGTTCTAAATTAGAAAATTCCATTTTACCAAAAAAAAAAATTTGAAATAAGTAAGTTGTCAAAATAATACCATATTGTTATTTGTTTGTAAATATGGTAAACATACTAAAGCGCAATTAGAAAAAAAACGCTCATGTGCTTTATCGTTAGAATAAAAAACTCAAATTCATTTTATTGCGAATAAAATTTACTAAAACTTTTGTATTTATCACTTTCTATAGAATTAATACCTACGCAACTAGGAGCATTTTAGTAAATCACCGAAAATCTTTTTTTTATTAACCTTTGACAGTTGTCAAATCAGGAAAAACAAAAAATGGTTTTGAAAAGCTTAGACAACTGCATTTCGCTGTATATTTAAATTTTAATCGATCAAGTCAAATACTTTTTAGCTCAAAACCAATATGCGTGTAAATTTATAACTAATTTGCCAATAATTAAGCTTATTAAATTAAGAAACATTTTTTATAATTTATTAACTAGTTTTCTCCAGTACTATTAGCAGAGACATCAATACCACTTCGATTTTTAGTTCTTGATTCGGGAGCAATTCTATCCTGCGGGAATACCAGAGAACCACTTCAGAAATAACTGTGCAACATGTTCAAAAGAACTTTAGTTTTGACGTTTCACAATAAGCTATACATACCAGCAATTACGACGGTTTAATATTAACGAACCACCACGAATGTAAATACTTTCACTTTTATAAAATCTGTTAATTTATTTCGTTTTAGATAAGTAAAGGTAATACAAATGTCACGTCCTACTAGATGTCACGGTTCATAATTGGTAAGTAACAACTTTGTACCACAGAACACTCTGGATATCAAATATTAAGAAGATTGCTGGTTGATTTCTAAAAATATTTGGATAATTATGAAGAATGCTCCAGAGAGGTCGCTAGAGTATGCGCACATTAAATATTCCACATTTACTTCTCGAAAAAATGCAAGCTCAAGTTTAGCATACGTACCCACTGCTTTTCGTTTATAACGTATTAGATAGAAATGAAGCGATGTGATTGCGTACTTAGCTGCTTAACTTCCGAACTAAATCAAACTGTGACTATTTGTGACTTGTGCGTCGAAGCAAATGCAGCGAAGGAAGCTCTATTGCATAGATAATAAACTGTACTTTTTCTATGTTTTCGCCGAATATCATTATTCTCGCGACGGTATTTGTGTTTACGTCTGTGATTTGTGATTGATGGATATGTCTGACAACGGAACAAATTTTCCACCGCAAACTTATTCCTCTCTGTATGATTTCAACGGTTTGATTGAGGTAATTTCTAGGTTATGTAGTCAGACATAAACAAAAACAAATAATATGAAATTGTACCACTTGGTAGTGATTTTTTGAAGGAAATTGTTTTTACTATGTTTTTTGTAAATTTACTTTTGACCCTCTCTGCAGTTGCGAAGTTGTCGTAGTGGTTTTTAATATTTTTTGTTTCCATTTCATTTACCTACTGGTGACAACAGAGATTCTTTATAAAGTTGTTCCAACATTTCAGGAATATTTACTATTACAATTTTAAAAGGTCAACTTCTTTATTTATAGGATGAAAAGAATAAAAATGGTTTGAGAAGAACTGGAAAAAATGGATCAACTACAGTGAATCGTTTCATTAGAACGGTATGTCGTATTTCAGTAATATTTTGCTGCAAAAATCTATAATTGTAGATTTTACATTTTAAATTAATTGCAAAATACGAAGAACAAACTTTATTAAAATTATGTAATACAATGGTGGCGGTGTTCTGCTTAAGAAATTGCTTTTCAGATTTGTTGAAAACATGTTTTTGTGTAACTCATTGACTTTTTTTATTTAGGCCTTGTGGTTTTAGTTGTTCACTTAGGAATCCTGTTAACGCCAACAATTTAGCGGCATTCAAAAAATGCATTTTTAGTGATATTTCGATAGCATTTCATCATTTAGTTTAAGGATACATTCGTTCGGAAAATTAAAAACTTTCTGGTATATTCGACAAAAAAAAACTAGAACTAATTTTAAAGTAAATTACTGATTTATATCTATGGACACTACAGCGTGGATTAAAGTTACGCACATTTTTGGGACGCCACCGATATACCTAACGCAACTGAATTATTATATATTCCATTTTTAAAGAAATGACAATAGAACAGAATAATAGTATATTATGCAACAAGTGCGGTAATAGTATATTATGCAACAAGTGCAGTAAACGGCATTTGACTCACGAGTTTATTTGACACGAGCGGAGCGTAGCGTTGAGTTAGTTACTTTAGTACTATGCTGATTCACTACTTCATACGATTGGTCGTAATGTGAGACTCCCATTTGTGCAACGCTTGATCTAACGTACCTTATTCTATTGTTCAACTTGTTATATCATTTAATAAATGCAGTGACAACCAAAACAACCAGACAAAAATAATTAAAAAAAAATGCATAGCATTTAATACAGTGTATACCTACTTCGAGGTTAAGCTATACGTGGATTAGCTTACTCTATATGAAGTCTCATGTATGTAATGGATTGGCCAAATTCATCAGTTTTAAAAATCATAATGGTAAGAATCGCAGATCAGATATCTGCTACCGTTTGGTTACTATACGGTGTATTTCTAAAGCGCACATTTTTGAAAAACTACTTTGATTTTGATGATTAAAAAAAAATCTTTAAATTCCTTGTCTTATGTACTGAGTATGTATGTAGTATGACTTCTGTTAAGGGCAAATATTACGGCTTCAAATGTTCTTCTCATTTTGTTTCCTGTCTTAATGAATTTAAATTTTTATGCAACCAAGAATGGTAAAACAAAAAAAGTATCTTTTTGAAACAGCTTAATTAAATAAGAATAACAAAATATACATTATTTGTTACCTCAAATCAGTACGTTGATAGCTCTGAGCTCGATACTTAAATTACCAAATTAACAGTATGATATGTTGATTAGTGTTTCTAATTTCTTTTTTCAAGGAATATTCAGAAAGTTTGTATTTGATTTTTGTAAGTTATTAATTGTTTTATATAAGGGGTGTTTTTTTTTATGTATAGAACTTTAAGTTGCAATAAAACAACGATGGATTGTTGTTTTATTGCAATTCGTTTGACATGAATTTTATTTATCCGAAAGATAATCTTGTGGAATTATATTTTAAATATGATTTCTGGCATATGACCGCCACGGCTGGTGCTTATGTAGTCCAATCTGGACGTCCAATTTTCGATGACTTTTGCCAACATTTGTGGCCGTATATCGGCAATAACACGGCAAATGTTGTCTTCCAAATGGTCAAGCGTTTGTGGCTTATCCGCATAGAACAATGACTTTGCATAGCCCCACAGAAGGTAGTCTAGCGGTGTTAAATCACAAGATCTTGGATGCCAATTCACAGGTCCAAAACTTGAAATTAGGCGGTCACCAAACATGTCTTTCAATAAATCGATTGTGGCACGAGCTGTATGACATGTTGCACCGTCTTGCTAAAACCACATCTCCTGGACATCATGGTTATTCAATTCAGGAATGAAAAAGTTAGTAATCAAAGCTCTATACCGATCACCATTGACTGTAACGTTCTGGCCATCGTCGTTTTTGAAGAAGTACGGACCAATGATTCCACCAGTCCACAAAGCGCACCAAACAGTCAGTTTTTCTGGATGTAACGGTGTTTCAACATACACTTGAGGATTAGCTTCGCTCCTAATGCGGCAGTTTTGTTTGTTGACGTAGCCATTCAACCAGAAGTGCGCGTCATAGCTAAACAAAATTCGCTTATGAAAATCGGGATCAACGGCAATCTTGTTTTCTTCTTCTTCTTCTTCAATTCTTGCACGAGTTGGATTTTGTAAGCACGTAAACCAAGATCCTTCCGCAAAATCTTCCATGAAATGGATGGACACAGATCCAATTCCTGTGCTCGATGGCGGATGGACTCATTCGGGTCTTCCTCAATGCTATGCTCTACAGCAGCTTCTTCTGTACGCACCGTACGGCGTCTCTGGGGATGCCGGATGGATGGGGATAAGAGTAAACGGGGTGCGAAAACGTTCCATGGTTAATTGGGCGTAGTGCGCGATACGTATTCAGCACAGAACCATTATTTTCGAAATAAAAATAAAAACCAAATTGAGAATAAATCACTTGACAGCTGTTAAATCGGCCGCCATCTTGAACAGTAATGCCATCTTAAATTTCTATACATCGAAAAAAAACACCCAATATAAGTTTCCATTGCTAAAATTCCAGTATAGTTTTTTTTTTGCTTAATTGGCGTCTCATTCAAAATGGTCTTTCGACAAGTCTTTGACAGGGATTAGATATCTCAGTGGTGACAAGAAAAAGGTACCAGTTTATTTGTCTATTATAGATATAATTTTTATACTTTTAGGACTCACTTTATATCTTATCTATGTGCAATTATCAGTTCAAATACTCATTCAAAATTAGACGTAAATATTTTAGGGATGTTACTTTTTCCAAATGGATGCTGTTTATTTTTAGATCAATATTTTGTTTTTTTGTTTAAGAATTATAACTTTTGTTTTGTCAATATATATTTGATTCCCTTGTTTATTAGTTTTGTTAATTTCTTCTCATTTTCTCCTGTCTATACTAATAATGTGTCATCCGCAATTGTGTAACTTTAAGGCTAGCCATTTGCAAACCAAGCAGGTAAATGGAATCAATTAGTGGTCCAAGAACAAAACTTACCTATTACCTTTACCTGTACCCTTGGCTTAGATTGACGCAGTTACAATTTCCTCTTGGTCTATTGCTTTTATTACATAAATTGCCAAGCCCTTCACTTTTTTGTAAGTAACCATTCTGGAATTTTTCTGATTCGCCATAAATTGGCTGATTCTTTTTTTAATCACCATTTAATCTTACAAAGAACACTGACTAGAGAAATTGGTCTATAATTATACTTTTTATCTCCCGTCTTAAAAATGGGACATACTTTACTTGTTTTTAGTTCTCCTCGAAAGTAGTGAATGTCTTACTTATTATTCATACAAGAGTCAATCATTAACTTTAACTAAATCCCTAGGTATTTTTAAGGCAATATTAATGATTTTGAAATTCCGTTTTTATATAAAAAAACGTTTTAGTTGTTGGAAACGTGGCTAAACCAAATGGCGCATTTTTTGCAATCGGGTCGAAAGTAAAAATTGACAGTTTGTCCCATTAAAAAAAAAATGATCATATCTGTTTTATTTCTCCTGCTTCGAGAATTGACTTGATTCTGTCTTGCTGGCGTTTCGTTAAACATACCACTGACTTCTTCAAAGCACTGCCTGAAACTAAGGGGGGTTTATTTGCTTTCTCGCGGTTTATGCTATTGGCGTGTATGATGATTTCGATAGACTCGAATTTTTCTTGGATAGAAGGAAGCGTTAGAGGCTAGTATTTTGGTCTTATCGAAATAATCTGGTGTCTTGCTTCGTGATGAGGTTCAGAAACTACTGATGTCGTTATTAGCCGAACTCTGACTCTAGTGTTCTCTTTTAGTCTGGTTAATATTTTCTGTGTTCTTTGCTACATCTGCACTATATTGTAAATATTTGCTGTCTCTAGAGGAATTTTATCTTTTACCGATCGTAGATGTTGGGAGATTTTAGGACGAGCAGAGAATCTAGTTTTGATCTTTTTTTTTAATTTGTGATATTTGATCGGTAAAATTTTGATCATGCGGAAGGCGGAAGTACTATGGCGGCAAACGAAGGTCTCAAGAGAAGTACTGTTTAGTATCCAGGTTCTACTACAACGATATCGAGACATAACTGTTGATGTTCGTAAATCACGGGTCTGTTCCACATAATAAGTTGATGGCTATACGGAACTATGTCCTATGTACATGAGACCAGTTCGACAAGGCTGTGTGCTCTCCCCCCTTTTGTTTAATTTATATGTAAAAAATCTTCAGAGAAAATGTTACGGAGAGGTCATAATAAATTTAAGATATGGTTATACGGTTTTACAACAAACAGATAAAGATGATTTACAGTTAGTGTTCTCGGCGGTAACACCACAGACAGCAAATGGGTCTAGGCCTAAATATAAAGAAAACCAAGAGAGCGTGCGAATTTCTGGGCTGCTGGGTGAATGAAAAATGAAACTCAACTGAAGAAATCAAAAGGAGAATAGGGCAAGCAAGAACATTATTCCCTGCACACGCTTCGCTTATTACGTTACTATATCTTCAGCATATTATTCTACGGTATGGAAGCATCCAGCACTGCAACAATGTACAATGTATATCATGGGATAACATAAAAGAAGGAAGATATAGGATTATGCACACGTAATGAGAAATAAAAAATATTAATTGCTACATATAATTTTTCGGGAAAAATGTGGGGGGGGGGAATACGTGGTCTTGGTCACTCAAGAATTTTCGCTAGTATGGAGTATCCACCAAGAGATTGTTTATTTGTGCTAACGTTACGATTCTCAATTGCTAGTGATATTTTTACGGCTTAAAGAATAATAAATGTTAATAAATATAAATGAAAAAACTGCTACATCTGTTTCAGCGACGCACTTTTTTAATTATTGAAATGGTCGGTCGATTAGTGCAAGAAAATGTGAATATTATTAGTAATTGCGTCACATGCCGTTAAATATCCGAGATTCGTGAATTGAATGTTAATGCGATATGATTTTTTACTTTTGCGTACATTGTTTGTTAAGTTTATTAATGTTTTACTAAGTAAGTATATTTTTTTGGTTAGTGTTTAATCTGATCTGTTTTCTGTATTGGTAAACGGAAATATCAAGATTTTTTAACCGTTGCTTTAAATTTGTGGAAATTATTTCTTATTTAAAAAAAGGTGAAGATCTACAATATTCTGCCCGAAAGCATTGGAAAAATATAGATATTTAAACAAGGTACGCAATTTTTTAGCAACCTAATCCGAGTTAAAATACCTAAAATTGTAAAAAATGATTCCTTTAAGAATATACATTTTATATACATAATTTCTTTCCGCCTTTTGACCCTTAACGGTACAGTGTCAACCTTTTAAAATTAATGATTTTTTAAAACATTCTTTTGAACTGTGATTGTGATCATAAACATCACGTAGAGTTGACTTTTATTGCATTTTTTAAATGCTTTTTCTTGCATGTTCCTTATTTTTCTTCGATTTGTATGTTGTGCTGTTCTGTATGTTTTGAATAAACCTTATTGTTATTATCTATCTTAAACGGCTTTTTTGTGAAATGAAAATCAGAGTTAATCAAATTTTAAATTGTGGTTTTTCGGGACAACTTGTTAGTAACGAAAACGCCTTTTTAAATAAGCGGGATATTAAATAGATTATTTAAGTTTCAATATAAATGTACAACTTTTATTTTACACTCAGACATAAATTAACAATTTAAATTAAAATTAAATTTACTTATTTTTGTAAAGCAACGAATATTATGGAAAAACTTTAATCGATATGAAAATGCTAACAAACATGCTGGAGGGGCAATAGCTAAGAACTAAAACTAAATTTAAAAAAATATATTATATAGGTGTTTCATTTAAAAAATCAGAGAGATAGTCAAGTTGGCAAGAATTTGGAAAACACCCTATATGCAATAGTTACTTAACTCTTAGTAACTATTAAGCATAAGCATATTTTTTGAAATAGTTTTTAATTATTTTTCAGTAAGTTGGCAATGCCCTTTAAAATGTTGTCGAATAGGCATTTCTTTCTTTTACAGAAAATATTTTTAAAATGTATTCTCTCGATTGTGTTCATTTTTTCAAAATTGTATTATATAGGATTGTTCAGAAAATATGAGCCATTCTCCGCTGGAGATTCGTTATAAAAAGAAAGAAATCCACGATTTCTTGTATATTGTAGGGTCCAAAAAATTATTGTGATATTTATTTTTCACTCGAAAACGAGGCAAGCTACGAAACCAACTCAAGAGTAAAAAAAGTTTTAATTTTAGTGGCGTATTCAAAGTAAATTCGACAATCCTAATCCTCCTCCTCCCGAGAGGGCATTGGACTTCACAGTTTTCTCATTATACATGACTTGCTAACTTTTAGCATCGGACAAAAATTAAAAATTGTAAAAAAGTCGTTTTTTTTAATCCTGTATTTTGCAAATTAAGTATTTCCGGACCTGCATTTGTATGATTTTTTTTTGTTTTTTTTTAAGACGAATCTCCAGCCAAACGTTGGCGAGTATTGTACGTTGCCTAAAACTAACTAAAAATAGAGCTTTGCAAGATCCATTGGAATTGTTATTAGTATCTTATAATTGTATTTTGCTCTAGAGAGAGGGTTCATCATCATCTCGGTTTCAAGTAAATGCTTAATAAATGTATTTTCAACGGGGCGTAACGAAAATAAACAGCAGCAATTAAAGTGATTTAAAAGTGATTATAATGAAAAATATTAATAGATATTATTTACAGCGATAAGAAGAGACGATAGGAGGCAGTATTGATATTTGTTGTGGTTTTTCTAGCGGGTAGTCATTCCGTGGCACTCGGAAGAATTAAACCGCATTATTAAATTTCAGCCGATCAAGGTAAGTCAATAAAAATTCTTTGTTTTTGAGTTATTTGGTTGTTGTGCATGATGCGCATGTTCGTAGTGATAAAACGCTGATGCATCGTTCTTTGTTCTGTTTTCATGCAATTGTCGATAACCCGCGTTAAGTCTTTGAATACTGTCGGAACATCCTCGGTTGAATACCGTAAAACGTACGACAAATCAGCGACCTACTCAATATTTCGAAATAAATATTGATTATAAAACTCTTCTTCCCCAATCGTTGGCAAAATCGATTTAAAAACTCAAAATAGGGAATAAGGTATAGTAAAGAAAGTAAATCGTTTCCTTCGTTATAAGAAAAAGGCAAGCGTAGGATTGATTGCATGCTTCCAGTACCGGATGACCCGTTTATTGCATTATGTCGGAAAAAATATCAAAAAACTGAAACACAAAAGTTTATACGCATAAAATATTGCAGTGTTATATATACGGGGTGTATGTATTTTTGTGGACAACTAACAATTTTCTTATTTAAAATAAAACACTATGTATTAAATCATTTTTTAATTCCTCGGAACTTGTAGACATATTTCATTTACTGTTTCCTATATCACTTTTCTAGGTCACAACGTTGTTGACATATTCTGAATTTTTTTATCAAAAGTATCTTTCTTCAATTGAAAGCCTTTGTTTATATTTGGGGTTGATTCCCTTATGTCCGGGTTGATATTTTAAAAATAAAAGAACACGTTGTGATCAAAGACTGACATCGTTAAAAACCATTCTTTTGGAATAAAAATACCCCATTTTTATCATTTTATCGGATTTGGCACTAAGAAAATGGTGACTCTTGTTAAAAATTTCGAAAAATTAGCAACTGGATTAGCAGTAGTAAAACGTTTTTCCATTTTAAAAATGCTGTAAGGCTTTTAGGTTTGGCTAAGTTGGTTATGACGATGACGGAGAAACATGAGAGAAAAACAATTGGGCACTACAGAGATGTCACTATTTCGGCTTCTGTGAGTTTGGAAAATAATTTAACTTTATTTTAATGTGTTTATTATTAATTCAATCTACAACCCTTTGTCGCAATAACACGTTGCTAAAATTAACTTAAAATCTAGTACTACTTACAATAGGCTTACAATAGAGATATACAGTGTGTCCAAGGTAAGTACGTCTCTCATGGGGATTTTCGAAACCATACAAAGATGGTGAAATTAGAAAAAAGTAAAACAAAATGTAAAGCTTAATAACGTTCTGTTGAGAAAAATATTGTTATTTGAAGAGATATAAAAATAAAGGTCACTTTCTCGTTGTCACTTTTTGAGCTCTTCAAGATAGTGTTGAGAGATTTTAAGTACGACGTTTTGTTTCGGCGAAATCATTATCAATTTCATTTTTTCATATGGTCCATAAAAAAACTACACCATGTATTAAATATTATTACGAATACAATGATGTATGACACAATATGATTCTACATTGTTTAAATTTGCTAAAAAAGGTTGTTGTTACGTCTTTTTGCTGTTGGTTCTTTTTTGCTATACAAAATCATCATCATCTGAGGAGAAGTTAGATATGCTAATAATTCAAATTCAAGTTCAAAAATTAAGCACTATGGATTTATGAAACCAGTTTTATCGAGAAATAAACCCTGCAATGAAGAAAAAGTAAATAATGTATTGCTAGCCGTAACCGAAAATTAGGAAACATCTGTTAGAAAGATAGAATGAAACCGCTAAATCTGCTGTTCATTTTATTTTGAGAGAACAAAAATTTCACCCGTTCAAATTTAGGTGAAAGGTGAAGAACCTTTTGTAAATGGTATTCTAGGAAGTGTCAGAAACATTAAAACTTTCCCCATAACATTATTTGGTCAGACGAAAGTATGATTACAAATCAAATCTTTTTGTGTTTAATGTATTGGTTCAGATTTTTGAAACCCATGTTTTTAATAATGGGTCTCTTAATTGTGGCCGTTACCGTAACCTCCTGAACCATGATATTGAAGAAGTTTTGCACAATTCACCGCTTGCAAAAGTTGGAAACTGTTGCTTTCAAAGGGGCGGCGCATCCGCGCACAACGCCCTAAGGGTGTGCGAATACTTATCGGGCGGATTTCCGGAAAAATGGATAGGTATACGTTCAGCAGTTTCGTGGCCCCTCGTTCGCCGGATCTAACGTGCGGGATGCGTCACTTTATCACATCAGCTTCGTTTCCCACGAATCCGAGTCATTTCGGACATTTCCGGGATTTTACCGCACGGATTTGGGAGCAATCAGATGTTTTCGGAGATATTTCCCACGCTTTCATTTTTGACGTTTGTCAATTCTGACGGTTATGTCAATGAATGTATTCGTGTTGTTTTGCGAAAATGTACCCAAAAACTTAGCGGTCGTAGAAAAAGTATAGTATGCAACACGTTCGGTAAACTTTTTAAGTCACTCGTTTACCGTACTTGTTGCATTATAAACTATTACCAACGAGTTTTTGAGACTGGAGGACAACTGAGAAGACTAGTTCTTCAAGTCTTTCAGAAGTTTGCAACTGATGTGTTAAGAAATGTTTTAAATTCGACAGTTACAAGATGTTATCTGTGTTTATAAAATAATGGTCACGTGTTTGAACATTCTTTATAATTGTTTTTTGTAGTAAGTTTTTTTTTCAGTAATTTGTCCCTCCTATGTAGATATCATTTCATTTCTTTTATTTATCATGTGAGCGCTTACTACACCAAAACATTGAAAATTTAATAAAAATTCGTTTATGTGATTTAAACATGTAGAATTATATTGCGTCATACATCGTTCTATTTGTAAAAAAAATGCTTTTTTAAACATGGTGTAGTCTTTTCACGGCCCATATGATAGAATAAAGTTGATAATGATTTCGCCGAATTGAATCGTCTCAACGCTGTCAGTAGAGCTCGAAAAGTAGCAACGCGACAGTGACCATTATTTTTTTTATATCTCTTAAAATAGCAGCAGAAAAAAAAAGAATACGAAGTCGGCAAATTTCGGTTTGTTTGGCGTATCTTTGAATTTATGGAAATTTTTTCTTTTTCTCAACAGCACGTTATTAACCTTTCAATTTTGCAATTTTTTTTCTTTTCTTTATTATCTCTTATGGTTTCCAATATCCCCATGATAGGCATATCCTTATCGTAGACACACTGTAATCAGGAAATCTTTCAATTAAAATAATTTAATGACGTTGATAACCTTCACTATTAAATTTTCTAATAATTTTGCAAACAATGCTTTTTTTATTACATGTCTATTTTACTTGGGTATTGATTATAAGATGTAGCCATTGTCATGACTGGGGATTTCAACTGGTAATTAGTTCTAGGCGTGCCTTTCATGGTAAAGGTCCCGTAGCCTTTTAAACGTGTTTTATTTGGGACAAAGTAACTGAGTCATGATTCTTTCGTTGTGCAGTGTTAATATTTTATAGCGTTCTATGTTGACATAAGCTTCACTTTGTCTTTTTTACTTGAAAGTCACTTTTAACGATTTTTTTTATTTAAATGGTAAATGATTCTTAAATATAGTTTGAAGTAATGTTATTTCGATGCAAATTGGTATTCCGTTTGCAAAGAACTAAATCTTGGTTCATTGCATTTTTGGCGATTTCTCTTTAATAATTAAAAACGGTCAAGAATACATTTATTATGGAAGATACCCTATCAAATTTTATATATTTTGTCGTACATGAAGGTGGTTGGTGTGATATAATACACATAATACAATCCGTTTTGGAATCATATTTAAGAACGGCTGAAGCATTGGAACAAATTCATTTAAAAATATAGTATTGGATTTCAAGAAAAATGCTCGCACATGGCCATCATAGTTTCTTTTTGCGTATTTTTTGCAGTACATAGAAAATCTACAGGAATTCTGCGTCAAATTTCACATAGAATTCATAATTCATACCTATACCAATCTTTTACTTTTTATGAGCAAAAGAATAAAAAAAATATTTTGAAATGAACAGGTAAGTTGTAGCTAGTACCAGTAAAGTTCTTAAATTGTTCTGTCTGGAAAGGGCGTGAATATGGCGCATACAAATGAAATTGGATATCTTGCAGGCCATTCTATTGATCACCTTTTACCAATCCACTGCCCGGCCGAAAATAAATCTGTCTCTCTGACATATCAGGCTGATTTGGATTGGCTGATTTTAAATAAATTTTAAATGTCGGACTCGAGGAAGATTTTGAGTGAAGAAATAAGCTCCAATAATGTTTTTTAAAATCCCTGCCGAAACATTTATTTTTTGTGGATGTTGTGTATGATTTACTCTCATCCATCGGGAATTATTTGTACTCCAATACCTACAATTTTGTTTGTTTACCGCACCATGATTTAAGTGTAATATTTTCACAAAACTGTAGTTGTTCTGTCTCCATTTACTTTGTATTTCTTTTTCTTTTTTTATCTTACATTTATTTAACTTTACGAATGATTTTTTTGTTTACGTTGGGTGGTATTCATTCACTTTAGGAAGTGCTTTGGGTTTCGGGATATAGTTAAATTATTATTATTTTGTGCGTATATACATGCCTTGACAACTGTATACTCCGTCTTGTTCTCCCTCCTTTATTGCCGGGAAACCTTTCCTTCTTTTATATATACATTTTTTGTTACTCCATTTTTACCTGCCTCCGGCACTTCGCGAGCGGCCGTGCCGGAATCGAGAATTGCGCGTTGCGAGTCGGAAATTTGAACACCTGTTTTGAAAAGCAGTGTGCAACACCCTCAAGAGTCGAACCCTCCGGTAGAACCGTGCAGCGCATTCCCTTCAACCCAGCACATCCTCCACAAGGAAATTTGGGGTAAGTCAGGGCATGATTACGGTCATTTTACTTCGGATTCGGGGAACCAGAGTGATCTTGGAATTACAGATTGGTACCAACAAATTTATACACAAATTTGTTGCGTAACCGAAACAAATTAGTAGTCTTCGGTCGGGATCATCTTCGTTCAGCTCCTGTCGTAATTAATCATGATGATCTCCTTTTATTAAACTCATAGTCGTTCATTGGCTGACATCATTTTTTGAATCTACTTCAGAAGCTGCTTGATGGGATGGAGTTCTTGAACTTCTAATAAAATGTTTGAATGTTATGTTCTCATTAGCTTTTTACTCGCTCTGGATCTTGTAATGGATCTTTCTGGATATTTTGTGTTTAACAAATTAAAAACTTCTTTTTGAGTTCTCGTTTTGTCTCCGTATCCAATAAAAATTAAAATTTTATTTTTTTCGGTTGACGTGAACGAGCATTTTCCTTCAAATCCAATACGTTCTTTTTAAATGAATTTGTTCCATATTTTAGACGTTCACAGTATATAAAGGTCACATTTAATTAATAAATTACAAACATTTTTTAAGGCTAATCAGATTTATATTCGTAAGTAATTTTAGAAAGATTTTTCATATTGGGTTTCCATTTCATAGTGTTATACTCAGCTCGTCTATCCGTGGTACGAAATCTCGATGTACTGTATGTGTATCAATTTTTAATTATTAAAAACTACAGGAAACCATTTGTAAACCAGATGTTTCTGTGTTATTGCGAGTTGTTACATCGCATCGAGATGACTAATCCATTCTTTGAAGCATCATTTAAAATCTGTTTGGTAAGATGATAGGGTAAATTAAATGGCTGTGGAAATAGAACACTAACAAATTCTTATTCCACTTCTGCGTTTTAACACAAAACATTGCGAAAACCAAAACCAGGAAATGGAAAACTACTTCTCCAAAAGATAATCTTTTTCATTTTGAGGATTTTGTCTTGATTTCTGAATAGTGTATTCTTTTAATAATAATTCTAATCCAGTAGAGAAACGAGGGGCATTGTAAACACTATGGAAAATATTTTTTGAAATTCTGCAAACGTTATAAGGGACCGGAGTAGTATTTGCTAAAGTCAGACTTACCAACTAACTGAACCAACACAACTTCCAAAAATAATTTTAAAAAAAGTTACCCAAACAAATGTTTGGTACATATTGGGTGCTATTAAAAGTCATTAAGTCATAAAATTATATTATTATCAAAATAAAGTTAATTGACTCTAGCAACAGATAACTTGCGGGATCTAACAAATACTCTCTTCTGCCTATGCAAATAACAAATTTGAAGATGACATTTAATATCATAACCGTCACCAGAATGGATTTAGGCATGTGAAATTTTGCATTATTGTTAAAATTTCTTGAACCCATTTTTCACATGACAACTTTTCAGTCATGCGCATAGACAGTGTTTCAGTCACTCATTTTAGTAAAGCATTGGATTGGCTTAACCACTAGGTACTTCATTCCACATCATTTAGGATTAGGATTTAGGAAATTCATATGTTCATTTTTGTCTGATAGAATTCAGCAAACTGTTTATGATACCTATAAAATTCTGGGACCCTTGGTAGATATTGTTATATGTGTGGTTTAATAATGAAAAAACAAATATTTATTAATGAAATAGATTTTATTGTTCTTCAAAATATTCTCCATTGGAACCCATCTTTGAAGCAGTTTTCCACTCTGATTGAGTTAACTTCAAAACAAGCGATTTGAAAGCGTAACTTTTTTTTGTCATTAGTCATTAGGTGGCAAATCAGGGCTGTACGGCGAATGGCCTGTCAATTCGATGTTTTCGCTGGTCAAAAAATTACTTTGCTTTAAGTTGATGTGTGAGAGCTCGCATTGTCATGATGAAATATGATTCGTCTCTTCTGCTTATTTTAAAAAATATTTTCGATGACTTATGGCAATTACATGGTTGTGTACCATTCAGAATTGACCGTCCTCCGTTACTATCACGTTACTGCAACCACGAGACTTGTAATACCGAAAAGACAGGCAAGCATTTGCTTCTATGAGCTTCTTCCGCGAACAACTTTTGTTGGATTTTGTTCGTCTTGGAAGATCCATACGGCCGCCGATTGCTGTTTCGTTTCAGGCTCATATGCATAGATTTAGACACGAACCTTTTTTTACGCGTTTGTCAAATTATGCGGAATATAACGTTGACAAATCTTTTTTACAGCCAAATGATAATGAAATATCTTATCGATGCTTGTCATACTATCCTCAATCTCACGATATGTCACATGAAGATCTTGCATTGTCAGTTCACGGACAGCGTCGATGTTTTGGTGATCCATATCGAAAGTTATGAAAAATAAATTAATTACTCGAACATAAGTACCTGTAAATAAAAGAACGGTTATAGTTCAACACATTTTGCAAAGGACTACTTAATTAATCAACCTCTACATCTTTTGCTGTTAACAAGGAAGTACTACTGAGTAATATTTTAGGACAACTTCTGTCTGCGATTTTATATCCAGGTTTACAACATTATTACTGGTTTGTGTTATCATCTTGATGCCGATAACACTCAACTGTACTTTTCTTTTTCCGAGAATTGCCTTAGCGAAGCAAGCAACAGTATTAATTCCGATTGGAGTAGATTTTGCGAATCTGTATTCATAACGTAAAGATCTCTATAAAGATCTCCGTTTTGCTTTAACAGTTGTAAAAGTTTGAGGCGTAATCTAGATTCATGGCTAAAATTTAAAAATTACGTTACAAGCAAATTAAAGTAATACAGTAATGTAATGTAATGTATTATCAGAGTTTAATCATTGTTCCTTGTCTAAATAATAGAGTTTCATTCAATAAGTTCAAAACTCCCGTCTTCGACTAGTATATGGAGTTGGAACGTATTTCAGATTCTGCTATTCTAATGCGCAATCATTGAATATGCGACACCGTCCTACAACAAAATTAAATTTCTTGGACGCTATGACTCCAAAAAATAATATGAAAAATTGCCTTTTGGATGAGCAAAATTAAACCGTTACATAGATACTTTCTTTGCCCTTAATTCCCTCCCACTGTCACTCCAAGTGTTGTCTGTCCCCTTCGGTTATTTCAATGCTAAATTTTGGCTGTAACAGTATCTGGGTGTGCCAAATGTCTAACGCTCTTAGCCCTTTGCTACCAAATTTAATTCAGGATAATAAAGACTTCATAATTCAGGTAAATTTCTAAATTCTTTGAAATGATGTACCTACCGTTTTTTTCGGGGAGACTAATGAAGACATTCAACTGAAATATCTTAACATTTCCTATTCAAATTAAGGGAAGCGTATTTTTGTGACCTAAAAACTTAATCGATAAATATTTTTGCAAAAACATCTCGTTTGAAAAATCTAACTTAATGGCTTCGAAAATCGAAGTCAGAGGTTTTAAAGTGATTGCTAGAAATTGTAGGTTTTGGTATTATTTTATTTATGTGGTGCCAGACGTCAGGGCTTCTTGAAAATCTACAACAAGAAGTGACACTAGGCACAAATATTATACGATATAAGAAAATAAATGCACCATATGAATACACCTAATGAATACACGCATGGATTTGCTTGCATACCCATGAAATGACATGTTGCGGCATTTTCACTATAATCGGTCCTTATAATATTATTATTTCTCGCTTTTAAAAACTTGCTCTTCTCACACAAACAAAGCAAACTTGGATAAAAGTGCATTTCTTACTAACCATATTGCTATTAGGATTAAAAGATGTGCTTTTCGGTTTATGATTTATCAAATAGTAAAGCTACATTTTATACCTAAAAATGTTATTGTGTATGTTATTAATCCATTGAAACCTTTGAAATGTCAACAACGCCATCTCCCTTGATTATCGCCATCTCCCTTGTTTATATATCAATAGCAAATCCCTTATCCTCGACCCTATTCACCAAACTGTGAATAGTTTAACAGAAACACTAAATAATTCGAGCTTCAGGTGCTTTCAAAATGGCTCTTGCGAAAAAATACTTTTTCACTTGTTGTATAAAAACATTTTCCACTTTTTTTGTGTGTACAGGTAGACCCCTACCCTGGCCACATTTCACTCTATTAATAATAGATCAATAGATCGATGATCCTACTATACATTGCCAACTTACCCTTGTATCCAAATAGGTTCGGTCTCCTCTCTGTAGTAATCTGTAGAAAAATCTGCCTTCTAACTTATTGATTGATGTCAACTTGTTTCTCAACGATTTACATTAGATTTTTTGAAAAATTTCAGATGTATGTCTATATGGTGCTTCTGATCTGCAACGTCCCTTTAATATCAACGAAGATCCTCGAATGTATCGTCCAATCGTCAGAGAAAACAAGAACGTTTCATTCTTTGAGGGACTATCAAGCCAACGACATTCCATTTGACCCTCGCCATATGGGCTTTCTAGGAAACCACGTTAATTTCGATTTCGTCTCCATAGATAGAATTCCGAGGAACGCATTCATAACCTACAATTCCGAAAACTTAGTAAGCTTAAGTTTGAGCAAAAAGGGAATAGTAACGGTAGACCCCGGAGCGTTTAACAGCTTGTTTTGTTTACACCGTCTCGACTTGGACGGTAACTTTATTGCCAACTTGTCTGCCGAAGTATTCCAAGGGCTGGACACTTTAAGAGTGTTGAACCTTAGCGGCAATATGCTCGAGTTTATCCCCCGATTGCTGTTTAGCAATTTGAGGAGCATAAAACAAATCGATTTGTCGAATAACGTCATTAAGCGGATCGATAGTATGGGCCTTCGCAACGCAACTACATTGGAAGCGTTATATTTGGGCAATAATAAAATCAAAGCGTTTCCGGCTACTTGTTTCGTGGAGTCGACAAATTTGAAAGTGCTGGATCTTTATTCGAATTTTCTTACGATAGAAGGGGCGAATATGCTGCAGGGCCTCGAACGTTTGGAGTATCTCAATTTGTCGAGGAATCACATCGCGACATTGAACTTCGAAAACGATACTTATGTGTGGGAGAATCTAAAAGTTCTGAATGTATCGGGCAACGTCTTGGCAAATATCGATGTTCCCGGCTTAAGGAATCATTTTCCGACGCTACGCATGTTGGATATCAACGATAATAATTTTCTTTGTACTGAACTGGACATAATTTTTAGAAGTTTGAGATACGAAAGCATCGACGTAGCAAAGGGAAGATACGTTTCGTCTCACTATTCCATTCAAGGTGTTTACTGCAAAGGTGCCATCGTAAACGAACCCAGCAGAAGTTTACCAGTTGCATCGACAGTTCCACATGTAGAAAACTACGATGGACGTGTCGACGCCAGTCTGAGTCACTGGCTTGGCTTCGTGTCGGCTTTAACCGGTAGCGTGCTAATAACTGTGGTGTTGTTTTCTTTATATAAAACGGGAATTGCGGCCACCGTGTACGACCGGATTAGGCACCGGGTGACAAACAGTTCTCTTAATCCAGAATATATTTCGTTAAATAGTTAGTGTAGGACGCGTTGTTCTAATTTGACGGTTTGTGAGAGTTAATAAATGTGCTGTGAATTTTAATATAGGTTTGAAGTGCAATTATCATTTTTGTTATTGCTACCTACTATTCGATTTATTTCATTTCTCCACAAATATACTGCACACAGATCCGTCAAAACTTTTTTAATGTACCGGGTGGCCAATTAAGAAGAGCGCTCTGTCGTAGTGTTGTGGAATTAACTGGTCAATTTTTTTGTGTCAATTGACCAGTCAAATGACCGAAATAATTTTAAAAATACAATGACATTTATATTTATTTATTTATGTTGTGCTTTACGTCGCTGTAGCGTCGTTTAAAAGTCGCTATTTTTATTGAGATTCTCCGAATCGCCAAGTATCGTATTCGGGTATGCCTTGAAGAGGTTATAGGTAAATTGGACATCTCAATCGCATAATAATTTATTGTAAGATACATATTATAATAAATAGTGATAGATAATACTCTCCAATTGCAAGTTGTTATTTAAGACATTTTGATAGCATTTGTCAATTGTGTCACTGATGGTCAATTGACCAGCCCCAACACTACTCTGCCCTCGGTGGATTTGGATTGCTCGTATCGCCACTAGAGAGCGTTTTACGACATCGCTATAAATAAAGTATATTTTCTCAAAGAAATTTAATGCACCGATATAATTTTTTTGTGACAAAAGCTAGCTAAATAAGCATCCAACACGCTAGTGAAAATTCAAAATAATATCCCATCTTTGGGAATATTTTTAGTATACCTGCCATTATTAGATCCTGATTTTCGTTTTTTAGCAATATACAGGGCATCCCAGTGAGGGCAACGAGATACGATAATAGGGGGAACGGGAAAAAAACTAGGTAAACCGTCCGAGACAAAATGCCGGAAATAATTTTCGAGGTTTCTAAAAAAATTTTAACGTTAACCATAGTTACAGTGAGAATCTTTAATAAACTTGGAGCCATTAAAAAATGCTTTTCCTAGCCTGCTAATGGCATACCAATATCTTTTTCCTAACCTAAAATATGAATAAAAAAACTTAACGCTTCAGAAAAACTTCGATTTTAGGAAAAATTCGCATTTTACTCCACTTACAACGCTTATTTAATATTCCTTAATAATTTTTCTTCCGAATTTCTAGGATCATCCGATTCCCTAATGCAGTACCTCGTCGTGCTTTCTGAGACACCCGGTATATATACATTTACATTTTCTTTATAAACAGAGATTTACACACACTGAACTCATTTTGTCAGATTATTTAATGAGATCTAGGCATATTTTGAGAAAAATATGTCTAATTATATTAAGATTATTACAATTTATAGTCTATTTTGTATTTATTTGTACAAAATTGTCAACCTTAGAATTGCTCGATGCTGCATTAAAACAGAAAGTTCGTAGTCTGTTATTACTGTAATATATTGAATTCCAATATTTAGTTATGACTTCTGGGTTTCTCGTGCACAGGTTGTTGATAAATTCAACTTGTTGACGTTTCTTCAATCATCCTGTTGACTTCTTCAGAGCTTAACTGAAACTAAATGTGATTGCACCCCCAAGTTAGAATCTTACAAATAGTTTCTAGCATTTTCTCTTGGTTGCTTTTGTTTTTTCACCGACGTCACCCTTAGAAAAAACTATCGGCCAATCTTCCTGAATCTTCAAAGTCCACCGTTTTTGAATTATTGCTAGAGAAAAAAAACATGTCCAAGGAAACGTGCTGGTAGACCAGTAAAAGTCCTTGATGAATATACAAAATAGGTAATACGAAGAAAAGTTCAGATTTTGAAAAAAGTTTTTGTTGGAACTTACCCAGGATGATTTAAAAAAAATCTCTTCATATATGGATTGATGAAGGCTGTATAGTATGTATTTTAGTAAGTTTGACACTGTGATAAACTCATTCTATGACTGATTTGGTTCGTAATTTTTTTCCATCAAGTTATATCCCAACCAGTATTTACTAAATTTTTTAAATTAAAAGTTGTTTAAAAATTAGAAATTAAACTCAGTACGAACCTAAGTAAAAACAGCTGAATGCAACTAACTAATTCGTACAACGTTATCTATGTTATTTTCTTGGAAGAAATACCTCAAATACGCGACAAGATATTTCAATTTTCAGAGAATCAAATCTCAAGGTAAATAAACAACATTAGAGAAGCATGTGCACGAAAATCATTCATTAATGTTGTTTGTATGCAAAGCTCGCAATCTTAATGTGTCCAAACGCTTTGGCATGTTATTCGCATAATGAATATTATTAAGTATTTATTATTATCGGCGTTCGCTTGATTAAAATAGGCTGAAAATTATTTCTAGTTCCTCTGGGATATTTGGTAGTTCTGATGTTTTGAGTCAAATCAAAGCAATATTTAATAGTATTGCATTGTACCGTTCGTGGTTATAAATATGTTTCTAACCAAATTTTGAGCGGATTATATTATGGGTTGCATACCTTCACGTATTCCGCGCAAACTTACCGGCTGCGTCAAGTTTAAATAACCTTGTTATTTTCGACCAGACTCTACTAGGTGTCCGTAGTTGTATCGTTTATGATTTTCTTGTTCAAAGTCAATGACTCACCCACGCAATAGATTCGGTATTCGTTCAATTGTACAGTGTGTCCCATTTTTGATGGTTTTAGGACTTACCTCCCCTGTTAATAAGGCCAGCGTGTTGCGGTTTTCATAGCTATCTTGGATATTTATTTACATGATGAATTTGAAATTATTGTAGTTCAGTTATGAGTTAAATTGTTAAAAAGGTGAAAACCGTTCTGGACTGGATTTTTTCCGCAGAATTCAGCGGCGTACTCAGTTTTCTGATTTTCATGTACGAGCTAAACTTGTTTTTTTTTTATCTTATTTAAAATGATTATTTGACCTTGCGGTATAAACAACCAACATGGCCGCTGACAGATCGACAATAAGTTCGGATGCAGAAATTTTACGGCAGTTTTAGAGTAAAAAAAAAAAATTATATTTCCCATGGCATATTTAATAATGTTAAAGATATATTTAATTTTTTAATGCATGCAGGGTATTTTATTAAAAAAAATACAAGTTTAGTTTGTGATTTTCAGAAGAAAACTGACTATGCCACAGGATCCTATGTACCTTTCACATTTTCGATAAGTTTATGCATAATCGAGCTACAAAGGGTCTCTAAAAAATTCTAAAATCACCGTGTTTCTAAAAATCCAAGTCCAAATCCAAATCCATTTTTGACTGTGTCATCTTATGAGAAAGTACCCTTGGGCCACAGTTGGTCATGGTGTTTGTGAGATTTTGTGTCGAAAATACAATATACGAAATTAGGAAAAGGTGCAATATTTTATTTATTAAAAAACTACCATTGCAAACTCAAAAATACATAACATTGACAATAATGGTTATAATTTTGATATATTAAAACTGCAGCCTTAACTAATATAGTATTGCATGGTCAACCTTATATCATGGGTATATTTCATATTTCATATTTCAGTTGTTCAGTTAACTAATATTTAAATAATAAAAATATGGTCCTGACTAATTAGTATTAAAGATTTGGACGTATGCTGAATTTAATAAAATAATAATAATGTGAACATTTTTTGATTTTGATCATTTTTGTATAAAGATTGTGAAAAATGCAAATAAAATGATCATACAAACACACATTTAGAAAATATAACATTTCGTAACTTGAGAAACGTTTGACATATTTTACACCTTTTTTGAAATTCGACAAATCTTTCGACAATTTTTTTTTCTTTTTTTTTGTGAAGAATTTAAATTGATTTAATATAAGTTTCACTTTTTCTAAATTTTTCGAATTTATTGTACTTTATTGCTAATTAATAGTGTTTCAATTTTTAAAGATACTTAATTGTTTTAATTTTTTTTTCTTTTTATATTATAAAGACTAACGATTTGAATAGAAACACATTATGAAAATCTAGAAAAGGGGAAATCATTACTGCATCTTCTTTTGGTATTTTGTGGAAAACATTAATGCTGTCTATTATCGACATTTTTCTCTTAAATTTCGGTTAAAATAATTTTGAGAAACTTTTGGCTGGGCTTATAATTTTTTAACAATATTGGTAGAAATGCTTTTGAAAATGCAAATAATGATATAATCGTTATATAAATACAAAAATTAGGAAGGATAACATTTCATTTAACTTAACAACTTTTTGATATATCTTACACCTTTTTCGAAATTCTAATTTATCTTTTTAAAACTGACGACACTGCTTTGTTGTTTCTTATCATGATTCACAAGCTCTTAATTTTTAAAGTCTTAATTGTTCGTTCCTTTTGATGCTACGGATTTACATCACTTTTGCATCATTTCCTCTCTCGACATTTTAAGGATGAAATTAATGATTGTCTCATACGCTTCGCTTAATTCGTTAAATTTCTGAAAATAACCCGTTTCGCCGGTATTTCGTTATCGGCGTATAATCGATTCGTCATTAATGACTTGACATCGAACCGATTTGCCCAGCTCTACTTTGTTCTGTTTAGAAAAATATGGAGCTCGGTTTGGCTTATAAAGTGGGTTAGAAAAAAAACAGTGGTGGAGTGTATTGGATTGGTTTGTTTTAATCTTATGGAAAAATATTTGTCGGTAAGTTTTCTCACGTTTTCTTAATTAAAAAATCCTTCGCCGCAATGTAGACAAAATGCTGACAGTGTAAATAATTCTTGAGCCGGTAGTGCCTCTTAATAAACATTTTTGCATCAGGATTAATATTTTTCGTAATTAATAATAAAAATACGATTTTATGCTAATATATATAAAGTGGTTCATTAACAATTGGACCGGAGATAACCATCAAATATAAAATTGCTATTGTATTGTATTGTATTGTTAATATATATTCTTAAGAAATGGTTCTTGGGTTTTTTTTTGTCCTTTTTTAGTGAAATTAAAATAAGTTTCCGTTACTTGTGAAACATTTTATTTTTTGTGACGTTTCGGCCTTCAAGACCTTCTTCAGACATTTAATTTTAACCTACAAAAATGTATTTTTACATAAAATTATTTATAGCATTGTTTTCCTGGTCATATTTAAAACATAGATAAAAATTTGTATAGGAGTCAGCAAAATAGATGGAAATGATTAAAAATTACTAGTGCAAGTCAATAGAACATACAAAGTGATTAAAAATAGTATAAAAATAGATGCACAAGAATAAAACATACATAATTTTTTATATTACGATTACATACCTTAAGCCAAAAATCAACGGTTCACTATATAGTTGTTTGGTAATTTACAGTTTTACAACATTCAAAACAGACATATCGAATATGTAAATCGACAAGCCACATTGATAAGACGACGAACCAAAACAATAATGCGAAGCACGGATGTACGTTTCTTCACGGTAGGTCAACGGAGTTTTTTTTTCTAAAGCGTTTTTTTTTTTTTTGGTTTGTGTGAGATTCACGGGTTAATTTGTCTCTTTATTTAATTAAGTTGTGATAAATTTTGCTGAGATTTTTTGTGTCAGTCTTAGAATTTATGGCGTTTGGATTTTTTTGGATCTCAATCATTTCATAAAATTCTCGTCTTTTTGTGTGGCTTTCTGAGCGTAAAATTTTCACACTTTGAAAGTCAAACGAGTGCTGATTCTCCCTGGAATGGCTCGAAAGAGCAGTGTTATTTTTTTTGTCATATTTATGGCCGTTTAAGCGACTTTTTAAGTATTGACTAGTTTGTCCGATGTAGACACCGTTACAATTTTGGCACGATATTTGATATACAACGTGGCTTTTTTTCTCGTCAGGGATTTTTGATTTTAATTTACTAAAGTTTTGTTGTAATAGGTTATAACCTTTGTGTGCCACAGTAATGTCGTGTTGTTTGAACACATTGCACAAATTTTCCGATAGCCCTGGAACGTACGGTAAAGGGAGATATTGTTTTTGAGTATTTTTCTTTTCGGATTTGTTACCAGCATTTTGATTGTAAAATTTGTGTATCCGTTTATTGAAAATTTTATTTATTAATACATCCGGATAACAGTTTAATTTTAGGGCTTGTTTTGCTTTTTTAATAGCTTGCTGTCTGTAGTCAGGATCGGACAGTTTAATAGCTTGGTCGGCTAAACCTATTATTACGGATTTTTTTTGGGTGATGGGATGTTGGGAGTTGAAACTTACATACCTAGATGACCAAGTATCTTTGGTGTACCATTTGGTTTTGATCTGGTCTTTGCTTGTGTATAGAGTCAGGTCTAGAAAGTTAATGACGTTATTTTTTTCGATCTCTATTAAAAATTGAAGGGGGATATGAAGATTTATATTTTTTAGTACGGATTCTTCCAAATCTTCCATTACTAACTGTGCAATGACACCGGAAATCGATGCTCCCATTGCACAACCATCGACCTGTCTGTAATATCATGTCATTGAATAAGAAATAGGTTGATGTTAATGTTAATTCTACAGCTTCAAGAAAGTGATTTAACGGAATGTCTGTGAAATGTTTAATTTTTGGCCATTTTTTCTTTATTATATCTTTAGCTAGAGGGATGGGAATATTTGTGTATAGAGAAATGACATCTAACGAGATCAAAACATAGTTTTCAGGTATCCTGACATTTTTTATTTTTTCTTTAAAATCGAAAGAGTTTTTGATTTTGATTTATAACGTTTTTTAGTATATTTTTAAGGAACTTTGATAATTTTTCACAAGGGGATTGAATGCA